AATATTAAAAAGGGCTGGGTGCAGTGGCTCACACCTGTAATCCCAGTACTTTGGGAGGCCGAGGTGGGTGGATCACGAGTTCAGGAGTTCGAGACCAGCCTGGCCAAGATGGTGAAACCCTGTCTCTACTAAAAATACAAAAATTAGCTGTGCGTGATGGCGGGTACCTGTAATCCCAGTTGCTCGGGATGCTGAGGCAGAGAATTCCTTCGACCCAGGAGGCGAAGGCTGCAGTGAGCTGAGATGGCAACAGTGCGCTCTAGCCTGGGAGACAGAGCAAGACTCTGGCTCAACAACAAAAAATATACAAAGCAAAACCACAACTACAGAGACAAATAGACACACAGTAGGACACTCTAACTGCTGAACAAACCAAAAGCAAAAACAAACAAACAAACAAAAAAAAAACAGTGAAGAAACAGAAGACTTAAATAGCAGGATTAAAAACTTGATCTAACAGACATATGAAGAACATCATACTCAAGAACTGCATAATATACATTCATTTGAAGGATTCATGGATTATTTATAAAATCCGACTCTACTGGGCTGAAAGGCTGAAATCACAAAGAATGTTCTCTGAACACAAGGTTATTATGACTGAAATAATAACAAAAAGATAACTAAAAAATTCCCCACGAATTGGTGACAAACTAAGATATATTTATTTTTAACCTAACAGGTCAGTGAAAGAATAATAATGGAACTAGGAAAATATTCTATACTGCACAATGACACACTGAAACCAACATAGGAGATGCAATGAAAGTGACACTTAGGCCAGGGGTGGTGGCTAACGCCTGTAATCCCAGCACTTTGGGAGGCCAATGGCAGATCACCTGAGGTTGGGAGTTCAAGACCAGCCTGACCAATATGGAGAAACCCCATCTCTACTACAAATACAAAAATTAGCTGGGCATGGTGGTGCGTGCCTGTAGTCCCAGTTACTCTGAAAGGTAAGGCAGGATAATGACTTGAACCTGGGAGGCGGAGGTTGCAGTGATCCGAGTTCGCACCACTGCACTCCAGCCTGGAAAACAAGAGCAAAACTTTGTCTCAAAAAAAAAAAAAGAAAGAAAGAAAGAAAAGAAAGTGATACTTAGAGGAAGATATACAGTCTTATATGCAATCTTTAGAAAAGAAAAGCTGACAAACAAGTTAAGTATCCATCTATACCCGAATCATTCAAAATACACACGATTTTGAAGGTGTGATATGAAAAAAAAAATCATTTTTTATTGATTACATGTTAAAATGACAATATTTTTTATATAGTGAATTAAATATACTATTACAATTTTCATGTTTACTTTTTTAAAAATAGCTATCAAGCATTTTTAGTTACATATGAATCTCCATGTTATTTCTAGACAGAATTGATCTAAAGAAATCAGAGCTGGGCGTGGTGGTTCATACCTGCAATCCTAGCACTTTGAGAGCAGAGGAGGGGAGGTCAAGAGTTTAAGACCAGCCTGGGCAACATAATGAAACCCTGTCTCTACTAAAAATACAAAAAAACTAGCCGGGTGTGGTGGCACATGTCTATAATTCCAGCTACTTGGGACGCTGAGGCAGGAGAATCACTTGAACCCATGAGGCAGAGGTTGCAGTGAGCTGAGATCATGCCACTGCACTCAAAAAAAAAGAAAAAAAGAATTTAGAAAAAGAACAGCAAAGAAAACCTGAAGAAGAAGAAGAAGAAGAAGAAGAAGAAAATAAAACAGCAAGATTTAATGAAGTAGTAAACAACATATCAGAGAGGCCTGACAAAACTCAAAGTTGGTTCTTTGAAAAGATTCATAAAACTGACAAACCTCTGGCAAAAAGGATTTTTTAAAAAAAGGAACAAAAAAATAACCAAGAGGAAAGGAAGGACATTACTACATATTCTACAAACATCAAAAAGTTAATGGAGAGCTATTCTGGGCACACTGCCTATGGGGTAGCCCTGCTCCACAAGTAGTAGTAAATAAATAAATAAAGAGGCTACCATAAATACTGTCTAAACTTTTTATAATGTAGATCAAATGGACAAATTCCTAGAAAAAACATCACAACTTAAAAAATGGTCAAAAGATGTAATATGGAGTGAGTTGGTTGAAGGTTTAAAAAACAAAGATGTACTTTAAACCTGAATCATCCTGTAACAAAGTAAATAAATTACCTATTTTACAACTCTTCCCTAAAGAAAACTCCAGGCCCTCAATGGCTTTAAAATATTCTACTAAGCATTTAAGTGGAAATATTCATAATCAAACATCTTCCAAGAATGGAAGATTTATGAGGCTTGTTATAAATTTGATACGAAAACCCAACAAGAATATATGGAGAATATAATTCCAAGCCAATCTTATGAATTAAAATGTGAAATCTTCCACAAAATATTAGCAAGTCAAATCCAGCAATCTCTTTATAATATATCATGGGAATGTTAGATTTATACCAGAAATCACAGGTTTACATTAATATGTGTAATTCACCAGACATTAACAGCTAATGGGAAAAATTATATGATCATAATAATACACAAAAGGAGTTTGATAAAATTTAATATCCAGGCCAGAGGTGGTGGCTAATGCCTATAATCCCAGAATTTTGGGAGGCCAAGAGTTCAAGATCAGCATGGGCAACATAGCAAAACTGCATCTCTACAAAAAAAGCATTAAAAAATTTAGTACTCAATTATGAGAAAACTCTTAAACTCCCAACAGAAGTGAACGTCTTAACTTGAAAAAGGATACTTACAAAAACCAACAGCAAACATCATTTTTAACAGTGAAATGCTAAAAGCTTCTCTATGAGATTGGGAATAAAACATTGACATCACTTCTATTCAACACTGTACTACCCAGTGCAGTAAGGCAAGTAAAAGAAACAAAAAGTATAAGGACTGGAAAAGAAGAAATACACTGTTATTAATTACATACAAGACATAATTGAGCATATAAAAAAATCCAAGATAATTTATATGTATATTATTAGAACATGAGTATTAGAACACGAGTTAGCAAGTTTCACTAGACACAACAATCAACATTAGAAACAGAACTGATTTTTTCATAACACGGAGTTACTAGAAAATGAAATTCTTTTTTTTTTTTGAGAAAGAGTCTCACTCCGTCACTCACGCTGGAGTGCAGTGGTATAATCTAGACTCACTGGAACCTCTGCCTCCCAGGTTCAAGACATTCTTGTGCCTCAGCCTCCCGAGTAGCTGGGATTACAGGCACATGCTACCACATATGGCTAATTTTTGTACCTTTAGTAGACAGGGTTTCACCATGCTGGCAAGGTTACTCTTGAACTCCTGATCTTAAGTGAGCCTGCCTCGGTCCCCCAGAGTGCTGGGATTACAGGGATAAGTCACTGTGCCCCGCCAGAAATGAAAATTAAAAGCTACCATTTGTAAAAGCACCAAGAACTATCACGTACTTACAAATAAGTCTAACAAAAAATGCTTATTATCTTTCTTTAGAGAACTATAAAACTTTGAGAGATATTTTAAAAAGACCTGAATAGAGTAGATATAGCATGAAGACTTAATATTGCAAAGAAGCAAATTCTTCCAAACAGATCATAAACTCATTCCAATCCCAATCAAAATCCGAACAGATTTTTCTCTGGAAAATTGCCAATTCTTGGAAAAGTTGATTCTAAAATTTGTAAAAAATGGAAACAAATGGAAAGGGCTATGAATGTCAGATGTGGAAGGATTTGCTCTACCAGATATTGAGACTTTTAGCAAAGCAATAAGAAGAGTGGCACTGATGCAAAGACAGATGAATCAATGGGGAAAAAAACAGACAACTTAGAAATGACCTCGCACTGAGTCTGAAAAATTTATATTTTTCTATAAGGCCATTGGAAAACAATACATCAAAATACAATATAACTTTGAAAAAATAGGAGGAGCCAAGCATGGTGACTCAAGCCTGTAATCCCATCACTTTGGGAGGCCGAGGAGGGAGGGTCACTTGAGCCCAGGAGTTTGAGACCAGCCTAGGCAACACACACACACACACACACACACACACACACCCATTCCCCAATCACATACCACACCTCAATTCTAACTTTCAAAGAAGCACATAAAAGTAAACATTGGTCCAATTTATTTTTAATTGGGCGTGAGAATTTAGAAGACTAAAAGAAAAACAATTTCTAGTACACTAGACCGAACGCCACTATACTTCTTTCTACCAAGTGTCAATAATAACATGATACCGAGGGACCATGTGGCAGCTTCTTTGTTCTCAGATAGGGTTTCTTTCTTTCTTCCTTTTGTTTTTTCTTCTTCTAACCCTCAAAAATGCAAACTCTAAGACTGACAGTGAAGGGAAGTCCCAGCATGATCAGATATGATTCCTAGCTCTTGGGAAAAAACAGTTTAACCTGGTCTGAGGGAGAAAAACTGATTGAGAAACACAGCTGAAGTAGAAAATGAACAATCAGAAAAGCACATGCAAAATACAAAGTAAAAGATCTAAAATCTTATTAGGAAAAGTATTCATATAATGTATAAACTATATGAATGATTTAAAAATTGCATAATAGGATCTAAATAACAATGTGAAATTTTATAGACATCTTCAGGATTTCAGAGTTCTCATTTATTATGAATAAACTATATTAATAAAGGTAATAATAAACTTAGGAAAATTAAATTGCTTTCATAAAGCTAGGCACTAAAAATAAATAATATTGCACCAAAAAATTCCAGAGTGACATGAATTGGCACTGTGAAATACTTGCTCAATTTTAATTTTAAGCAATCTTACTAGGAAAGCAATTGATTTTACAAGTAAAACAAGGACATAAATTTTAAAATCCACAAGTAGTTTGACAAACAAAATAGTTCAACAGTTTAAAATTAGGGAAACAGTTTAAAGTTGAAAAATATATTTTTGGAACAAAAATTATTTCTCTCTCAAGATAAATCCTAAGCTGACTAATTTCATTCTTCCCTGTGCTATTAAAAAGTACGCATGATGCGTTCTTACCTGGAATAAGATCTGCATAGGTCAAGCTAACATATAAGATACTGATAAGTATTTTATCAGCAAGTGGATCAAGTGCACTTCCCAAAGCTGATTTTTGACTGGCCCAGTTTCGAGCAATAAATCCATCCAACTGAAAATAGAAGTTTGTTTTTTTTTTATAAATGTCATAACAGGAACAAAGTAGATATCCTGAAGCCTAAGATACACCAGAATAACAATTATACTCTCATAAAATGTTAACAAAATCTTTTCTGTTTCTTACCCCAAACATTGTTATTCTTTCACTGGTATACATTTCATTTTTAAATTAGCAACTGGTCTTAAAATAAATGCGTTTTTTTCTTTTTCTCCCTCAAGGCCTACTTATTTCTCAGTATTTTCACAAGGCCCCTTTGTGGGATGAACCCAGACACACATTTAGAGATACATTTAGTGATGTGTTTAGAGATATAAAGAACCCAAAGAAAACTCAAAGAAAGCATGAATGGCAGAGCCTGGACGAGAATAATATAATCCAACTGTTAAAACTTACTATTTTTCTGTTTTTCAACTTATTTTGCTCAATATCACTGTTTATTCCATATTCTGACTGTATCTGCATTAACTACATTTGAGTTAAAAGCTCAATCCTGTCTACCTGGCTTAGTTAAAATTCTGATACTTAAATTACTTATTTTTATAGTATTTATTACAATGAAAAAGAAACCATATTTTGAGGCACAAGTTGTACCTAGTTGCGACTGGGCCTAATGGAGCCTGCAAGCTGGTTCTGTTTGATCTATCAGAGCTTTTAAAAACAATAATTAGTAATCAACATTTAAGTATTCAAAAATCTTCCCATAAAAACCCAGGTCTCAGCTGGGTGTGGTGGCTCATGCCTGGAATCCCCGCACATTGGGAGGCAGTGGCAGGCAGACCACATGAGGTCAAGAGATCGAGACCAGCCTGACCAATACGGAGAAACCCTGTCTATTAAAAAACACAAAATTGGCTGGGAGTGGTGTCGTGCGCCTATAATCCCAGCTACTCAAGAGGCTGATGCAGGAGAATTGCTTGAACCCCAGAGATGGAGATTGTGGTGAGCCAATGCACTCCAGCTTAGGCAACAAGAGCAAAACTCCAACTCAAAAACAAAACAAAACAAAACAAAAACAAAAAAACAGATCTCTGGGGCCACAAAATGGACTGAAACCAATATTGCCTATCCACATTAAACAAGGCAGATATTTTCTGGTTTATCCAAGTCCCTTCCTGGCTTTTACTCATTTAACTTCAAGCTTAAACAAATATTTGAGTTCTCTAATACTATTTCTAAGGGAAAAAAAGATTAATTTAGATCTAATTAACCACGGTTCATTTTAATGAATAAGTTGTCCCTATCTCAAGTACACCAATGAGTTAGAGGAGACAGCAGTAGTCCAGGACCGTGGGGTTAAAAAAAAAAAATGTGATCTTTGTAGCAGAACAGCAGCTGTTCAAGTCTTGGCTCTGCCACTTACCAGCTGTGTGACCTTGGACAAGTTATTTGGCCTGACTAAGCCTTAATTTCCTCATCTGTAAAACAGAGATAAATTACCTACCTCAAAGGGTTGGTTGTCTTCAGCACATATAGTAATTAATACTTTCCAGCACTTAGCACTTAGTAAATCCTCAAAAAAAAGCAGTTACTAGCTATCACTATCACAATGAAAAAAAGCTATTTTCTTCTTAAGCCTACTAACAGAAAGCCTACTAACTGGGGAGCTGGGACCTTGGAAGATCAGGTTTAGTTCGGTTTCTCATCTCAGGGAACTTAACCTCTCACTTTTTTGCCATCATCACCCTCTCGTCTTCACCATTCCTCTAACCCAGATTAGATTCCAAGGTCATCAACGTCATTCCTTTGCAAACATCTGTAACTTTCCTTTACTCCACTCTCCTTCAGCCCTGCTTAAAAACAACTCTCCATGTACTCTGGGCCTGCACCTAAGAGCTGAACAATGCTTAAGGAAAACAGACAAATGGGAAGACTAGTCTCACTTCAAACCGGTGAACACAAATATCCCATGGGCACTCACTGTCTAGCAATCCCACACCTGCTGACTGTATTTACCCTCTCTTCACACTGTCTCTGCTCTCACCTCAGATCTAACTCCATCCCTCTAGTTCATGGCCATGTCTATATTTTCCTTAAGACAAAAGAAAAAGGGTCAGCCCATCCTCATATTTCTATCACCAAATCCCCCACCTACCTGCATCCATTCATTCTCTCTGCCTTCCTTGATCCGTTCCCAAGCCCTCTCACCTTCTGGGACCTGCCTCCCTCTTCCCCATCTCCCCTTGCACCATCAATCTCTCCCTTTCCTTTAATTTAATCTCTCTACTTGATCATTTAATTAATCAGTTAACTAACAACAAAAATTCACTGGACACAGTGGCACACCTATAGTCCCAGCTACTTTGAAGGCTGAGGTGGGAGGATCATTTAAGGCCAAGAGTTCAAGGCCAGCCTGGGCAACACAATGAGACTCATCTCAAAAAATAAAAATAAAAGAACTCCCCCTCCAAAACAAAAAAAAGGATATGTATATATATATATATATATATACAGACACACACACACGCGCGCACGCACGTGTATATACACATATATACATATGTATATGGCATATATATTTTTATATATAATATATATGTATAATTCCCCAATATATCTTTTTAAAAGACCCTTCTGTGATCCTATTTGTCTATTCCCCTACAAAGCAAAACTGCCTCAAAGCAACATGTCATTACCATCTCACACCTGTTAATCAACCCACTCCAATCGTCCCCACCCCTCCAGAAGTGAGGCTCATAAAGGTCACCGACAATAACTGACCTCAACACAACTGAAGCACTTTCTCCACTTTCCAGGAAATCTTACTGCCTAATTTTCTTCCTTCCTTGCCAGCTATTCCTTCAGGGTTCCTGACTGGCTTCTTCTCCAGTACTCGACTTGTTGCTCATTTCTCTAACCCTTCATTTCTGTTACCTGAGCCTCAATGATTTTACACATATCCGACCATCTGTATCTGACAGCCCCCAAATTTCTCTCTCTGTAAGGATGACTTCCTCTGACTCCAAACTGCTAAACTGCCCAGTCAATACCTCTGTGTGGATAGGCAACAGAATTCTTAGTATTTTCCACTAAACTCTGCCCTACCCAAGTGTTGCCCATCACAGAAAATGTCATTTCCATGCACCTGGTTTTTGTTTTGTTTTGTTTTGAAACAGTCTCCCTATGTTGCCTAGGCTGGAGTGCAATGGTGTGTTCTCAGTTCACTGCAGTCTCTGCCTCCTGGGTTCAAGCGATTTTCCTGCCTCGGCCTCCCCAGTAGCTAGGATTACAGGCATGCGCCACCACGCCCAGCTAATTTTTGTATTTTTAGTAGAGACAGGGTTTTACCATGTTGGCAAGGCTGGTCTTCAACTCCTGACCCCAGGTGATCCCCCTGCCTCAGCCTCCCAAAGTGCTGGGATTACAGGCGTGAGCCACCATGCCCGACAGCACCTGATTTTAGAAGAGAATTAAAAAAAAAAAGCAGCCTAGTATTCATATTTCATTCTTCCTACTCTCACTCCATATATCTAATCTACCAACATAGTACCTCTGTCTTTAAAATACATCTTAAACCCACATACCTCTCTCTAACTCCAAACTCCAACCCCAGTCTAAGCTCCCACCACTGCTGCCCTAGATCATGGTCAGCCCCTTAACCAGTTACTCTGCTTCCACTCTTGCCTATCTATAATCCATTTTCCACATACAACCCAATCAGACTCCATTATTCCCTGACTTAAACTGATGAGTCCAGCCATCTCCAAGTGGCCAATCTAAAGGCACTAACACCTCCATGGAACAAAGGTGAAATGTGGCACCTGTTAACCCAGGTTTCCACAAACATCATCTAACGTATTTAGGAAAATGTTAATGGGACCTCTCTAACAGTCAATGAATACTGCAATCTCATTTGGCAGCTTAAAAAAAAAGTAGCAGACAGAAGTGACTACAGAAACTGAAAAAGATCGTCTGCTATATGAAAAGAAGTTGTTATTGTATAATGCCCTTTGGCAGACTTGGAGATCATATTAACAATGAGTGGAGGCCTTGAGATTAGAAGGGACATGTCAGGGGTGCCTGTACTCCTGGCACTTTGGGAGGCTGAGGTGGGCGGATGATCTGAGGTCAGGAGTTTGAGACCAGCCTGGCCAACATGGTGATACCCCATCTCTACTAAAAACACAAAAATTAGTCAGGTGTGGTGGTGCGTGCACCTATAATCCCAGCTACCCAGGAGGCTGAGACAGGAGAACTCATGGAACCCCACAGGCAGAGGCTGCACTGGGCCGGGATCACACCGCTGCACTCCAATGTGGGCGACAGAGAGAGGATTCATCTCAAAAAAAAAAAAAAAAAAAAAAAGCAGGGACAGTAGAAAAGGAGAGAGATTGTGGTGAGAAAAGGAAGAGGTCGTGACAAATATTAACAGCAGCTAAACTCTGGTAAAAGAGAGGTAAAAGCCAATTTAAGAGGCTATGTTTGAACCATGTTTGGAAATGCCAAGTACCAAGGCAAATGCTCTCCTCTGTCTGCTCTCCAAAATCTTCAGTTAATTCTATGTTGCCCACCGATGCTACTGCTACTAGGCAGGTGGAATTTTGTTTCTATGAACCTCAAAGAGAACAGCTGAGGTTACAGAGAAAGATGCCATACAACTTTTATTAACATAAAACTAGTTTCTCTCAATTCTCAATAAATATTGAACAAAGCTTTTCAAACATACATTAGTTTGAAGAGGTACCAAAGCACTGCCCATCTGGATGCTCATATACATCTCAAGCCAACCTTGTACAAGAATATGCTGTATCTATTTCTCCTACTAACTTTGCCCTGCTTTAAAGTTATTCCTCCATCTTTTCCACCCTTCTCTCAACTATGCTTTTATGCAGCATGAAGTTTTTCTTTCTTTCTTTTTTTTTTTTTAAAGGGACAAGGTCTTGAGCTCTGTCACCCAGGCTAGAGTACGGTGGTGTGATCATAGCTCACTGCAGCCTTGAACTCCTGAGCTCAAGAAATCCTCCTCTCTCAGCCTCCCGAGGAACTAGGACTACGGCACATGCCACCACACCCAGCTAAGTTTTAAATTTTTTGTAGAGAGGGGGTCTTGCTATGCTGTGCATGTTGGTTTCAAACTCCTGGCCTCTCAAAGCACTGGAATTACAGGTGTAAGCCCCTGTGTCCAGCCAGTTTTCTAAGGCATTTCAAAACTTTTATGAAATAAAGTTGCCGATAAATACAAATAATGTCATATATGATGATGGCAAGCCAGTCCACAAAACCCTTCTTTTATAAAATTATTTTCCAGTTTCAATCTGAGATCATCTGAATAAATCCTCCTCTCCTCTACCAAAACCGACATTGTGGTATCAAGGAGCACTCCTCTTTGTTCATCTGCTGAGGGAGTAGAAGAGGAAGGATGTTCAATCAGCCCAGGGCAGAGTATTCTGCAGGGCCATCAGAGAGGTGTAGAGCAGAGACAGAAAATAAATCTGTGGGGTACCTGCAGCTTCCTGCTAGCATGAAACCTGAGCAAAGCTATGACTTCTACATGCTCCCTGGTCATGTATCCCAGTTCCCTGCGTCCTAACAACTGACCACTATTGCCCCCTCTATTGGGAAAACCAACTCTTCGCAATATTTCTCTTTATCCCAATACAAAGAAAAGTCATCTCAGATCTCCTCTCCTTTATTTTTACCCCTAAGGCAAGCACTCAGCTCTTTGGGAATTTCTAAAGGTATTTCTTTTACTCTTAAAAAACAAGAATAAAAAGTATCCCCTCCTATACTTCCCTACAAACTTCACTTCCTCCCTGAGATCATATGGAAAAAAAAAAAAAAGAGTCCCATACAGATGCTAAAGACAAAGTCCTCACACAAAGTACTATGTCAAATTCATCTTGAGGATTTCCTCCCAAGGAAAAGCAGGCTAAGGGTGTGCTATTTCGCTGTAGCAGTAGAGACCCGGGAATTTGGAAGGACAGCAAAATGGGAGGGCATTTACAACTTACCAAATCTGTTAGCCCGGCTAAAGCAAAAACTCCTAGTGCAATATTAAAATCTTCCTCAATAATCAAATAGCCCAGAACTGGGGCCAAGCCAATTCTCGTCATTGACAACATATTTGGGATTGTCCATGGGTTTTCATACTGAAACACAAAGACAAAAAAATTTAAATGAAATACAAGGAATTCATACTTTGAATAACTATATTCATTAGAAAAATATACTTCATCAGTCATCAGCCTGAGTCAGAAGCTACATAAACTTTAGTACATTAAATTGAATTTTTAAATCCATTGTGTTCTTTTTACAGATATCTTCCCAAAATCTTTCAAGAATCAGAAGATGGTTCGGTGTGGTGGCTCATGCCTATAATCCTAGCACTTTAGGAGGCCAAAGCGGATCCTTTGAGCCCAGGAATTAGAGACCAGCCTGGGAAACATGGAGAGATCCCCATCTCAATTTCTTTAATTAAAAAAAGAATACAGAAAATGAAGATGCATCACATACGCAAACACAGACTAAGGGATCTTACAGGTTTTCTTAAGAGGGAAAACAGAAAACATGTAATAATTGCCATATAAGCTAAGCCTTTAACATATAATTTCATTGCAAGAACTCAGAACTTTCAACACTCTGCTTTTAAAGAGGTGAAACTTCAGGAAGATCTTGTAAGCAGATAAATAGTGTCTACTTAGAAGCAAAAGTGTCACAGAAGCCAAATTATCAACACCAGGCATTCAGCTTCAAATATTTACTGCAAAGAATGTCCCTCACTCCCCATACACATCTAAAGAATGCTAAATGCTATACAGTGTATGGAGGTATGAATGAAGAGAATAAAAACACTTAATTCTATAACCTCATCATTAAGTCAGAGAATTACAGGACGAAAATGGAGATAGGAATAGGGATCGCAATATTTGGAAATCGAGAAATTTTGTAAATTTGTTCAAAACAGTCAAGGAAATGTAAACAACCTCAACTAAAAACTAAGGGCTTTCACAGTTCCCATATGGGGGCTTTGCGATTCCTTGAAACTTCATTTGGAGCCAAGCTGTTTGAAGTTGGCACTAACAAAAGAGCTCTTTGGCAGCTGTCTGAAGGGCATCCCCTCCTTGCCAAACAGAATCTGACTCATGAGAGGGTATTTCAATTTTGAAAAGCCTCAGCCCAGCAGAGTTAAGACACCCTGCACAACAGGGTACAGAAATAACACCAAGAAAACGCCTCTCCCTGAAGCATAGATTTTTTTTCTCCACTGAGTCAAGACTGCCAAGTCCACCTCATGGGACTTTCTCTTCACTAGAACCCCATTTAACCTTTCTTAATCAGTACTAGCAAACTTGCCTGAATCTTAATTTTGATTGTAAAAAAGGTGGCAAAGTCCATTTCTAAAGACATCTTTTAAAATTCCATGAACTATCATGTTAAGCAAAAAAAAAAAAAAAAAGGTATTCTCTAAAGATATTATGTCTGTGTTTATAAAAAGAACCCAGTAAGAAAGCACCTCAGCTTGAAGGGATAATTAAATAGCTGTTGCTGGGGTTAAGTGGCAGAATACTGTCATTGAAAACTATAGGAAAACTTCAAATTATCTGAAGAGCAATCACAAACAAGAAGCAATACAAACCTCTACTATGAGGTATTTTACTGAAAGTAATCCATATTATTTAATGAAATAAAAACATTCTTGGAATACATCCCAAATTCAAGTTCAAAAGAGTGTTTCAGAGTCCAGAGAAAAAAGATAAGTCTGTTGACCATAGTCTGGTACAGAATAAGTCAAATACTGATCAAAGGTTAGAGCAACTACAGGGAAGAGTGGGGAGGGGCACACGGTTGCGAAAAAGCAGTAACAAAGCAAAAGATCAGAAAAAAGAGCACCCAATTAACTTCAGAAAGTTGTAAAGAGAAACATCATTTCATCTGGTGAATTAACAAACGGAACTGAACGTTGCTGGAACAGCAAAGGGAGTTCTTTTTAGCTCCACACAAAGTACTTCAGTTAAAGTGTCTCATTAATTTGTAATCATTAAATCTGTAAACGTTTCAAACTTAACATTAAGAGAGTTAATCTCAGATTACTCAACCAGATAACCTGTGGCATACTCGACCAACTAATGCCGTTCTGGGAAGGACTTCAGTCAGGATATGGCAACTTCAAAGTATCCAGCATTCAAACCCCAACATGCTTTAGCTATTAGTGGAGTTGAGACCCCTGCCAGGATCTGGCCACCTCAACCCATGCTGTGCAACTGATGAAAGCAGTACAGGGGCCACGGAAGACATAACAATTGAAGATGTAATAATTGCATGAGTCTTGCTAACATGACATCAAAAGCTCTACCACACTCATGCTCCGGTGTCTTCTATCTGGGCAACATATCAACAAGTGGACATATATTTCCCTCTGTCACCCCAAGAATAGTTTAAATCTTTTTCTATAAGTTCAAATATCTTTTAATTACGACCTAAATTATTTAATTAGCCTTCATCCTATAATGTGTAAAGTTACCAAAGGTCAAATGATGGTGAACGAAATTTGCATGAGCAAACCGAAGGGCCTGTACACCTTTCTAAAGATTCCCAAAGACTTGCCCTAAATACTGGGGATTCGCTTCAGAAGAATTAAAAATAAGCTTTTAGTAAGACAAGCCAGCTCTACCTTTACCAATGCAGTATGCAGTGGAGGCCCTTTCACCAACGGGTGCAGATAGAAGGGGGATGAGAGAGGGTTTCTAACTTGACCACCGAGACCGTAGGTGGTCCCGCTTGTAACTCTAAAATTCATCCCGACAGAATGACCTGCCAGTAACTTCTTTTCAGCGGACGGTCTAAAAGTTAGGCAACGGAAGCGTGCGAGCTGCACCACCCAGAGCACGTTACTCTAGTCCAGGGCCGGCGACCCCAGCCCGGTGCCGGCCCGCCGCCGCCTCGTCCGTACGTACCAGGCTAGGAGCGCTAGCCGGGCCCCACTGGCTGCCCGGATCTTCGGCGGCGGCGCCCGCTCCGACCGCTGGCCTGGGGGTCGCCTTCCCCGCGCCCGAGCAGTGTTTCCGCTGGCCGACCCCGGGCAACCGCAAGCCAAGCGCGGCCGGACGCAGCCACCAGCCTTCGGCCAGGCAGCCCAAGCAGCAGGGCACGGGTGGCAGAAGGGCCCCGCAGGTGCGCCCCTTGCCCGGCCGCGTCCCCTGAACCCAAGCGGCGCCACGCAGGGCCCCCCACGAACCGCGCGCCACGCGCGAAGCTAGCATGGCACTGCGGCCGCGCCGCGGGGACTCGGCCGGTGAGATCTCAGCAGCCTGGGACACTGGAGAACTGCTTCAACATGGAGACCCAGAACCAACACAACCCGCGCCGCCTCTGCCTCCACACTAGTTTTCACACCCTCAACATGCTCCATTTATGCAGGTGGCAGGGAGCCGCCAAGGGCGGAAGCCTTTGCGACGCTTTTACGACACCGTCGCCGTCGGGCTGCCCGGCGCCCCCAGCGCTGCTGAGGCGCGCGCGTCGGGCCCGGTGGGTTTTAGGAAGCAGTCGGTTCCCGGCGCCCTCCTTTTTTTGTCCATAGCCAGGAGCCAAGGCTGGTGGGGAGGGAAGGAGAGAAACGAACGAGGTGGCATGACCGTGCAGCCGACGTAGCCCCGAAGGGACAGGAGCTACCCCAGGCCCTGGCCTGAAACCCTCCGAGGCGGGTGGCCGGCGAAAAGGCCCCCTCCAAGGTGTATGTCGCGCCCTAGGGTTCTTGTGGGTGGTTTACAGTATCTGGTATGGAAGAAATGATTAATAAATATTGGCCCTCTAATACTCTTCTTTTTGAGCATTGAATAAAGATGCATATGCCAAAAATATTAGAAAATGTTGATAATGGCTAATTGTGTTGCTGAAACAGTGCTTACTTTATAGCCAGGCTGTAGTGCATCATCCCATTATTACCTTTAGGTTTCCATTATTACCTTTATTTTTACAGATGAGGAAGCCTAGGTGTAGAGAGGTTAAGAAACTTGCTTATTATATAATATCCGATAGTTATGAATCAGTTCATTAACAATATATTTGGATTAGTATATTAAACATTATTGATATATCAGTATTATTTTGCAATGTTACCGAATTTTTTCTTGTTGAACTCAATGTTGAACTGATTTTGAATGGTTCTTGCCGCCTCTCTGTCCCCCTTCCATCCCCATTTATGATGGCTGACCCATCTTAAAGTTGAGTTTAAAGTGGTTTTTTTTTGAAACGGAGAAACACCCTTAGACATTTCCAAAGAGCTGAGTGCTTGCTTTAGGGGTAGAAATAAAGGAGAGGAGATCTGAGATGACTTTTCTTTGTATTGGGATAAAGAGAAATATTGCGAAGAGTTGGTTTTCCCAATAGAGGGGGCAACAGTGGCCAGTTGTTAGGACCCAGGGAACTGGGATACATGACCAGGGAGCATGTAGAAGTCATAGCTTTGCTCAGGTTTCATGCTAGCAGGAAGCTGCAGGTACCCCACAGATTTATTTTCTGTCTCTGCTCTACACCTCTCTGATGGCCCTGCAGAATACTCTGCCCTGGGCTGATTGAACATCCTTCCTCTTCTACTCCCTCAGCAGATGAACAAAGAGGAGTGCTCCTTGATACCACAATGTCGGTTTTGGTAGAGGAGAGGAGGATTTATTCAGATGATCTCAGATTAAAACTGGAAAATAATTTTATAAAAGAAGGGCTTTTGTGGACTGGCTAGCCATCATCATGTATGACATTATTTGTATTTATCAGCAACTTTATTTCATAAAAGTTTTGAAATGCCTTAGAAAACTGGCTGGACACAGGGGCTTACACCTGTAATTCCAGTGCTTTGAGAGGCCAGGAGTTTGAAACCAACATGCACAGCGTAGCAAGACCCCCTCTCTACACAAAATTTAAAACTTAGCTGGGTGTGGTGGCATGTGCCGTAGTCCTAGTTCCTCGGGAGGCTGAGAGAGGAGGATTTCTTGAGCTCAGGAGTTCAAGGCTGCAGTGAGCTATGATCACACCACTGTACTCTAGCCTGGGTAACGGAGCTCAAGACCTTGTCTCTTTAAAAAAAAAAAAAGAAAGAAAGAAAAACTTCATGCTGCATAAAAGCATAGTTGAGAGAAGGGTGGAAAAGATGGAGGAATAACTTTAAAGCAGGGCAAAATTAGTAGGAGAAATAGATACAGTATATTCTTGTACAAGGTCGGTTTGAGATGTATATGAGCATCCAGATGGGCAGTGCTTTGGTGCCTCTTCAAACTAATGTATGTTTGAAAAGCTTTGTTCAATATTTATTGAGAATTGAGAGAAACTAGTTTTATGTTAATAAAAGTTGTATGCCATCTTTCTTTGTAACCTCAGCTGTTCTCTTTGAGGTTCATAGAAACAAAATTCCACCTGCCTAGTAGCAGTAGCATCGGTGGGCAACATAGAATTAACTGAAGATTTTGGAGAGCAGACAGAGGAGAGCATTTGCCTTGGTACTTGGCATTTCCAAACATGCTTCAAATATAGCCTCTTAAATTGGCTTTTACCTCTCTTTTACCAGAGTTTAGCTGCTGTTAATATTTGTCACGACCTCTTCCTTTTCTCACCACAATCTCTCTCCTTTTCTATTGTCCCTGCTTTCTTTTTTTAGACAGTCTCTGTTGCCCAGGCTGGAGTACAGTGGTGCAATCTTGGGCATAGCTCCTAAGGCCTTCCAGACATAAATTCCACCTATACTCTATAATTTAGATTACTGTTTAAATTATCAAGAGAGCGAAACTAATTCTTTTAAATTTTTATTATTTTTTAGGTAAGAGAAAAGGTCTTACCATATGTTGCCCAGGCTGGAGTGCTGTGGCTTTTCACAGGTGCGATCCCACTACTGACCTGCTCCATTTCTGACCTGGGCAGGTTCACCCATCCTTAGGAAACACGGTGGTCCCCCACTCCCAGGTCAACATGTTGATGTGGACACCCAATCAGTATAGCACAGTATAATAGCCCAGAATTCCTGGCTTCAAGCAATCCTCCTGCCTCAGCCTCCTGTGTATCTGGGACTTCAGGCATGTGCCACTGCATCTGGTTAAACTAATTCTTATGTCAACTTCTGATGCCAGCCTTTCCATATTTCTTCCTGAAAAAGTATTGATGTCACTTGAATATGTGAACAATTAAATCATTACTAAGTTTTTATATGGTACTTTCGGAACCTTTAAAAATAGGCAGGGATTATCTACAAATAAGAAAGTAAAAGGGTTGGTTTTAATATTTTCCCCTCTGCTTATAATATTTTAAAGGTGATAAAGGGATTTTTAACATCAATTAGTGTACATCTTGCTTTATTTTCCATTCGCTTCCTCCATACTATTTTCCTTTTGTTACACGAGCTGTGGACCAGTACTAATCCATGACCTGTTAGGAACCAGGCCACACAGCAAGAGGTGAGCAGCAGGCAAACATCACCACCTGAGCTCCGCTTCCTGCCAGATCAATAGCACATAAGATTCTCATAGGAGTGTCAACCCTATGCACATGCGAGAGATCTAGGTTGTGTGTTCCTTATGAGAATCTAATGCCTGATAACTTGAGGTGGAAGTTTCATCCCAAAACCATCCCCCTACTCAAGTCTGTGGAAAATTGTCTTCCCCAAAACTAGTCCCTGGTGGCAAAAGGTTGGGGATTGCTGGTTCAGAAAGCCTTGTTTTAATGTTACATCTAACTGTCTTCCTATTCACAACATGTGACTGAATTTCGAAAGACGGTAAACCACTTGTTTCCCTCTGCCCCAACCACCGGTACTGTGGTCTCTTTAAATGGCTTATTTCTGAGAGGAACCTTCAAATGTGAACATGAGACAATTTTTTTCCCCACCGAAAGCTAGGCACTTTATTTAAAATGGGGTTATGTAATACCTGCAAATGGAATGCAAACATACCACTTTTTTCTTCGCTCAGCCACGTGAAGCATTTTGTTTTTGAACACAGAGCAAGAATTCTGCTACAGGGAAATGTCTCCTCAACCACACATGACACCAGAACACAAGCAAGAGGAAGATGGCTCTATCCTCAAGTCTACCTTCCAAATCTCACACATGGGTATCCGATTAGTGAAACCCAATTCACATCTGGAAATCTACCTGCAAAGGGAGTCTGGGAAATGTGGTTATTTTCTCACCTTCCAGCCTCTGCATTGTAGGAAGCAAACTAGGAGGGTAGAATGGATACTGAATACCAAATCACTGTATTACTCTACTATTATCTATCCCTTTGGCTAATTCATATCCATATTTTTATTTATTTATTTTTTTATGAGACCGAGTCTTGGTCTGTTGCCAGGCGCCAGGCTGGAGTGCAATGGCACAATCTCGTCTCACTGCAACCTCCACCTCCCGAGTTCAAGCAATTCTCCTGCCGCAGCCTCCCAAGTAGTTGGGACTACAGGTGCACACCACCACACCCAGCTAATTTTTGTATTTTTAGTAGAGACGGGGTTTCACCATGTTGGCCAGGATGGTCTCGATCTCTTGACCTGGTGATCCACCTGCCTCGGCCTCCCAAAGTGCTGGGATTACAGGCTTGAGCCACCGCGCCTGGCCCATATAATTGTTTATGAATTAAATGCATTCATAAATATACAAATATTGTTTAATATTCTTCTGTATAGCCACAGCAACTATAGTATGTTAATGTAAGTACAGCATTTGCCTTCTTTATCAAAGGGGAGCTATAAAGATCCCTCAATCACAGTGTGGTGTTTATTCCTCTTCTGGTTCAGTTATACTTTCGCCTTGGTATCCTCTATCCTAAGGATGAAATGATCAAGTTGATTACCACCAAACAATTTACTTAGCACAATATTGGTAGAAAGAGGAGGCTGGGCATGGCAGCTCACACCTGTAGTCCCAGCTACTCAGGAAGCCCTGGAGTTTGAGACCAGCCTGGGCAACAAAGCAAGCCCTCATCTCTAAAAACTAGCCGGGCATGGTGTCACATTCCTGTAGTTCCAGCTACTAAGGAGGCAGAGGTGGGAGGACTGCTTGAGAGATCAAGGCTTGATCATGTCACTGCACTCCAGCCTGGGCGACAGAACAAGACCATCTCTTAATAAAATATTTTTGCAGCCAGGCATAGTGGTGCATGCCTATAGTCCAGGCTATTCAGGAGGCTGAGGTGGGAGGACTGCTTGAGCTGTGGAGTTCAAGTCCACCCTGGACAACACAGCTAGACCACCACCTCTTAAAAGAAAACTTTCATGATGTAGTATTTTCTTGCTTTGCATGTTTCTGTTCTACTTGTACTTAGGAATTGTTTTAATCAGCAATGGTGACACAAACAATTGCCTATGAAAGATGACTTTTGGCCAGGCGCGGTGGCTCACGCCTATAATCCCAGCACTTTGAGAGGCCAAGGTGGGTGGATCACGAGATCAAGAGATTGAGACCATCCTGGTCAACATGGTGAAACCCCGTCTCTACTAAAAATACAAAAATTAGCAGGGCATGGTGGCACGCACCTGTAGTCCCAGCTACTTGGGAGGCAGAGGCAGAACTGCTTGAACCCAGGAGGCGGAGGTTGCGGTGAGCTGAGATCGTGCCACTGCATTCCAGCGAAACTCCATCTCAAAAAAAAAAAAAAAGAGGACTTTCATCTCCAAAGAGGGCTTACCATGCCACACCAGGCCACATGAGGAAAGTCAGTCAGGAGGTAAAGCAGCAAGTGAAAAACCTAGGCGAGAGCTTGATTGCAGTAGTGGTTGAAAGGTGTGGGGACACCCCTATTGGGCAGGAAGTGAAATACTAGATGTCGGGGTTTGGGGTTGGAGGGACTGTAATGTGATGTTTGCATACCCACAAAAGCTGTATTGTAAGGGAAAGCTAAACTTTTTAGTCTGGCCCTGTGATTAATGGATGCTAAAGACAGAATCTAAGGAAACATGAAACAGTTTCCTCTGAAAATATAAGTTTATGTCTTTTTAAAATAAATTTACATAATAACCCTAACCTTTGAGACTCATTTTCCTCTAAACAGTAAGTACGTTTCCTCTTCTGTCTACCACTTTATCATGGTTGATATTATGTGCTGACTTTTATGAAATGTTTTAAATTCTATTAATAATTTTTTTAGCTTTAAATATATATATTTAGTTAGTTTGGAGACAGTGTCTCACTCTGTTGCCCAGGCTGGAGTGCAGTGGTGTGATCTTGGCTCACTGTAACCTCCGCCTCCCAGGTTCAAGTGATTCTCCTGCCTCAGCCTTCCTTAGTGGTTGGGATTACAGGCATGCACCATCCCTGGCTAATTTGCTTTATAGATCTTTTAACTCATAAAGACTTCACTATTATTTATACTCCTATCTACTTTCTCCTTTTATTTCTCTAAAAGACAAAGTCTTGCTCTTGCCCAGAATGCAGTGCAGTGGTATAATCATAGCTCACTGTAACCTCAAACTCCTGGGCTCAAGTGAATCTCCTACTTCTGCCTCCACAGTAGCTAGGACAATAGGCATGCACTGCCATGCCCAGTCTATTTTTTGTAGAGGTAGGGTCTCAATGTGTTGTAGAGGCTGGCCTCAAACTCCTGGCTTCAAGTAATCCTCCAGCCTCAACCTCCCAATGCTCTGAGATGACAGATGTGAGCCAATGCACCTGGCCTCTTTTGATTCCTGATTTTTCCTTCCTTACTTAAAAAAAAGTTTACATTGTGGTCTATGGCAACAGTCTCCACATTTTAGTTTTGGTCCTAAAGTTAAACATCTGATATACACTGCCAGTTCTTTTTATTTACATTTTCCATTCATCTTCTGGTTTGCTGGAAGTTGAATTTTTAGTAGATTCTCCAGCAATGGTTCACATTTCCTGAGTTCTTGTATGTTACAAACTGTTAAGATTTATACATGATTGATAGTTTGGCTGGCAACCCTGTAACATCTGAATCCTCCCACAACATATGAGAAATTCTGGTTTTATTGATCCCACCACCCAAAGGTAGAACCAGGGAAAACTCCCTAGCAGCCTATGAAAAGGGTATATAAAATAGCTTTTTTCAATCAGATGTCTTTGGATGAGACTTCCTTTTTGAACTCAGCAATTTAGGGAAGCCTCACAGAGAATCTTTTTGTTGCTGTTCCAGTGTGGGTGGGGGCATTCCTCTACCTATTCCTGCTGCAGAAGTGGCAAAGGTGGGGCATGGAGGCAGTATCACTTTCTTCTACTGCCCTGTGTGGCAGAAAAGCATCAGCAGCTTTTTCTTTAGTACAGTTCGAAGGCGTGGTTTTACAAATTGCTGCTGGAAGCTTACCCTTCTGGTTTACCTGCCTTCTAAAAATTCCATAAGCTAACCAAAATTCTTTCAAAAAAAATTCTGTTTAATCAGTCAGTTTCTATTGTTTGTAACGAAGACACTACAAACCAGTCTGTGGACTAAATGGGGCCTATTACTAAATGACTAAAACCAAAAATCAAGTATTTTGTATTCTTGACATGGGAAAATTTTATGAAATTCAAATTTTAGTGTCCTTTATAAAGTTTTATTGGAACACAGAATATGTAATATGTTCATTGGTTTATGTATTTGTCTGAATGCCTATATTTGATATGCAAAACTATGAAATATTCATACATATAAAAAGGTAGGTCAAAAACATAACTGTAAATAATTTATAAGTAATTTACTTTTAGCCTTTTGGAGAATTTATTTAACAATTAACACAAAGACTATCACTGCAATTTTTTTTAAATTTTTTTGAGTCAAAAGTTACTCTATTGCCCAGGCTGGAGTGCAGTTGTGTGATCATGGCTCACTGTAACTTCAAACTCCTTGACTCGAATAATCCTCCTGTCTCAGCCTCACAAGCAGCTGAGACTACAGGCATGTGCCACCACAGCCAGCTAAGTTTTTTTTTTTTTTTAATTTAAGAAATAGGGTCTTGCTATGTTGCCCAAGGTTGGTCTCGAACCCTGGCCTTGAGCAATCCTCTCGCCTCAGCCTCCTGAGTCACTGTGATTACAGTGTTAGCTACTGCATCAGGAGATTGTATTAATTCCTAAATTAGTTTACTATATTTAATGCTTTTTTTCCTATTATAGTACTTTTGGGACATCACTTTTCAGAGAACAGTATTTCAGTGTGTGTGCACACACACATATCTTCATTGAGATGACTTTAATCTGCTAATAAACACAGGAGGCCCTAACTTGGTGAAGTCCTTTTACATAGTTTGAAGCTGGTAAACTTTTGGGCCTTTTTTCAAGAGGTAACCTTGGTCATTTAGTGATCCAATAAAGTTTTCAAAATCAGCAACCTGGAAGAAAACATCAAAAAGTTTATCTCATTAAGTAACATGTCAAAATACTACTTTTAAAATAAATCTCTCAAACAATAATATATAACCGTAAAGTTTCTTGGGCAATATTTTTTCTTCTTATAGAGCAAACTGCCTACATTTGAGCTCTGGATTCTATAATGCCTAAATAAAAATTCCATTGGGCAGAGAATATTTTACATTTTAGATTAGCCGAAAAACAAATATCAGACTTTTGAAATTAAGCAGGCAATTTTCAATAATGTGTAATAGCACATGTTTGAAGTGCTATAATATTGATTTTCATGAGAACTTTGAAGTAGGAAGAGCAGGTATAATTATGTCCATTTAACAGATGAGGGAACTGATGTTAAAATGACTTATCCACAAGAGACTGTCAGAAAAACAGAGACTGTGTCTTACTACAATGTTTCCCTCTGACCATCAAGATGCTAAAAAGACTGAGAAGAAGCAGGTATGAATTTTAAATAAGTAAAAACTGTTTCTGTTCTAGTATATGCTAATAAAGACCTCCAGAAATTGTTACAGAAGAGATTAACTAGTTTAACATACCTGAATGTTTAGCTCTTTGGCAATCTGCCGAAGTTGATGAAATTGAAATATATTATTATAAGTTCTTTCAGCAATGTTATTGAGAGCAGAAATAAATCTTTTTGCTGTTGACCTGTTGCTCATTCCAGAACCATGCTGGGATCGCTCAAAATCTAGGTTCCCAAATTCATCAGAGTAAGTTCCTAGCATGCTTAAAAGGAAAGGAAGAAAAAATTACCCAACGTGGCACTGCCATAGAAACTATTGTTCTGGGCTTTCAGGTTATAGAAGAAAAATTTTGAAGTAGCTACATGGCTCACTTAACAAACATTTCAACCTGTGTTTACTGAGTGGTCACTTTGAAATTCACTATGATATGGATTGATAGGGGATAAAAATATTTTGGACACAGTTACCATTTTTAAGAAACTTCTAAATTTCAAGAGAGAAATGCATAAAAACACAAAATTGACAAACTACAATATAAATACCTGGGACATTCTTTTTGACTGATGAAGAAAAGAAATTCTAAATATAATAAATTTAGACTTTACGAAATAAAAATGTGTCCAGTCTCCTGGTGCAGCATCTGGCAAATAAAAGGTATTGAAAATATCCTATGGATGAACTAGAAAGGTTATGCTGAGTTGCAGTAATAATGGTTAGATATTAAAGGATACACCTATTACTGCCAGATTTCTTCTATTTTCTCTTATTTTCACAGTATCACCAAGGAAAGAAATACATACTTGATAGTGAATTTTAGCTAGAAGTCTGGAAACACCAGTTAGAAACACAATTAACCAACCTGTTTAATCCAACCCTATTGCTGATTCCCTGCTTGACCAATGGGACAGCTGTATTTCACAGCCAGGATAACTGGCAAAACTGTTAATTAATCAGGAATTAATTAATCAAATACATACTGGTCACCTGCTGAGCAATAGGCTTATAGTGGTGAACAAAACAGGTATAATTCCTCCCCTTAAGAAGCATGCAGGGATGATTTTAATGGGTTATAAACAATAAAGCTTCATTTCATTCCTTGAATAGAGTTAAGAGCCTACATTATACAGTAAGAATGAGTCATTCAAATAAGACTATTCAAAATGATAAAACAATAAGATGGGTAAGTATTTTCCTCTGAAATACAGCATAATCTCTTTTATGATGAACCTCCCATATGCTTGCTTCTCATGACAAAGTTGTTAAAAATACTTTAGGTAGGCCAGGAGAGGTAGCTCACGCCTGTAATCCCAGCACTTTGGGAGGCCGAGGTGGGCGGATCACCTGAGTTTGGGAGTTAGAGACAAGCCTGACCAACATGGAGAAACCCCATCTTTACTAAAAATACAAAAAAATTAGCCGGGCACGGTGGTGCATGCCTGTAATTCCAGCTACGGAGAATAGCTTGAACCTAAAAGACAGAGGTTGTGGTGAGCCAAGATCGTGCCATTGCACTCCAGCCTGAGCAACAAGAGCGAGACTCCAACTCAAATTTTAAAAAGCTTCAGGTTAATAATAATGGGTAACATTTATCTTAATTATATTTACCATAGGCTATTCCACGTAGTTCTCCGAGCAATCCTGTGACTTAGGAACTATTCTTATTCCCATTTTACGAATGAAAGAACATTCTTATAAGGTTGGCGCAAAAGTAATAGTGATTTTTAGATTTTTTTCTTATGGCAAAAACCCAATTACTTTTGTACCAAACAAGGCTAACATTAAAGTGACTTGCCAGAAGTTACCCAACTAGTAAGTGGCATATCTCAGATTTGAATCTGTGCTATGGTGTATCTCAGATTTGAATCTGTGCTACACTACTTCAGATTTTAAAAGGCTATGTAAAATATTTGAGCTAGTTTCCTGAAATGGAAAAAAAAACTCACAATGATCTCTCATCTTTGAAGGTGGCTCTGTTCTATTCTGCTACCTTGTATATTTTCAATTTTAGAAGAAAGCTTATGTGAACTGTTTACTAAATGTAAACATTTAGTTTTTAAAATATAGCTAAGTGCTTTGTTTAGACTCAGTCAAGCTATGTCACGGTTTAAGAACTTTCTTATTCAGGTGTTGGCTTCCCAGTTAAAATGTAACCTTAAAGGTTTAAAACCACATTAAGGGCAAAGATTCAATGAAAGTGAAGAAATGAAACTCTGAAATGGAAGATTTAATGAATAAATGGATAATGATTACTAAGGTCAACTTTACCATCAATGCAGGACATTTAACAAAGGCCTACTTTATGGCAGGCATGATTCTGGGCCCTGGGAATATACTGGTAAGTGAGTCAGATAAGGTCCCTGCTCTCATACACTAAGGACAGAATGCATGTTAAGCATAACAAACAGATAATTCATAATCTAATTTCAGTGTGTTTCACTGGATCCTGATCTCTACTGTGGACATAGTGCCAGGTAATTCCTATCAAACTATTTTCTTTTGCCTGAAAATTTTTATGAGTACCAGTAAACATACTGAGACAATTCAGGGAAACAATCTGGTAATCTCATATGGGTACTGTTTCACTTAATAAGACCTCTTTTTTTTTCAGGGGCCCATATGTAAACTGATCTAAAACTTGCTCAAATTTACCAGCAAAGCAACTCTGAGAAGCAGTACAGAGTTCCACGAGATAAGACCTAAGCATTCCTCTTGGACAGGAAAGCATATGCGAACACTGTCCAACATGGGTATTCAGCCATGCAGAAAAAATCTTACACCAACTATAAGCCAACCATAAATTGGCAATATAGCATTTTTATTGAAAAGGTAATTAGAGCCTAATTTACTTTGCTTAAGCATGATGCTCAAATAGAAGAACTAAGCTACTGTGTCCACAGACCAGTGAATTTATTGTGGAGAAACACTAGACAGTTGAGGTAATGCCTGAGGTCTAGGCCTGTAGAAACTGAGCAATGGTAAAGCCTCAAAAGAATGCTACAGGTTAAGAGAGAAAAGGAGCAAGGTATTGTACCCCTTGATTTGCTTGACAGATGAACAGTCTACAAAGTAGAAATGTGACATTCAGGAGAGCCAGCCACCAGAAGACCCAGAGGGACAGAAGTCATTAAAAGGAAAAGGAAGCCAGCAGTGGGAGTCTTAGCCACATTCCCAAAAGTGGAGAGTTCAAGTGCAGGATGCAGAGAAAACAAGATGCAGACATTCTATGTTGTAAGTCAACAGACAACTTATCATCATTAAATAAGAATGGCTTATTTTTGGTCCTTGTTTTTGTTATAGAAAGAAAAGCTGGCCGGGTGCAGTGGTGCACGCCTGTAATCCCAGCACTTTGGGAGGCTGGGGAGTGGATCACGAGGTCAAGAAATCGAGACCATCCTGGTCAACATGGTGAAACCCCATCTCTACTAAAAATACAAAAAATTAGCTGGGCATGGTGGTGTGTGCCTGTAATCCCAGTTACTCGGGAGGCTGAGGCAGGAGAATTGCTTGAACCCAGGAGGCAGAGGTTGCAGTGAGTCGAAATCGTGCCATTGCACTCCAGCCTGGGTAACAAGCGCGAAACTCCGTCTCAAAAAAAATAAAAAAATAAAAATAAAAAAATCTGAAATTTTGGTGGGGTTGTGACTTACTTTCCTAATTGGAAAAAATCTCTCTGCTGGTCAGTCTCTAGTCTGGTCTCCCAGAAAGCCACACCCACAAGAAGTCAGGTAGACAACAAGATTTTGTGGCCATTCTTTTACTTCATATGCTAGCACACCAAGCCCATAGCAGCACATTGTATGAGACAGTCTAGTAAACTCCTAGAGTATCTGGTTGCTTATAAATAGCAACTGGAGGGTCTCTAACATAATGAGATCAACTGGAGAGGGACCAAAGCCAGGTTGGTAAAATTTTCAGCTACAATATCACTCAAACCCTAGTACTGAATCACATAAAGAGAGAAAACTAATGGGTCAAGCACTGCGTGATGCCAGGCATGGTGGCTCATGCCTGTAATCCCAGCTACTTGGAAGGCTGAGACAGGAGAATCACTTGAACCCAGGAGGTGAAGGTTGCGGTGAGCAAAGATGGCACCACTGTACTCTCTAGCCTGGAAGACAGAGCAAGACTCTGCCTCAAAAAAAAAAAAAGCACTGTGTAACGTCATACCAATAGGATATTTAGACAGAGAAGGTAAGTTGCTAGGAATTAGCTGAAAGGGATGGGTGTCATTTTTATTAATTTTTCTTATTTTGTTAAGTAATTTATAATTCTTCCAAGGTAGATGGCTTCTTTTTCCCTAGTAGCTGCTGATTCTGGGGCTTGCGTGGTGTCAGAACCAGGTGGTTTGCCCAGCTAGTCCCCTTTGGCTGTGAATAAAAGTGGTGCAGCACAGCTGGAAGAGCAAGGGCTTTGGAGTAAAACCTGGAGCTGCCATGGCAAGTTACACACTGCATCTCAGTTTCCTCTGGTGTAAAATAGGCCACAAAGGAGCGTGCTCTGAGGTGTCGTGCAGTTTGGTGCCAGAGACAAAAAATTAAGAACTGTCAATTCTAGAATCTTTAAAGCTTTCAAAGACAGCCAGCAGAACCTCACTGTTGCTTACAAACTCAGAGACCAAATTAAGGAGAAAGGTTCCTCTTCCATGGACTCCCTATAAGGGCAGGAAACAAGCTACAGATTACTGCACCTTCAGGAGGTGGCATGGGTGCCCTTCTACCCAGACGCATACTTCTAGAGGCAGCAGAGAAAAGAAAGCAGCCTCCAGGATGGGCCAGTACCTGCCTGGGGACAACGAGACAACTAGGTAAAGTCTCACCCTTTAAGAAGAGACAAGGAAAAAAGGATGTGCAGCTAAGACATGGTGGACAATTTAAATGGATAGCATTGAGGACTAAACCATAAAAATTCTTTGAAAAGAGTAATTTTGGAAACTTCTTACCTAGGGTGAGGTCTGCCAGTTTTTGAGGCCTTTGATTTATGACTCAGAGAAAAGGGGATCTGCTCAGCCTCATCTGAATATTATCAACAAAACTAACTTGCACTATCGGACCAGGCATGGTGGCTCACGCCTGTAATCCCAGCACTTTGGGAGGCCAAGGCAGGAAGATCACTTAAGGCCAGGAGTTTGAGATCAGCCTGGCCAACGTGGTGAAACCCCATCTCTACTAAAGACACAAAAATTAGCCAGGTATGGTGGCACACACCTGTAGTCTCAGCTACTTGGGAGGCTGAGGCAGAAGAATCACTTGAACCCAGGAGGCAGAGGTTGCAGTGAGCCAAGAGAGTACCACTGCATTCCAGCCTGGTGACAGAGCCTGACTCTGTCTCAAAAAAAAAAAAAAAAAAAAAAAAAAAGACTTGACAGTAAATAGTGTTTACTGAGTGTCTTCTAATGTATCAGAACCTTATCTCACTTTATAGAAATCACTACATGACACCTCAGAGCACGCTCCTTTGTGGAGTATTTTACACCAGAGGAAACTGAGATGCAGTGTGTAACTTGCCATAGCAGCTCCAGGTTTTACTCCAAAGCCCTTGCTCTTCCAGCTGTGCTGCACCACTTTTATTCACAGCCAAAGGGGACTAGCTGGGCAAACCACCTGGTTCTGACATCACGCAAGCCCCAGAATCAGCAGCTACTAGGAAAAAAGAATCCATCTACCTTGGAAGAATTAGAAATTACTTAACAAAATAAGATAATTTCATCTTTAATATGTTTTTTGGTCTTGGAAAAGTAGATTCCTAATAGATATATATTTTAATTTCTATGAGAGCATATTAAAAATGCAATTTAAATGAAAAAAGCAAGGTATAGAATGTTATAGTTACTCTTTGTCTACAAAGGGGAAAAAAGAATATACAGATATGTAGTTACACAAAAAACTGCTAAGAATTGCCACTGGCTAGCAGAAAGAACTACAATTAATTTTTCTTTTCTATCTTTTAGGAATCATTAACTACTAAATGATGCAAAATGCAAAGGATACAATTTAGCAATATTGACCAAAAACCTATGGTATTTACTGTTGGACCCAAAAAACCACTTCTGAAAATTTATCATGTAGATGTACAACTTACCCACATATGAAGTATCTTACGTAGAACATTACTCATTGTTGCATTATTTAAAAGCACAAGAATGGAAAATGTTCATTTGTCAAGTAATAAGGGTACTGACTAAATATACTACATAATGTATCTACACAACAGAATACTCTGTAGCTGTAAAAAAAATAAATAAATAAAAGAATCTCTAGTAAGAAAAGATCTCTAAGGCCGGGTGCGGTGACTCACACTTATAATCCCAGGACTTTGGGAGGCTAAGGCCGGCGAATCACTTGAGCTCAGTAGTTCGAGTCCGGCCTAGCCAACTAGAGATGGACGGGGAAACTCCATCTCTACTAAAAATACAAAAATTATCTGTGCGTGGTGACGGAACGCCTGTAATGCCAGCTACTAGGGAGGCTGAGACAGGAGAATCGCTTGAACCTGGGAAGCGGAGTTTGCAGTGAGCCAAGATCGTGCCACTGCACTCCAGCCTGGGCGACAGAGCTAGACTCCGTCTCAAAAAAAAAAAAAAAAAAAAAAGAAAAGATCTTCTGGATATATTGTTAAAATTCAACACTGGTAGAGAAGAGTGTAAATACTAGACTATGTATGGAAAAGTAATGGGTGTCTGGGTGAAGGGGGCGAGTAGGTGGTAAACAGAATAGGAGCTAGCCCTTCTCCAGTAGGTTTTGCAACTGATTTTAGCACTATGTAAATGAGTTACTCATTTAAAAAAATTTTTAATGTAAAGATTACTTACACAGTGAGAGATATTTTAAAGAAATGATATTCTGTTCAGAGGAAAATAAGTGACCCAATGGCTAAACAAAAGTAGCATTGGCCTATTACCTAATTTGATAACTGGTATTTCATTCAAAACAATTTGAAATTTCTATCTTACCTATATTTCATAATTTCAACTATATCTTCAGCATCTTCTTTGGTTGCTTCCTCTCTCAATTCCAACCTTGCTCGTGCCTTTGAAATAAAACACCATTTTCAGATGACAAAAGATAAATATATTTACCATAGTATGTCTAAGCTTTATTTCATTTACTCATTTTACACAAAAACTGACATTTAGGTGAGGAAGGTTATAACATCAGAAGTCAAAATATGAAAAAAATTATCTGGGCCAGTGGTGGTGGCTCACGCCTATAATCCCAGCACTTTGGGGAGGCCACGGCCAGAGGATCACTTAAGCTCAGAAGCTTGAGACCAGCCTGGGCAACAAAGTGAGGCTCTATCTCTACAAAAAAACATATAAATTAGCTGGGTGCAGTGGTGTATGCTTGCAGTCTCGGATACTTGGGAGGCTGAGGTGGGAAGATTGCTTTAGCCTGTGAGGAGAGGCTGCAATGGGCCTTGGTCATGCCACCGCACTCCAGCCTGGATGACAGAAGGAGACCCTGACTCAGGGCAAAAAAAAAAAAAAAAATCTCTAAAATCTTGAATATGAAAATTATAACTCACTTAAAATAGGATAAAACTCATTTTGACCTATTAACATATCTTTCTGGGTGTTCATTTCAGGAGACTTAATGATTAAATATACTTGCCTTTTACTTTGAGGAAACCATGCCTAACCAATATGGTAAAATAACAAAGGGGAGCTAATCAGATTTTAGGAGCAAAAAGCCCAAACTCTGAGCTAGTTAATTTTAACTGCCAGAGTTCTCTTAGTATTTTGCAACTGTAAGCAGATATTATTGCTATTAAAAACCCAGGCACTATCCTTGTGAACCTGTCATGTAATGAAATAAAACACTCAAGATACCTGACACATTCCATGTTCCCATATATTCAACTGGGGATCTCAGAATCCTAGTTAACCTAACCACTTTTCAGACATTCCAGGAGCTCCTAAGTGTCATTCAAAGAAAAAGAAAAGTTGCATGCTAAGTAATTGATTCTGTGACTAGAAGTAATTATACACTGATAGGTTACAGATATGACAAAAATATTTTAAAAAAACTTTTATCCATCCATTTCTAACGTTTCTCAATAGAAAGAAAAACTGAGTCAATTATGCAGACGACAGTTCAAAAGAGAAGTCATGGCATACCATTCCCCTATAAGTCAAAAAAGCATGACCATAAAAAGAAACAAACCTCTGTTAGACGAATCAAAGATTCCAGCTGCCTGGTAGTGATTGGTGAGCTATTTAACCGCTGGCTCTGTTTCCGGAGCTCAAGGTAAAAATCTTGAAGAACTTGAGCAGCTTCTGTGGATAGCCTTGAGTAGACATACTGTCGAGCATAGCCAATGTACTTTCTCAATAGCTGGTGGGGAATGGGATCTATTATTTCTCCGGGAACCACCTGAAGCATGATCAAAAGGACCAAGATAACACAGATAAGTAGCCAATAAAATCTGTCTGCTAAAATAATTTGTTTAGGCCAGGTGCAGTGGCTCACACCTATAATCCCATCACTTTAAGAGGTCAAGGGACACATCACCTGAGGTCAGGAGTTAGAGACCAGCCTGGCCAACACAGCAAAACCCGTTCTCTATTAAAAATACAAAAATTAGCAAGGCATGGTGGCATGTGCCTGTAGTCCCAGCTACTTAGGAGACTGAAGCAGGAGAATCGCCTGAACCTGGGAGATGGAGGTTGCAGTGAACCAAGATCATGCCACTGTACTGCAGCCTGGGTGATAAAATGAGACTCTGTCTCAAAAATAAAATAAAATAACTTGTTTAGAAAAATATATAATTCTAAAAGAATCTCCAAATCAACCAAACACTGTATCTGTAGCTCTCTTCCTAGCTGTCTTAGATTTTTTTTTTTTTTTTTTTTTTTTTGAGAAGGAAATCACTGTTGCCAGGCTGGAGTACAGTGGCATGATCTCTGCTCACTGCAACCTCTGCCTCCCAGGTTCAAGCAATTCTCCTGCCTCAACCTCCCAAGTAGCAAGGACTACAGGTATGCCCCACACTCCCAGATAATTTTTGTATTTTTAGTAGAGACAGGGTTTCACCATGTTGGCCAGGATGGTCTGGATTTTCTGACCTCATGATCCTCCTGCCATGGCCTCCCAAAGTGCTGGGATTACAGGCGTGAGCCACTGCACCCGGCCGACTTAGATTATTTCAAATGAAGTTTGAAACTCTAGTACTGAAACATTAAAAAGTTCTGGTAAAAAAGTTATATCCCATGACTCTACAATAAGTACTCTATACACTGAACTTTGACATTCAAACAGAACCAAACTGAATGATTAAGGAGAAGAAACATTTATACCTTTAGTCTTTCTGATAATGGTTTCTCAGAAACTACTTCAAGTACAGAAGTATTTGAATCTTGACTACTCATACGAGCTACTGTGGCACTGCTAACGGTTCTCTGCTTTCCAGCTCTTATTGCAATCACATGTTCAGAGAGTAAGTGATCATGATGCTCATTTGGAGTGTCTAACAGGATAAAGACCAAATCAAATCTGGATAGGAGTGCACTCCCCATTCTACAAAGCATGAAAGAAGAAACAATGATTGGAATCAAAAAGAAAAACTAGAAAACTGTTTACTCACTTGTTTACTACTCAAGTTCCATGTAGAACTTGAAAAACCAAACTTTAGGTTAAAGAAATAAGCAAACAGCTTTTTGGATTTGATATGTCCGCCCACTGCAACATGGGCACAAGAATTACATGTACCTAACCTGGGTAGGTTGAGGACATGGCCCTTTCTCACACCACCAAACCCACTGACTTCTTCTTCATGTCCTATTATCACTAACTGGCAATACTGCTACATGACATATCAGAGGTTAGCTAGTTCAGTAGTTTGTTCATACCATTAAAAACAGAATCCAAGTCCCCTGGATTTTTGTTTAGTAGATCTTTCTGATTTTTCTAATATAGCACCTTGTCATTTTACTAAAGAACAACTACTAGTAGGTTGACTTTTTGTGGTGGTGGTAGAGAAATATCCTAAATTTCCAAGTATAAACTGTGTATTTCACTATGTATCAAAGAATATTTCTATACTGATACATTATTAAACAATAAAAAATTAGCTCCACCCACACTAAAGTCTCTAATTTTTCAGGAGGCACTCTTTTGTCTCACTTTATCACTTACATACATTTTTCCTTTTCCAAACATTTTGTCCAACCTATACAGAGTGCATTAGAAGAGAAAGCATAATACAGATATAAACGTTGGTTTTGAAAACAGTGGAACCATACCACTTGTTTAAGTAAGTTAATGTGCTCTTCTCACTTAACAGTAGAGCACAGCCATGTTCCCCTATTAGTACATACGAAGCCCTTTTGTTCTCATAATCGCTGCTTTCCACTGTACAGTGTTACTTAGTTTTACGGTGTTTCCAACTTTTGGTGGCGATAATGCTACAATACCCATGCTATAAACCTCATTGTGCACTTGTGTGCCTCTCTGAACAGCAGTCCTAAAAGTAGAGTAGCTGTAACAAACAATGTACATTTAGAATCATGATTAACACACCAAGGTATCCTTCAAAATACTAAATTGTGTATGTGAGAAACAATTTCTTTTTTTTTTTTTTTTTTTTGAGATGGAGTCTCCCTCTGTCACCCAGGCCGGGGTGTGGTGGCACAATCTTTGCTCACTGAAATCTCCATCTCCCAGGCTTAAGCAATTCTCCTACCTCAGCCTCCCAAGTAGCTGGGATTACAGGCAGCTGCCATCAGGCCCAGCTAATTTTTATGTCTTTACTAGAGACAGGGTTTTGCCATGTTGGCCAGGCTGATCTTGAACTCCTGACCTCAAGTGATTACTTGCCTCAGCTTCCCAAAGTGCTGGGATTACAGGTATGAGCCACCAGGCCCGTCAGTGAGAAAACATTTCCACACTACTTTGCAAATAATGTTAGTATTTAAAATGTCTGCCACTATCAGTGGTACTTCATTGTTTTACTTTGGAGTGTTTAAGCACATGTTTTGTGCATTTATTGGACACATGTAACTTCTGTGAACTATCCATATATTCCCCATGTAGTTCTGAGAGCTATTTATTTATTTTTCTTATTGATTAGAGTGACTCCATCTTAAAGGTATAAATATTTAAACAGACTTACTTTAAATTCTCAGAAACCGTTTTGGCTTTATTGTAGTGTCCTCCTGCTGGATTTGCAGCAGCGATAATGGAAGTTCTTGCAGGAAGGCTGCAAACCACCCCAGCCTTAGCAAGACTAATACTTTGCTGCTCCATGGCCTCCAACAAGGCTTGGTGTTGATTCCCCATCTTATCAAATTCATCTATTCCACAAATACCTACAATCAAAGTAGAATAATGCAGACAAATTTTTTCTTTGGTTGAGTTCCAAATTTTATAGGATAGAAAATGTTTCACAATAATTATTTCCATTTGTTTCAGCAGTTAAAATGATAAAATGTCATACAATGAAGAATTACTGTTTGTTTCGCAGCAAGTAACACACTTGTCTTATTTAACTAAGTTTTGTGTAATAGTTATTCCTTTAGCATTTTTCATAGGCAAGGCACTATGTTGTGAGGATTACGAAAATGAAAAAGAAATAAGAGTAACCCTCAAAATGCTTAAGGACTTAAATTCAAACAGGTGAGATTTTACACACACACACATTTAATAAGGGTATTTCAAAACCTATATTCATGTACTGACTATACACTTGTATATACACATAGGGAAATCACTTAACCTCTTTAAACATATCTAATGGACCACCACTAACTAGAGGCACTGTATATACCAGAATTGTCCTGTCTATTGCATAAGTTATTGGAGACTCTCTAACATTATCTTGTAGTATTTGTCTTCCCTGCTCCCCATACCAGTTAAAAAACTGCTTAGTCTTTTTGAAACCCAGCTGCTAAACTAACTGGTATGGGGAGCAGGAAAGACAAATATTACAAGGTAACGTTAGAGAGTCCCCAATAACTTGTGCAATAGACATGACATTCCTGGTACATACAATGCCTTTAGTTTATTTCAACACATTTTCTTCTATCCTTGAATGCACTTCTGGTTTTATGTTTGGGTTTCCTACTTTATGTTGAATTTCCTTTGTTCTCTATCTCTGTTACTTCCCCTCTAATTGTATTAAGCTTTGCTCTTTTCCATTCACTTTATCTCAAGGCTTTCCTTTATTTATAATTTTTCATTCAGCAATGTCAGTTTTATATATAAGTTTAATAACATTGTTAGCTGTCAATTTGTCTCTCATATCCTTATCATCTCCTTGTTTTGAGCTATTTCATTAAATTCATGTTCTTATCAAACATGAAACATTCACGGGAAATTTTCATTTGTTCCTTAGATTATAATTTTGTCTAGAGTGAGGTCTTTTATTTGGCATATTAAGTGTATGTAAGAATATTTCTTCATAGCTGCCATACTGTCTCTTTACCTTGCTCATGTAAAATAATGGCTGCTCTGTGCAAACCTATTTTTTCCAACATGGTATACATGAATTCTTGTCAATACTCTTCTCAATGTAATTTTGACCCATTTTCTCCTTTCCAGCTACATTTTGCACTTTTTGGTAACCTAATGATTTAGAAGGGGGAGGTAAGGGGAACTTTGTTGAACTGTGTGCTACCTTTCTTGCTGATGTCTCTTCTGAGAGGGTTCACACCCCTCTGTTTGGAATGTGTCCCATATTCATGCCAGGGGATCCCAGTGCATTAGTCTGTTCCCGCTGTTCAATGTGGAGCTCTAGGACGTGGTGAGCCTTCCCTGCCTCTGCTAAGATCCTAGCAGTGGTACACTCAAAGGCTTTATTGCCACCTTTCCCTGAGCTGCCCATTGCTCTGTCTGCCTATACCTCTGGATTCATGGTATTATCGGAAATTTTCAAGACTACTAGCACATTCCTCAGAGATGGGAATGGGGTAGGAAGAAAGTCAAGCTACTTCCGACTTTGGCTGTCACTTTTCAAAGTGTAAAGCAGGAGCTGGGAAACCTTTTCTGCAAAGGGGCAGAAGTACATATTTTAAGTTTCACACGCCATGCACAATCTTAAATATTCTTGGGCTTTTCTGTTTGTTTGTACTTTACAATCTTTTAAAAAAAAAGCCAGTTTTAGCTTGTGGACTGTACTAAAACAGGCCGCTGGCTGGTTTGACCTATGGACCAGTTTACTGACCCCTTGTTTTAAAGCATGAAACATAAACTTTGAACTTTTTTTTCTGAGACAGAATTTCACTCTGTGGTCCAGGCTGGAGTACAGTGGCACCATCATGTTTCTCTGCAACCCCCACCTCCTTGGTTCAAGTGATTCTTGTGCCTCAGCCACCTGAGCAGCAGGGATTACAGGCATGCGCCACCTCACCCAGCTAATTTTTGTATTTGTAGTAGAGACAGAGTTCTGCAATGCTGGCCAGGCTGGCCTCAAATTCCTGGTCTCAAGTGCTCCACCCACCTCAGCCTCCCAAAGTGCTGGCATTAAAAAATTTTAAAAACCCTCCAAATCACCTTCTACTGCTAGTTAATGAAAAGTTTCATGGTTTAATAATTATTACCTTTTTATTACTACACTTTCTTCACCTGGCAACTTAGCAAAGAGATTCTTACTTCTGATGAGCTATATAATAACCAGATACATGTTTTATGTATTTGTTTTTCAGCAAATACTTACTGGATATAAATGCAATAGATTTATAAATTCAATAAACTGCATGCCCTTTATATACCAGTACTATGTTCTAGGCATGCTGGGTATGACGGTGAAAAGACAAAATTCCCTGCTTTTGTGAAGCTTACGTTCTACTCAGCCAATGCAGGGTAGGCAATAAAAAGTAAACCATATAGAAGGTGAAAAGTGCTATGGAAGGAAAACATAGAGTAAGGTAAGGAGAATAAGGTCTGCTAAGGTGGCAGCAGGGGCAGGGGAGGTTATGACTTAAAATACAATATTTAGGGAAGGCCTAATTAGGGTCAGGACATTTGAGCAAAACATGAAGGGGGAAAGAAAACAAGCCTTAGCAGCTATATGTGGGGTAACAACACTCCAGGCAAACCAAACAGCAAGTACAAAGGCCCTTATGAGGAAATGTGACCTGCCTGGTGTGCTGCTGGTGTCTAAGGTAGGGCCACCAGTGGACCTAGAGAAGAGGAAACAGGGAAGCAGCAGATAAGGAGGCAAAAGAGGTGAAAGGCCAGAACATGAATGGCCCTGGGCCACTCTCAAGGCTTTGGCTTTCACTCTGAGCAAGATGGGCAGTTACTAGAGGGTTTTGAGCAAAAGAATAACATAATCTAATTTTAATGAGATTATGCTACTATATTAAAAATAACAGGAAGGGGCAAGGGTGGTTACAGGCATGCCAACTGGGAGATTACAGTAATAATCCATGTGAGACAGGATGGTGAAGAAGTGGTTTGATACTGGATATGTTTTGACAGTAGAGTCAACAACATTTGCCAACAGATTAATGTGGGGCATGAGAAAAAGTCAAAGATGGCTCCATGTTTTCTGATTTGAACAATTAGAATGAGAGAGTTGTCATTTACTGAGATGAGGAAGACTGAAAATAGATTTGAAAGACAAAATCAGGATTTTAATTTTAGACATGCTAAGTTTAAGAAATTTGTGGAGATACTGTGTAGACAATATATGTGCCTGATGTTTAAAGGAAAGGAGATAATAAATTTAGAATTTTTCACAGATAGGGAGGTAAAGCTATGAAATGATATAAGATCAACATGAAGGTAAATATAGACCAACAAGACAAAGGGTCCAAGAAGCAAGCACCTTAGTTAACAACAGATAAGAGGTTATGGAGATGAAGAACCAGTAAACACTGAGAAAGAAGCAAAGAATGAAATAAAGTGGCCTGGAAACCAAGGAGAGTTTCAAGGGTCTCAAAGAGGAGGGAGTGATTAACTGTGTCAAATGTGGCTACCAGGTACGAGGTTCAGAAATGTGGAAGTCACTGGCAAACCAGAAAGAACGAATGACCTTACTGGACTGGAATCTGGGCACTGCCTGACACATGCAATGGGAACATGTGTTTTTCAATAAGGTTAAGGCATCACAAAGAGAAACTTAGGTTGCAAAGCCCAATGTAGGTTTCTTCTTGCTGAGCCTACGCCTGGATTTCTTATCACCTATCACTCAAATCCTGAAAAAAACAAGTTGGGTTACAATATAGCAAAACTATTCATTCTGAAGTAGGCCAGATGCGGTGGTTCATGCCTGTAGTCTGTAATCCCAGCACTTTGGGAGATGAGGTAGACAGATCACTTGAGGAGTTCGAGATCAGCCTGGCCAACATGGTGAAATTCCATCTCTACTAAAAATACAAAGATTAGCTGGATGTGGTCACACATACCTGTAATCCTAGCTACTCAGGAGGCTGAGGCACGAGAATGGCTTAAGCCTGGGAGGCAGAGGTTGCTGCAAGCTGAGATTGTACCACTGCTCTCTAGCGTAGGTGACAGAGCAAGACTCTGTCTCATAAAAAGAAAAAAACATCTAGAGTAACAGCTCTAATCTCTTATTGCAAGTCTTCTGTGAGCAAAGGATGACATCCACCTTTTTTATCAGTGCCAAGGTTTCTAAACTATTCTAAACTAAATAATATATGTATTTACTGTATGCCTATGTACTAGGCAATGGGAACATGGCAGTCCACAAGACATCCAAATCTCACCTTCCAAGGAGCTTACTATAAAGCTTCAAAACAGGCTTAAAAAAAAATGATCACAAATGTGATGGGTGGTATGAAATGGGAAGTTTAGGGAACTACACATATTTATTTGATTTTTACACATACTTGTAACTGCTATAAGATTCTGAAAATGAATGACATTAAGTACAGTTTCAATTCTGTAGTATAAAAATGATGATACTGCATTTCCAATGATTATTTCCGACAGTGTCAAGTCACTGGTTAGGACTGTGCTATCTAAATGTCTCTTAAATAGAATGTAAAAAAATTAACTGAAAAGGAAAGTCTTTTTAAAAAGCCCCAGAATCACTAATTATTCCTTTTGGCTTCTCACCTTGATCACCAAGTACCAGGGCACCAGCTTCCAAAGCAAAATCTCCAGAGGAACTATCTTTTGAAAGAGTTACCGTCAGACCAGAGGTGGTTGTGGTGTTACCACAAACATACACGCCACGTGGAGCAACATTGCACACTGCCTATGGAAACAAAATGTTTAAGAGAATCATCCAAAACAAAAGGGAAGTAATAGCTAACCGCAAGTGCTCACAAACGTTAGGTTGTTTGTTTGTTTGTTTGTTTGTTTTTGAGACAGAGTCTCGCTCTATCACCCAGGCTGGAGTGCAGTGGCACGATCTCCACTCACTGCAACCTCTGCCTCCCAGGTTTAAGAAATTCTCCTGCTTCAGCCTCCCGAGTAGTTGGGACTACAGGTGCCTACCACCACACCTGGCTAATTTTTGTATTTTTTGTTGTGTTTTTTCTTTTTTCTTTATTTTGTGATTTTTGTATTTTTAGTAGAGATGGAATTTCACCATATTGGCGAGGCTGGTCTTGAACTCCTAACCTCATGATCTGCCCGCCTAGGCCTCCTTTTAAGAACTTTATGGTACAAGGTGCACCATCACCATCAGAGGAAGGTATCATTATATCCTGATTTGCTGATGTCAAAACCAAGGCCAACAAAGAGTGAATGAGGAACTATACAGCTATGAAGGTGGAAAGTCAGGATTCAATCAGACCCAGGTAGTCTGATTCTGAAGTCTGTGGTCATATAAATACTCAACACAATTCCAATTTATGCTTCATTTTCAAGTTCAAAAAGCAAAAGCATGAGTACCAATTTTAATTTTGAAGGTTCCAATGCTTCTTTAAACATCAGGTAATAAAATGGCTCAATACATGCTCACCTTCTGAGCAGACAAGCTATAGCAGGAAGAAAAGTAAATAGCACAAGAGTTAAAAGTAGCCAAGATCGCACCACTGCACTCCAGCCTGGGCAGCAGAGTGAGACTCCGTCTTAGGGGGAAAAAAAAAAAGGATAGCTCTCTGGAGTCAGGCAGACCTGTTTAAATCATGCACCAGCTGTGTGGCTCTCAGACCTCTCTGAGCCTCAGCTTCCTCATGTTTTATCACAGCATTGCCCTGAAGAATAAGTGAAATCATGTATGCAAGGCACTTAATTTGGTACCTGGCATATAAGTGCCCAATGTAGAACCACTGTGTATGGCAATGCACTGCCCAATTCCAAGGGACAGTATTCATATCTCAAACACCCACTGCTATCCTATGGTGCTGGCTCAATAAGTAGTAATTATCATTATTTTTGCTACTTATACATGTTATTAGTCTTTATAAGAAATCTCATAACACAAGAGTATGATGGTTTACTAAGTAGTCAGAAGAAAAGAGAATTAAAAATATAAAGTAAGTAGTTCTTAACTGTTTGTTTTAGCTTAATTTTTATATTTATTATTTTTGAGACAGGGCCTCACTTTGTCATCCAGGCTGGAGTGCAGTGGGACAATCATAGCTCACAGCCACCTTGAAGTCCTGAGCTCAAGTGATCCTCCACCTTGGCTTCCCTAGTAGCTGGGACTACAGGAGCATGCCACCATGCCTGGCTAATTTATTTTTTGTAGAATCAAGGTTTCACTATGTTGCCCAGGCTGGTCCAAAACTTCAGCCTCCTGAGTAGTTGAAACTACAGGCACATGCCACCACACTTAATTTTTTAAAAATTGTTTTTTGAGACAGGATCTCACTATATTGCCCAGCTGGGTCCTCCTGCCTTGGCCTCCCAAAGTGTTGTGATAACAGGCATGAGCCACCGCACCCAGCCTGTTAGTATAGTTTTTAAAAACCCTGGCTTAGTGTGGCTTACATGTCATACTCTATACTATTCACAATGTTTAATTTCCATTAATGTTACAGATTCTATTTTTAAACTGAGTCAAGGGTTTTGAAGGCATTATTCCAGGTTTGAAAAACAAGAAAAACTGCCAATGTAACTTCTTGGTATTAACACTTTCAATACCACTAGATATATTTTAGAACAACTATCTGCCAAGAAACATTTCTTGGAAAAAAAAAAAAGAGCAAAAAAATGGAAGTTGTATATACTGCAAGCAATATGTATAAATTATGAGATTTGTACAGATAATAAAGACACTCTAGGGGTTAAAGCAGGCTCCCACCTATAATTCACTAATTCCAAAGTTACATGCATATGCACATGTACAACACCACAAAAGGCAGAAAAAAAAGCTGTAACAATTCAGATCCCCACCTGCATGTTTTCCTACATATTCTAAATATACTGTTTTCATTTTTTTTTTTTTTTTTTTTTAAGACAAGATCTTGACCTATTGCCCAGGCTGGGTGCAGTTGCACAACCATGGCTCCTGGCATTCTCCAACTCCTAGGTTCAAGCAGTCCTCCTGCTGCAGCCTCCTGAGTAGCAGGGACTACAGGTGTGTGCCACCATGCCCAGCTAATTCTTTTATTTTTTTGTAGAGATGGGCGGGGGGGTCTCACTTTGTTGCCCAGGCTGGTGTTGAACTCCTGGCCTCAAGTAATCCTTCCGCCTTGGCCTCCCAAAGTATTAGGATTATAGGTGTGAGCCACTGTGCCCAGATTCCTGTTCATTATAAGGCTTATTTTGTTTCACCTATAAGGGGTACCCTGTACCTCAGTCGTCAGGCTTATAGTGAGGTCTCAGAGTAGAATTTTTTTAAAAAGTAGCCTCACATGGTGAAACCCCGTCTCTACTAAAAATACAAAAAAATTAGCTGGGCACGGTGGTGCGTGCCTGTAATCCCAGCTACTCGGGAGGCTGAGGCAGGAGAATTGCCTGAACCCAGGAGGCGGAGGTTGCGGTGAGCCGAGATTGAGCCATTGCACTCCAGCCTGGGTAACAAGAGCGAAACTCCGTCTCAAAAAAAAAAAAAAAAAAAGTAGCCTCAGCTGGCCAAAAGGAACCAAATATATATGAAATGTTATAGAAGGAATGAAAATGATGACTGGTTCAACACTCAACCACAGGCAAAAAAGGATGACTCTGATATGAAGGACAGTGGGTTTACAATGTAATGACAAGATCAAAGCAGTTGTCAAGCTTGGCTGTGTATCAGAATCATCTGTGCACTGCTGTATACATACAGACACTAAGACCCTAACATGAAAACTCTAAACTCAATTGGCTTGTGGTAGGCCATGGTATTTTCAAAGAGCTCCAAAAGTAATTGTGATGTACAGCCAGAGTCTCAATCCTTGGACAAAGATTCAGAAGTCACACTACTACAACTTACCAAAGGGCCAGGGAAGCCCTGGTCAATTTTCCACATTGAGTGGGACAGAAGGGGGTCATAGGCATTTTTAGAAAGCACACTGGCTGAGCGCAGTGGCTCACACCTATAATCCCAGCATTTTGGGAGGCTGAGGCAGGCAGATCTGCTTGAGCCCGGGAGTTCAATACCAACCTGGGCAACATAGCAAAACCCCATCTCTACTATGGGGTTAGAGAAACGGTTAATATTTCCTAATAGGTGATGTCTCAACAGACCAGGGTGTCTGTACAGCCTGTGTAACAGGAAACTGGCTCAATTTAAAAATACGGCCAGATATAAATTACATATTACTCACACAAACTCCAATTCACTTATACCACCTAACAATGTCCTCTGGAACACACATACTATATGCTTTGAGAAAATTCACTTGTGAATTATTCATGCATTTTGTAAGCAAAAGACCAAACATTAAATGACTGATTTTCTACCTGGAGCATCTGACTTTTTCCTAAGCCTGGATCTCCAACAACAAGGATGTGTGGGTCTCCTCGAATTGGAATTCTGTTTTTGTCATCTGCATATTTCTGGCTTCCTCCAAATAGTGCTAATGCCAAACCTGCTTTAACAAGCTCAAGTGCGAAAAAGAACAAAAAACAGAAGTAAGGAAAACATAAAGATGACTAGCAAAGGGGTCCTCCTTCTATGACACTGATTTGTTTGGTGATTGTTTTAAAAGGATGATTGAATGTTAATTCTTTTTTCTAAGAAAAGGAAATCTAAAAACAAACTTCTATGATATAAATGATTGAAAAGTAAAAACTTGAAAGGATATAAGATCAGAGAGGTATCTTAGAAATTACCAAGACCTACCTTGCAAAACATCAATCCACTCCACAAAAATGAGAAACATTTGTTTCTGCTTTAATACTGGCAGTATCTGGTCACTTTAAAAGCCCATTTCTTACCAAAATTAGCTGGGTTGTGGTGGAGCATGCCTGTAGTCCCAGCTACTCAGCAGGCTGAGGTAGGAAAATTGTTTGAACTTGGGAGGCAGAGGCTGCAGTGAGCCAAGATCACACCACTGCACTCCAGCCTGGGTGACAGAGCAAGACTCCATCTCAAAATAAATAAAATAAAAGCCCATTTCTACTTACTCTCATTGGTAAGAGCTTTTTCTTAAAAGGAGCTATATGGCTGACACGTATAATCCCAGCACTTTGGAGGCTAAATTGAGTGGATCACTTGAGACCAGGACTTAGAGACCAGCCTGTACAACATGGGGAAACCCCATTGCTAAAAAATTTTTTTTAAAAATTAGCTGTGCATGGTGGTGCATGCCTGTAGTCCCAGCTACTCAGGAGGTTGAGGTCAGGAGGATGACCTGAGCCCCAAGGCTCAAGGCTGCAGTGAGCCATGACTGCGCCATCACACTCTAGCCTGGGTGACAGAGCAAGACCCTGTCTTAAAAAAAATAAATAAATAAAAGGAGCTGTAGTTGGCTTGTCTCCATATCATTAATTTATGAATAAAAATTCGTCGTATAATATAAATGGCCAAGAGAAATTTGCTACTTTCTGCAAAGTCTTTATATGCTATTTTTGCTAACTTTATATACTTTTTAAGTAAAGATTAAGTAAAATACTTACTTCATGACCAAAAATGACAGGGCAAAGCGAGCTGAAAAACAGAACACAACTTATGAATTCTAATTTATACTTCACTGACCCATTAGATCTCCTTTACAATTTGTTTAACTTGCTTTATTTAATATCAAAAGATAAATGTAAAAAATTTACATCCCCTCAACTCAAATTTTATTCCTACAGTAAATTTCTCAAAATTCTTGGTTAATCTATAAAGGTTAGAATGTTTTAAAAACTGCCTACATAAGGAAAAGAGGATACTTGCAAAGCATCATAAGTAACCAAATATAATGTTGCTCTTACAGATCTAGCCTTAAAATGCATCACAATCATGCTCTTCCACTTTAGGATACAGGATCATACTGTATTTTATGTGAATAGACATCTTTAGACCTGTGCAGCCAAGTCACTGAAAGGAGGCTAAGGAGTGAACTTAATATATAATACTGTAAGATGGAATAAAATGTCATTTTTTTTCAGTTCAAGTCAAAGGATCAAATTAAATAAATGAGTAGAGTGTTTTGTAGAACCAGAAAGGTGAGATAACTCAAAGCATGGGATTCCAGGCTACAGGTAAATTTAAACATTTTCTGGTTGACAATTGGTTGAATTTGTCTAAAGACCTGAGATCAGTAGAAAGGAATATTTGGGTTGCATAAGAGGTTGTGGAGACCAAAGTTTTATCATGCAGATGAAGCATTTAGCTAGCAGCCTTCAGAGAGAACAGGCTGTAAAATGTTTCTTATCAGACTGTTGTGTTGACATAAATGCTAGAGAGGTATAATAAGGCATGTCTGACCCCCCACTTCCTTTCATGGCCTGAATCAGTCTTTCAGATTAAATTTTAAGAGCCCTGGCTGAGGAGGAAGTCCATTCAGATGGCTGGGGGGCCTTAGAATTTTATTTTTCATTTACAGGTTCATGCCTGTAATCCCAGCAAGCACTCTGGGAGGCTGAAGGGGGAAGATCGCTTCAGCCCAAAAGTTCAAAACTAGCCTGTGCAACAAAGTGAGACCTTGATATCCACAAAAAAAATGTTTCAATTAGCCAGATGTAGTGGCACATGCCTTTAGTTCCAGCTACTTATGAGGTTGAGGTGGCAGAATAACTTGAGGCCAGGAGTTTGAAGCTACAGTGAGCTGTGATTGTGCCACTGCAATCCAATCTGGGCAACACAGCAAGACCCTGTCTCCAAAAAAAAGAAAAAGAGTATAAAGAAGTATATTTACATTTGTCAATTCTATAAACAAGAAACAAACAAAAATAGGGTGGGAGAGACAATCAGGAGTTAAATGTGAGTCTTTACTCCCTTTTAATGTATGTAAGCACAGAAGGAGGTGGTGTCGCGCTTGTATCCCCTTGGCACTTACTGTTCAGTATGCGCCTTCATGATCACTGCCAGCTTCCTATTGGCATCTGCACCTGTCTGCCAAAGACCTTTCTATGGCCACACAGGCATCATCAGCAGGCAGGATGGGCAGGCCAGAAGTGCTGAGGTATTTAACACTCTTGGGGGCAGACCCCAATGCTGGCCCTTAAATGGGAAAATACTGAGGCTAGCTTTACACAGTGGGGTGTTCTATTGGCCCAGGAAGATTATGTCCCAGATGCTAGTGGGTCGCCTGTTCGTTAAGGCACCATACAATGGCTGCCATCACTTCCCCATTTCCCTACCAGTAACTCCAGAATCACCTCCCGAGTAAACTATGTTGACCCAAGTCATTGCTTCTGAAGGAAACTAAACTAAAATATAAACTTCTACTGTCGCCTAGGAGGGGTTGAAAAACTTTTCCTTAAAGGGCCAGAAAGTACTTTCAGCTTTGCAGGCTATATTGTCTCAGTCACAACTACTCAACTTGTAGTGTGCAAGCAACTATGAACAGTAATGTAAGTAAAATGGGTGGGACTGTGTTTTAATAAAACCTTACTTACAAAAACAGGCAGCCTGTCTAGTTTGCCAATCTCTGCTAGGCTAATGAAGGACTATGAAAAATTCTAGTTTTGGTGCTGAAATCACTAACACGGGGAGAAAAAAACAAACTGTGGGAAGAAAACTCAAGTTTTTCATACTTATTTTTCTATAAGTATGGGAGAAGAGGGACCACTAAAAATGTTCAGTTTTAATTTCTAACCATTAAGAGGAACCAAAGACGTGTCTGAATTCTCAACCAGGTTGCTTCCTTGGCCACCTGCTCAAAGGATCACTCCCAGACCAGCCCCCAACCCTAGTTTAGAGCAGCCTCTCTTCCAGGGTGGGTCTGGTGGCTATTTATTCAGAGGGAAGTCTCTGAGAATTTAAGGACAAAAAACCCGAGTGGAGCACTATTCTTTACTCAGTCAGCTAATTAACATACTGAAGTAAGGAATAAAAAGCATCAAATCCTCTTATAAACGTAAGCCTAATGAATAGCAGAGAAGAAGATACCTTTTGGTGTGTGTGTGAGGCAGTCTTGATCTGTTGCCCAGGCTGGAGTGCAGTGGCATGATCATGGCTCACTGCAACCTCCACCTCCCTGGTTTGAGAGATTTTCCTGTCTCAGCCTCCTGAGAAGCTAGGATTACAGGCACCCACCACCACGCATGGCTAATTTTTGTATTTTAAGTAAAGATGGGGTTTCGCCATATTGGTCAGGCTGGTCTTGAACTCCTGACCTCAGGTGATCCACCTGCCTAGGACTCCCAAAGTGTTGAGATTAAAAGTGTGAGCAAAGGTGCCCAGCCAAGATCACTTTTTTTTTTTTTTGAGATGGAGCCTCACTCTATTGCCTCGGCTGAAGTGCAATGGCATACCTCGGCTCACTGCAACCTCCCCCTCCCAGGTTCAAGGGATTCTCCTGCCTCAGCCTACAGACATGCGCCACAACGCCTAGCTAATTAAAATGTTCTCAGTTCTTTACCTCTCTTAGATATATCTGTTATTCAGTCTCTCTCATTTTCTCCTATTTCTTCAAAATTATCCCCAAAACTGTCAAAAAATTATCAAAAGTAACAACACTATGTTGCGGTAATTATGGCAAGTACATCATAAAATTCCACTTAATCTTTAAAACAACCTTCTGAGATAGGTCTTATTATTTCCATTTTAAGGTGATACAAATAAAGGGGAAATTAAGTCACGTGTCCCAGATCACACTGGAAGTAAATGCCCAAAGCAGGAGCCTAACTTAGGTTTGTCTCCAAAGAAAAGCTCTTAACCACTACAGCAAAAAATGCCTATACTTTGCTTCCTCTCCGTGGCATGGCAATAGCATGGAAATAAAACTATCAAATACTTATTGAATACAAGTAACTTCTATTTGAATCTCTATGAACACCACCCTACATACAATTAACTGAAATGGCTTTGGAATTCACTGTTCCCTCCCTCTTCTGTTGAGCAACAAACTTCCTGTGTAAGCTTAAATATTCCTTATTGTTTAAACTAGAGATCAGCAAATTTTTTCCATAAAAGGACAGAGCAAAAATATGTGATCCATATATATATTCTCTGTAACAACTATTCAACTCTGCCACTGTAGCACAAAAGCAGCACACTATATAAATGAATGAGTGTGGCTGTGTCCCAATAAAACTTTCATTTATGAACACTGAAATCTGAATTTCATGTAAGTTCATGTGTTGTGAAATATTCTTTTAATTTTTTTCAACCATTAAAAAAATATATAAATCATTCTTATTCTTAGTTCATGGGCCATACTCAAGTGGATGGTGTGATGGATTTTGGTACATGGACTGTAGTTGACCATTTTGACTAGTTTTTTGTTACCTGTAGCCAAGAGAACCCCCAACATGCATTTATGTAATAGAATTTCAAATAACTGCATCCATACTTGACAATGAGTTTAAACAGGTTCTCTTCAGCTTGAATCTCTTGGATGGCATAAAGATCTCTGAGTGAGAACTCCATCAACATTCCATGCTTACATCCATCCTCAGAAGTCTTTGTTTTCTGTCCTTTGCTATTACTAATAGAATTTGCTTCAATGTACAAAAGGAACATGCACTTGTCATTCTTATTTCGACAACCTGTAAATTCAAAGTATTAAACATGACAGTTGGTATTTTCATTTTCCCTACAATGACTCAACTAGAATATAAAACAAAGTCATAGTGAGCTATATAAATAAATGTTTTTTTAAAGGGGACATTTCATCTTATGTAAGGAACAAGAAATCCTCAAATTATTTGAGATTCAGGAACATCTTAGAAAAGATGAATATTGACAAATCATTATTGAGAGAGAAATAATGAAGAGTTGTACCATACCTTCTTCAGCATTTGAGACTTTGACAATTCCAGTAACAGTCACTGTGTCTCCTGGGACACAGCTATCCACAAGATCATGAACAAGCTCACATTCTATTGTTCGTGGAATCCGACCTGCTTCTCTCTGATCCTCAGACATCAACTCTTGGATTCTAAAAAGTTACAATAGTTTTCAGTTAGAATACTTACTTTAGATGGTTTCTGTGAGATATTAACTCTGCAGGGTCCACACGATGCTGAGCTAAAGGCAGATTTGTTTATGAACAGTTTAATGGTGTATCTAAAATTACTTCAGCAGTTTCCAATTCAAGATGGCACAATGAGCATATGTATTTGCCTAGCCTCCAAAATGTCCACCGAAATTAGTCACCAAAAATTTTGTGGTATGTAGAGGTATCATCAGCAAATGAGATATTAATTAAATTTTTGAAAACAGCAAATGGTAAAGTATTGACAGATAAAATGAAGTCCAGAATACACACAGGCAAAACCTATAAACCTACAAGAAAAGTGAGACCCAGTGTTCTTAGCAGAGCCTCAGAGAAGCTTCCAAGTTGGATGTGGCAGGAATGGAAGGCAGAAGTGGATGGCTGGAAGAAAACAGGATAATCAATTGAAAGACAAGTCATGGAATAGCTGTTCAGTTTCTGGAGAAGGTGGGTGGACAGGTGGGTAGGGAAGACTGAGTACTTCTTCATCTGGCAAAAACCAGAGCACTGTTATAAGAAAACAAACCCCTCCCTTCTGTGAAGAGAGCTAAAGTGTGCAGTGAGAATATCAGAGCCTCAGAATAAAGACTCTGTTCTAGCATTTGAAAACCCAAATTCCAATTCAAAAAAACATTTATAAAGCAAAATCTGATAGCCAAAACCCCTATCTTTGTATTCAGGGGTGAAGTCTTATGAGAAAAAAACTACTATCTACAAAATTACAAAGAAAATCTATCCTACCTACTTCAACTACTTTCTCATTCCTCATCAGACATTTGAAAACTAAATGTCAATAATTCAGGGAGCATTAAAAACAAAAAACTGCCTAGGAGTTTTGAGAAAATATTACCATCATACAACAAGAATAAGCTGCTATAAAAAGGGAACTATAGGAAAACAAGTACAAAATCAAAAAAATTTAAAGTATGTATGTAAAAATCAAACACTTGTAGAGAGGATATAAGAAAAAGCTAAACAAATCTAGAAAACAGCACAAACAAAATGAAAGGGTGAGAAAAAAGTTAAAACAAATGAATAATCCAAGGGATACATCTGATAGGAAGCTGAGAAAACGTCAGATATTCTAGAGTTGAAGACAAAAGATCTTGCCAATCAAGCAGGATAGAGACAATTAGATACACTCTCACCCTTTCAGAGCACCATAGATAAAATGGTTACAAAGAGGAGGAAAAGTCCAGTCCTCAAAGGAATGACCAGCACCAGCCCTCTCATAAACGGCAAGGAAAATTAAAACCAAGCGACCTCAAAAGCCAGGCAAGCTCTTCGCCAGACTAAGATCCAAATAAAGACACTTTCAGACATGCAAGTGCTTAGAACTTTTTGCCTCTCATGCATACTTTCTGAAAATTTACCTAAGAATATTCCTTAGAAAAACAAATGTGCAATGAAGGAAGATCCCAGGATGAAGCAGGAATGCAGGACTAGAGAACTACTGATCCAGACTCAAGCAGGAGGAAGGTGTTTTTTTTTTTTTTTAGAATAAAAGGTGGATTTCATATATTCCATAGTATTGAAGAGAGAATGGAAAATTATGGTGAAATGGTACAGGCGTATTCTAAGATGTAAAACCAGCACTTAGAAGCCTTAGGAAAAATGAAGTACTAAACAACAAAGTTATAGTCTAAATATGATGCACACTAAAATATGGGATAATTCCAAATAACTAGCAGAGTATAAGAAAAGATAATTTGATGCTTGGGCCACTTTCATTTAAAGAGTAAAAACCAACGAAACAAAACAGCAAAACCCAGTGACATAAATTGTATCTCCTTTGCCTGGCATTTGATCACTTTACTTGGTTCTTCGTTGAACTTTATTTACATCTTTATGTTAATAAAATGGGAAGGGAAAGGAGTAGAAGGACTGCTGTAATAAGGACTTATCAGACGAAAAGGGGTGTTTGATATTGGGACAGAGCTGGGGATTTTATATTAATAATTCTGGTAATAAAGTTAATAGCCCCTGAAGTGGAAGAGATACCCGCCAAGTGGAGCAAGAAGATGGTTAAGATCCACAGAGGCTTCTGCATATGCTAGGTTACCTACTAAAAGGGTAGGTACTGCCTAGCCAGTTCCAGAACTGGCTTCTACTATTAAGTACACAAGGAGCAGTAGAAAAGATGTGGGAGAAGTCAGAAGCTCATATTACTTATCTGGGGAATTTCTATTAACATCAAAATGTAAATGCCTGTTTATTGTTTTTATTTGACATGACCTATAAGTAAAGCCTGGAAGACAATTATAATTAGAAGACAGAAGGTAACCTTTAACAATCTAAAGTAATGCCAGAACTGAGAAAGTCTAGGAGTGGAAGATGTAAGAACAAGTATGTTTCTAATGTCCTCAGCTCACACAGAATGGATGCAGTAAAGTGAAGGATGAAAGACATGTAAGAATGGTATCTACAGTTATGTATAATGTAACAGCAAGTTGTGGGGACTGAGCCCTTCCACATTGATTGAATTTTTAAAAACAAGTATATGTTATTATATTAAAGCTTTTTTTACTTAATTACTTAAATAATTAATGTAAGTACAATCATTGAACATTAAAATAATAACTTTGGAATATATTCATCATACATCTAGATTACCTCTCAATGTTTTTCAGGTCATGGGCCAGGCATTGGCATCCACCTAACCTGCATGACTTCAAACCTTGCTCCAGGATCACTCGCCACTCCACTGTCAATTCACGCCCCCCATACGGCTTTTTAAAGACTAGTCAAGTGCAGTAGTGAGAAGGGAGGAAAGAATAGAACAAGGAGTTTGATCTGTAAGTGACTGTGAATAGCTGAAATAACTCATTACCTCCAGAATAACCCTTTGTCCCCTCATAAGTGGCAAAAGTCCCACAGACTGGGCAGGAAATCAGGCTCTAATATACTCATGGGCTATATGATCACAGCCAAGAGTCCCTAAACATTTCCCCTTTTAAAAAATGGGATATTTGTAAAAGTCTCCGTATAGTACAGTTATTTATTATACATATTGGTCTTAATTTTTCAAAGAAGGGGGTAAAGCAGTTAGTAGCAAACCATCTCATCTTTTCCCTAGGTTCTTAGTTTTTAGGACAATCTTATTTCACCCAGGTTTCCTGGAAAGCACTGACTTCAAAACCATCCATTATTTTATATTTAGGAATGAGCTATTAGTCTATGGCTAGAAAAAATGGTATCATTTATGGGATGAAAAATACATACACTAAGAAAACTCTGACTTGCAAAAAAAGAAAGCTATTAAAAAAACCTTAGTAAAATGCCCCATTGCGACAGTAAGAACACAAAATGAAACACGCCATTTCTAAGGGATTCTTTATCTGAAAACTTCAAAACAATATTATTTCTATCATAGCTCATTATGAAAGGAATCACATAGGTTTGCTTATGGCCTATATCCAGTTCAATTAATCACATAATTGAGATCTAAAGTCAACTATTTATCAGTAATACATAATATTTGTATAATGAATCCTTTCTGGAATCTGACAGAGAATAAATTTCAAATAAAGACAATTATTATTTCAACATACAAACTCTTGATCAAATAAATCTTCTACTATACTATACACCTTGTCATTGTTTAGATAAAATGCACAGTATAATACAGTAAAATTATGGATTTACTTGACAGTGGGACAGCTAAAGCCTGCCTTTTATGGAAGTCTGATTGCTTACTTGATTGACTGCCAATCCACTGTAACTGTGAGAGGAGAGATGCGGACAGCAGTAAATGACCTGCCTCGACACGCAGGCACAGGACACTGAAACAAAAGTAATTCACATTCAGATCTTGATAAACTATAATCACATTTCAGTAAAATTCAAGTTAAAACATTTCATTTAATATTGTTTTAAAAGTTGGTCTCAGGATGCTAGTAAAATCCACTGAGAGATTAATGACTTTCTATTTCCTCCTGCAACAATTGAATATCAAGAGCTTTTGAGGCACTTTTCCAACTGATCCTTCTTGCTTACTGCTCTTACTTGGCTATGGGTATGCAAGGTGCTTTGCTCGCCTCCCACACTAAGCACTTACTGCTTCCTTTGTGCCCATGCCATCTCCCGCTCCTTCAATGCCCCCTCTCATTCTGTCCCACATACCCAATGCTAATCCTCTCCTTTTTAAAAACCTTTCCAGAGTTTTCTTTAATCCTCAGCTTTCTCAGGTAGGCTCCTTTTGCACTTTCTGTACAGTGTAATATTTATCACATCACACAGGCACTCTGTTTGGTGTTTGGATCTCAAGAAGCATTTACAATTTCAGACTGCGGCAGACTGTATTTGCCAAATACGACTGCAACAATATTTCTCTTCAAGCCTTTTGAGAACCTTGCTACTCCTCCATTAAGAAATGGAGTCTAATTCCTTCTCCTGGAATTTGAGAAGGCTTGTGACTCACTTTGCAACCAATAGAATGTGACAGAGTGATGCTGCCTGACTTCTGAGACTAGCTCACAAAAAACAAGGCCATTTCTGCCTACCACCTAGACTTCCTTATTTTGAAGCTGTCAGCAACCATACAAGCAGGCTGAGTCCCCTGAGCTGCTACACTATGTGCAAGAGGTCCAAACTAGCCCACCTAGAGAGACCACATGGAAAAGAGAAGAATGGCTGGCCAGTCCCCAGCCACCTTGCTGTACCCCTGCCACCGTCTGACTACAACTCCATGAGAGGCTTGGAGCCAGAACTAGCCAGGTGAGTAGTTCCTCCAAACTCCTGACCCACAGAAATCATAAGAACTAATAAAATGATCGGCTTATTTTTGGCCACTGAATTTTAGGGTGAGGTGTTATGCAGCAATAGTGGCTAGAACAGGTATCACCTGAAACAGCCATCTTTCTGTCACTTCAAATCCCTACAGTTCAGACACATGGAGGACCTCTTCACACCACTCGTGAGTCAATGCTACTACTTACTTTATTAGAGGGCATGAATATACCCTGAACAAATACTGTCTAGAAAATATCTGGTTTAAGGAGGTCAGGGCTGCCGTGAGGTGTGTTCGTGCCACTGCACTCCAGACTGGACAACAGAGTGAGACCCCGTCTTCAAAAAAAAAAAAAAAACGAAGAAGATTTAAATTCTGGCCTCTGAGATAACGGCTGTATCTTGAACCTCAAGCCAAGACAAATAGTAGATGAAACCCATCTATCAACACCACTTATTATTCAGAACCAAGAGCTGAATTTCACATACAATCAGAAATTTCAAACATAAACATTTTACGTTTCCCTTTTTAATTCTTCAAATGATTATTTACCTCACAAAGGATTCAACCCTTTACATGAGCAAAAATTTAGCAAATGTTAAGTTTACTAAAGCCCAATGGTGATAGAGATGACTGCAGGCACCACCGAAAAAGCATAATGCATCCATGGTGAGGGCTTAATTAATCAACTGGTGTCAGGACAAATAGCTTTTTGCCTAAAAACTAGATCACCAGTTTGTTTTTTTAAGAGGTGGGGGTCTCACTATGCTGCCTAGGCTAGTCTCAAACTCCAGGACTCAAGCGATCCTCTTGCCTCAGACTACTGAATAGCTGGGACTACAGGCACATGCCACTGTGCCCAGCTTAAATCCCTAGTTTTATGCCATTCACCAATGGCATAAATTCCAGATGGACAAAAGATCTAAAGATAAAAAACAAAACTTAGGAATATCAGAAGCAAATGCAGGAAATACATTTATAATGCTTAGTAAAGAAGGGCTTCTTTTTTTTTTTTGAGACAGAGTTTTGCTCTTGTTGCCCAGGCTGGAGTACAATGGCGTGATCTCACCGCAACCTCCGCCTCCCAGGTTCAAGTGATTCTCCTGCCTCAGTCTCACAAGTAGCTGGGATTACAGGCAATGTGCCAACACACCTGGCTAATTTTTTATTTTTAGTAGAGACATGGTTTCTCCATGTTGGTCAGGCTGGTCTCAAACTCCTGACCTCAGGTGATCTGCCCACCTCGGCCTCCCAGAGTGCTGGGATTACAGGTGTGAGCCACTGCACCCAGCCCAAGAAGGGTTTCTTAAGCAGGGCATAAAATGTACAAGTTATGGAGGAAAAGACATCAATTTGATCATATCAAAATGTGAACCTGTACAACAAAAAAACCCACAAAGTTAAAGGACAAACCCAAGAGTGGGAGAAGACATCTGTAATGTATATAGTCAACAATAATTAGTATCTAGAATATAAATAACTCCTATAAATAAACCAAAAAACTAACAGGGCCAGGAACAGTGGCTGGCACCTGTAGTCCCAACTACTTTGGAAGCCAAGATGGGAAGATCACTTGAGCCTAGGAGTTCAAGGCTGCAACGAGCTATGATCATTCCACTACACTCCAGCCTGGGCAAAAGAATGAGGCCCCATCTCTAAAAAACAAAAATAAAAAATAAACCAATAAACAGGAAAATGAACAGAAGACAGAAATAGAAAATTCAATAAAGAAGGAAACTGAATGGCCAGTAAGATATGAAAAGATGCTCAGTCACAACAGAAATCAGAAAAATTCGCATTATAAATGCAATATTACTTACACCTACCAAACTGCCAAAAATGTAAAAGTCCAACAATACCAAGTGTTAATGAAAATATGGAGAAATGGAAATTGCTTAACACGACTAGAAGGGACGTAAGTTGGGAACAATACTCCGGACAGTAATTTGGCAGCATCTAGTACAGTTAAAAATAAGTACAACCTACAACTTAGGATTCCTCTGCTAAGGAAACATATACAGGAATGTTCTCAGCAGCATCAGTTGTAATTATAAAAAACTGGAAACAGCACATTGTCTACCTCCAGGAAAATGGGTAAACAGTGGCTATTTATTTAAAGGAACACTCCACAATAGTAAAAAGGAAAGTATTAGGTATGTATTAAAATAGGTAGAACTCCAAAATAACCAAGTAAAAAAAAAGTTGCATAATGTTACATTCAGTATACTATTTATGTAAACACAATATAAAAAACTAACCCTACTTATATAGTCAAGAATGAAAATGCAAACTTAAAGAATACATGCCAATTTCAGAAGTCTGGCTGTATCTGGGGAGTAAATAAAGGGAATAAAACTGAGGAGGAGAACAGAGAGACTTCAAATTTAACTACATAACCATATTTTTGTTACAAATTTAAGCTAAAATAACAAAATATTAATTTTGCCAAATCATAGAGTAGGTAAGTGTTAATTACATTATTCTCTGCAGTTTTCTATGGTTTTCAAATCTAGTTTAAAAAAAGTTAATAAAGATTTTTTAAAAATCACTTCCAAATAGAAGAAATAAAGAGAAAAAAAAACTTGGTGTGTATACCTAGAAGTCAACAGAAATATGAATGGAAGGGATGCATATTATAACTTCAGGAAAATGATTATCCCTGGGAATGCTATAGGAAAGGGTAAAACACAGACACTAATTGTGCCAGTAACGCTTTATATTGTTAAAAAATGTGTCTGGAGTTGAAAAATGTAAATTTGGGGTGATGAGTAGTGGAATGTTTTGTTTCTACATTTTTTTAACCAGAAGTATTTCATAATATAAAAGCAGAACATCAAAAATAAAAAATAAAAACAAGCTCTGTGTCCAAAAACATTGGGAAAAGTTTTCTGTATTCTGATTTGCCTTCTTTATCAAGATAAAGAAGCAGTTAAAGAACACAGTATTACCTTTGTGGGAAGACTGTATTTTCCATCTGGAAGAGAAAAACTCTGAACTTCTCCACATGCAGCACAAAGAAATGCCATCTTGGTGCAAAGAGGCTTTATATTACTGACACGAACCACCGTCCCTCTTAAAGCAACGTATTTGCCATAGTAATTTGCTCGGACATTCTTCAGCTGTGTCAAAGGCTCATAGTTGTACACTCTAAAACAGGAAGTAATGAACAGAAAGTTTAGGTTGTTTATATTTTCACAAGTTCCTTTTGGGAGCAACTATGGAATTCCCAAACCAAATCATCCATTTGATACATCAGAAATCTCACAAAAATTAAACCATTCTTAAAAAGAAACGATGTCAAATCGTCCTTTTTCTTCTTATCTCATAGGCTGCTCTCAAGGAAAAAAATAATGCCAAAAGGAAAATCTACAGATTTAAAAAACCTTTGAGTTTTTAAGTTCTTTTTAAAGAACTGCTAGGAAATGTCTTCTATAAATTCTGGAAAAGGAAAACAAAACCTGATGATCATCTATAATGGATTCTTCCAATAAATTTAAAATCTTAAAGATGAATTCAAGAAAAACTAAATATCTAATAGAAACCTAGTAATTTAACAAAATACACACCACTTAGTGTATTACAGAGTGAGTATATCCCTTATCTAAAATGCTTGGAACCAGAAGTATTTTGGATTTTTTGGACTTTTGAATATTTGCAACATTACTAGTTGAGTATCCCTAATTCAAAAATCTGAAACATTCCAATGAACATTTCTTTTCAGTGTTATGTCATGGCTCAAATTTTAAAATTTTAGAGCATTTCTGATTTTACTCGGATTAAGGATACTCAACTCATACATGGATTATTAAACTTACAAGGCAGGACCTTGTTAAGTTCACATCCAAAATCAATGTTTAAAAAATTTGCACATTAGGAAATCAACATTTTCTTCCTTATTTAGGAAATACCTGTCATGATATCTTTGAATAATTTTCAATGAGTTTATTTCAGTGTGATGATCAATGAGATGGCAAGGAACTCATATGCTTTTATTGATTTCCTTGTTTTTATAAAATGAGGGTTCTCATTCTTAAATGGCCTTCAATGCTCCATTCTAAGTAATACTTTAATACATCAAATTCCTCACCTTGCATGAATATGTGGCACATTTACCATTGTTTCTCCATCACTAGACAATCCTTCCTGGGCTTGTAACTCAGTTGCATGCCTTTCAAGGTCTTTAGTTAATACCTAAACAGGACAGACATTTACTCTTAAGTTGGAAAACAAAATACTCTCTTTTTACAGAACACTATTTTATAGAGAATATAAAGTTTATAAACAAAAACTGAATAAAAACGGAAAACTTTAACAGCCCTTTAAAAATCTAATATTTAATTATTTGTTTTTTGGTTTTTCTTTCTGAGATGGAGTCTTGCTCTGTTGCCCAAGCTGGAGCACAGTGGTGCAGTCTCAGTTCACTGCAACCTCCACCTCCCGGGTTCAAGCGTTTCTTCTGCCTCAGCCTCCCGAGTAGCTGGGACTACAGGCATGCACCAACCATGTTGGCCAGGATGGTCTCGATCTCTTGACCTCATGCTCCACCCGCCTCTGCCTCCTCAAGTGCTGGGATTACAGGTGTGAGCCACTGCGCCCGGCTCCTAATATTTAATTATGACTACTTACTTTATGGTGGATTGTTTTATTTTGGATTTTGCTGTCCCCGAACTGAAAAACTCCAGCATCCCTATCTGCTATTTTCTGTTCCAACTAAACCTAACATTAAAAGCCCTTATAGTAGTCCCTAAAACCATAACCTCTTGATTCTAATTAAAAAAAAACAAAAAAACACTTTCCTACTTCTCTATATTCATTGATTAATCAAGACAGAGAAAATAAAGATGACTATTAAAATTTATCTAACACTCACTCCCTTGGCATTTTACATTAAATAATATAAACAGGCTGGGCGCGGTGGCTCATGCCTGTATCCCTAGCACTTTGGGAGGCCAAGGTGGGTGGATCACCTGAGGTCAGGAGTTTGATACCAGCCTGACCAACATGGTGAAACCCCATCTTCACTAAAAATACAAAATTTAGCTGAGCATAGCAATGCATTCCTATAATCCCAGCTTCTTGAAAGGCCGAGGCAGTAGAATCGCTTAAACCTGGGAGCTTTAGTGTGGCAACATCATGCCATTGCACTCCAGCCTGGGCAACAAGAGCGAAAGGATGCAGAGAGCCAAGATCATGCCATTGCACTCTAGCCTGGGCAACAAGAGTGAAACTCCATCTCGAAATAGATAAATAAACAAACATTTAATACCTACTTGTGTACTGTAGTTTGCTGACAACCTATGATGTACATATACAGCTGTAATTATTATAGGGACCATAAAGATGTACAGACAAAATACCATGCAAGTTTTGAAAACTAGTCATGAGAAAGGTTTTAAGACAGACAATTGAGCTAGGCCCAAATAATCTGTCTACGTGAGGGGAAGGGGATTCTATGTGGAATGGACAGCATATGCAAGAGGTAGGAGAATGCCCCTCTGAATGTCCCAGCACTTTGTGTATGCCTGTCCTGCGATTTTCTACTCTTTACCTTGAAGTATTCATGTTTGCTATCCTATAAAGTGCTTTCATATATGCCGTGTTACCTGACCCTGGAAGAAACTCAGGCAGGCATAGTACAAACTATTTCCATTTGATATACGGGGACACTCAGTGGTTTGCCTCGTGCCACAGAACCTAAACCTAAGGTTGCTCTGTCTTGCTCTAAGTTCATAACTGATAACACCATGATTCCTTGTCTTATCTTCCCTAGGAGATTGTATAACTTCTTGAAAGCAATGTTTAATTTCTGCACAATCTTTAGCAAAATTAAGCAAATCCAAATAAGTTAGAAGTATTTAATTTAAAGAAGCTGTTGTATATAGAATGAATGGTATCTTTCAGGAAGAAATTGTAACCTCTCAGTTCTAGCCAATGTCTTTTCATAAAAACTAAGTTTCTCTTTGAGAAAGTAGTCACTGTAAAATCTTCCTTTAAACTTAGATAAAGTGTGCGTGTGTGTGCATACATTAAAAAAGTTTAAACGAAAGTATGCATAAGACAAATAGTTACCTGATGTATTGCCAAACCCATGCAAGCCAAGGTTTTCTCAGGTGCATCTCTTAGTTCATTTGCTATATCTGGTAACAAGTTAGTTACTTCTTCATCTTTTGTCAGTTCTTTAAAATCCACCAAAATACTTCCCTTTCTTTCTATTTCATCCTATAAAATATAAAAGTGTGAAAACAATAATTGCTTTTCTGTAGTCAATTACCACGATTGAGCATTCTAATTACACACTTTGAGAAAGCCTATGATGTTTATATGTGATAATGGTAAGTACAATAAAAGTAAAAGCGTTGTGCCAAGCATGATTCTGATATTTTAAAATCATTAACTTATTGATGCCTCTTAACAAACCTTTGAGATAGGTATTTATACCTCTATCTCCAAATGAAAGAGAAAACTGAGAAACAGAGAAGTAATTAATTAAAGTCCATACTGCAGGAAGTGGCAAGAACTGAGTTCTGAACCAAGGCAGTATGACTCCCGCCTTGTTCATAATCACCAACACCTCAAATACATTGATAAGATGGCACGTGACTGGTGGTTTTACTGTAGAGGAATCTCACCTTGTCATAGAAATCAATATGTCTTGTGAAAAATTTTTCAAATGCTTGAATCTTCTCAATCAAAGGAGAGCTATCACTGTAAACTAAGCCAACAAATAAGGCATTAACACTAATAATCACACATGTACAAACATATTTTTCATGAAACAAAAGCAGTACTATGTACATGGTAGATGATTTTTTTCTAATTGCTTTGCATTTTGATTGCATTCATATAAGAACTGGTATAGAATTTACACTTAAGATTCTAAAACAAATTTAGGTATTCATAATGTGAAATGCAGACAGAAAGTCTCTCTCTAAAAGCCCCAATATTTGGGAAACACTGTTTTGAATCTTTGACACCTATAGGACATGTTAGTTCAAATAACTTAGACAATAAACTTAAACCAAAAATTATAATAAAGCCAAAGCCAGACACATAAACTACTCTTATTCTGAAACAGAGCTGAAGATAATCACAGTCTTTCCTGAGATCAGGAGATATACCAACAGACCACTTGACTCTGCTGGCAAAACTGAAGCTTTTTTTTTTTTTTAATACTCTAAAGTTCTGTATTTTCAAATATGTCTTCCACAGAAGAACAGTATAATAAAGTAGTTAGGAAGTACAAATGGTCAAGGCTAAGGCACCTCCTGAACTCCATCTTTAGGACAGTCCAAAGATCACGTATAGTTTTCTACACTACCTGCTAGGGGACTAATGTGAATGCTGGTGGCTAATGCATCCTAAAGGAACAAAAGATCATTCGTGAAACAGATTCTATTGATGGAAAAAATCAAACAGATTCTCAATAAAGAAAACATTTATAAAGTATTCATTCACAAAATGATTACTGAGTGCCTGGGGGGCAGGGAGGGTCCTGGATCTCAATAGTCTAGTGATTAAAACACAAACATACACACACACACACACACACACGCGCGCCCGCACATCCTTCATGAGGCATTTTATATATGTGCGCGCGCGCGCACACACACACACCCCTCATGAGACATAAGAAACAAATCGATATTTTAACAGTGCAGAAAAGATAGTTCCCAGCGCCTATACAGACTGATGTAGGTTAACTGGTATTCTTAATTATCAAAGGGAGATTCCTTACCAGTGCTTCTACACAAGCTGTATTGATTACTCTACCTTGATTTCAAGCCCACTGTTCTATTTTCTGCTCTGTGATGCTATAATTCACACCTGTACCCTACATCTCTCAGATTAAATTCTGCCATTTGAAGGTACTTTAGAGACTGGAGGGTGGCAGGAAGCAAGAAAGGAATTTATTCTTGTTTCCAATTCTTTTTAGCATCTCTGCAGCTGCAGAAGATAACTATAATGCTAGCCTCCAGTTCCAAGCACCACCGAGTCATGCCCCCTCAGCTACCAGTGGCAACCAGCTTCATTTGCCTCGGTGGTCTGAGCACAGCTCTGTAAGGTAGCCTTCAGAAACCCAAGCATAGCTTTGCAGGGTGCCTCTCAGAAGTCAAAATAACAGCTATCCTGTGATCTCTCCCACCTTTGAATTCCTACATTCTGGTAACCTCAGAACTTTTTATTTTCTTAGCTATAAGGATGGTTTGCTGTTTCCCAAAGTTACTACTTTCTAGGGGGTTACCTCAATATTTTCATTCTGCTCTTTCGGTCTTCCATTTCTGTATCCAATTTCTTGCATTAAATTCCCTTTTTGAAATACATAGTATGGTTTCTGCTTTCCTGACTGATATAAAACCTAAAATGCTTTTGAAACATAAACATCATTTAGTTCTTTGGGTGAACTAAGATTAAAGCAGGTATATGTCAGTAAGTAAATTATAGTAATATGAGATGTAGCATACGAAGACAACTTAAGAAATATGATTTATGGTGCTTTTTGCACTTTTTTAACCCTACCTTCAGAGAAATAAAGCTTCCAGCCTTTATATGGTATGAGTCGATCCAATGTTGACTGTACTAACTGTGGGGTCTTTGTTGAAAGCAAAGACTGTGGGGTTTGTTCTGGAAAAAAAAAAAATACTAGGTTAGGAGAAACAGAGTGAACATTTTTCCAATTTGCTTCTGTTTCCAAATGAGACTCTGATTAATAGAGTATCTAATTAGAGGTTTTAGTAAGAATTTGGGACATCAGTGTTCAAATACTTACTAAGGAGTAGTATAAAAGACAAACCAAAGTATGAGATAAACCACCTTGTATGATAGACACAAACTGCTTCCTCCATGAAGAGAAAAAAAATTGAACAATCATTGACCACACCTACCAGAAGTATGTTTTCCTGTGGTTCTACTCAGATCGGGTCTGTGCTCTCTTTCTCTCCATTTTCCTGAGAAGTTCCCACCACCTCTTCCTCTTTTCCAGCTTTGAAATCTTCCTCGTCCAAATCCTCTGCCTCTATACTCTCCATTCATCCCTCCTAAAAGATAGATATTTAAAAGGTCTTCACTCAAGCTGTAAATAGTGCTCCTAAAAATGTGTTAAGGTAATAAAAAGGGAAAAATTAATGTATTCTAGCTTTGATACTAGCAAACAGTCTTGCAAGGTTGTACACCTATGATGCAAGACTCAAATATTCTGCAGTTAGGTTTCTAATCTCTATTGCTTTTTAAGGTATACCATAATTTAATAGTTTCATAACTATTAAATATCGTTTATACTAGAGGCTCATAGGCTAAAAATAAGGAAAGGTACTGTATCTGTTTACAAGAAGTCTCCATCACAGAAATGAAAACAGGACAGGTAAGTAACTCTATGAAAACTTGTTTGCAGCATTTGAGCCTTAAAGGACAGGACAGGATGAACATAATTCTGGCCTGTGAGACTCTAGGGATACATGATCATAGCTTCTTACATACAGGCAGTCCTGCAGTGTCACATCCACTTTCTGTGCAATTTTTCTGTGAACCCAAAACTGTTCTTTTAAAACACAAGACTACTTAATGATTCCTATCCAAAGCATAAAAGTAAATAAAGATTTATCTGTAGGCTGTAGTGCAATTCATTACAAAAGAACTTACCCAAATCCTTAAAGGGCTTTAGTTAATCAACAAGTTAGTAACTAGAAAGTTCACGATTTAACGGCACGACAGGGCTCCGATAATTAACTAGGCATTACGCATTACGAAACTGATGCTCAAAGAAATTAAGAAAACCCACCAAGATCAAAGTTTGTTGACAGTACAGATAAAACTCCTTCAGGCTCCCAACCTGAGGTGCCCCTTCAACAACGCTGCGTGCCGCGTGCCTACCCTTCTCAAACGAGCCAATATGGTGAACAGTAACAAATCCAACAAAACCCAAGAAGTAGGACTGGAGAACGAGTAAAAGAGCCACAGTCGGGCAGCTGCGCTTCGTTACTTTATTTACGTCTTCTAAGGCTTAGTTCTTTCTTGCTCGGGACAGAGGTCCCAAAGCTGTTCTAGTGCACAGCTGAGCCGGCTTTAGGATACTCCCTCCCTCCCGTAGGGAAGCACCACGGGGCTACGAGGAGTCTCCGGGATCTGAGCTCCCAGGCAACTCCCGCCAAGTCCGCGGTTCTCTTCAGCCGCAGCTTTCCTGTCGTCCCCGCGCGGGGCTGAATCCCATCTGTCTCAACGGCTCGGTAACCTCAGTTTCCCCACCACAGCTTCCAGAATGTACCTGTAAGCGCACAACGCCGCAAACACGCCTCAAAGGAAAGTTAGGTCTTCCCCTAAATTCCTTTTTGGCGCTTCTGTGATGCAACTTTCGCTCCAAGAAGCGGCAAGACGCGAGAGGCGGGACGAAGTGTAGCCAATCAAGGAGTTTGGCCAGACGGAAGCCGTAAGGCTCCCGGAAGCCGTCTTGAGGGCTGGACCGGAAAGCGGAAGCGGCGTGCAACACGTGGGGGCGGTGCCGGTAGCAGGGCTCCAAGTCCGCGGGGTTGTGGAAAGCTAGGCCGGCGGTGGCGACACCGGAGGAGGAGGGGCGAGACGCCGTGGAGCACGGCGACCGACTGAGAGTCATGGAGGGCTCAGGGGAGCAGCCGGGCCCACAATCACAGCATCCCGGAGACCACCGCATCCGCGACGGTGACTTCGTGGTGCTGAAACGAGAAGATGTGTTCAAAGCAGTACAAGTCCAGCGGAGAAAGTAAGTCGGGTCCCTGACTTTAGGGGTCCCCCGCCCCTACCTTGTAGATATCCCTTCCTTCCAGGTCTCTCCACAGATCCCTCCCGCCAGGGTGCCATTCTTGGCCCACTCGGTCCCCGTCCCACGCCCTCGTTGTCTCTTCGGGTCTTTCTGTCACAGAGGGCTTTCCCACCAGGATCCTATCTTCAAACCTCGTAATCTCCCCTAACCTTCCTGTTTTTCCACAGAGACCCCCTCCATGATTTCTTATCTGGCCGTCCACCTTCAGCATCCTTTTCAGTCTTTCCACAGAGTTTCTAACCCAGAATTCCATCCATTCTTGGCCCTAAGGTGCCCGAATGCCTCCCTCTCCACACCCCTAAATCACCTGTCCTGAAGTTCTTTCCCTGGGACCTTGGGATCTTTTTTCTATCTTCCCACAAACACTCCCTCCTTTCTTCACTCTAGGGTCTCATCCTTGTCTCCCAGAGTCTCCTTCAGGTTCCCCTTTTTCTTCCACCATAGATCCTCCTTCCTCCCTAATCCCTGAGCCAGGATCTATCCCACAAAAAAAAAAATGAAACCTCTCCTACCTAGTCTGGCTTTCCAGCCTCTTCTCCACCCAAACAGGATACACAGAATAAGTGAAGGAGACAATCCCCGTAGAATGTGGAGTCACTTCGAATTTCCTTTTACACCAAAGGATCCAAAACTGGGAAAACTGATAGAAAGCAATTTGCTCAAGACCTCAGAACTCAAAATTAGGTTTGATTTTTGCCCGTGCTGACTATTATCACTGTGTTTTATAATAGCATAGAAGTGGGATTTTGATAACTTTCTGGAAGGGCTGGTGAGGTTGGTGAGTCCTAATAGCTTATTAATGGTGAAAATTTAGTGGGATGTTTGGATTAATTTATCCAAGAAATACAACCACAGTGTTTTTGTTTTTGAGACGGAGTCTTACTCTGTCACCCAGGCTGGAGTACAGTGGTGCAATCTCATCTCATTGCAACCTCTGCCTCCCGGGTTCAAGCAATTCTCCTGCCTTAGCCTCCTGAGTGGCTGGGACTACAGACAGGCACCATTACGCCCGGCCAGTTTTTGTATTTTTAGTGGAGACAACCATGTTAGCCAAGCTCAAACTCCTGACATCAAGTGAGCCACCCGCCTCAGCCTCCCAAAGTGCTGGGATCATGTAAAGGCATGAGCCACTGTGCCCGGCCACAGTTTCTTTTGAGCTAGGTTATTGTATTACTTTTGATGGAGATAAGTTGAATGCAATATCAGGAGAACAGCTTTCTGCAGACTAGGAAGTATGAGATTTGGAATTTCGGATAAGTAAGTACTTATCAGAAATTATTTTACTCCTGGTTTAAGCAAACTGTTGACTGGTATTTAGGGTGAAGCAGGTATCATAAAATAGTCATGAAACAAGTTTCCATGACTTTAAGCTAGTGATAAACAAGGTTTTTGAACAAGCACTAATTCAGTAAAGAAAAAAAAAGATTCTTTTGTGAGGGCTATGTTTCTTTTAGTCCAGAAACGTAATACCTGCACCAGCCTTTAACCATTTTTTTTTTTAGATGGTGTCTTGCTGTGTTGCCCAGGCTGGAGTGCAGTGGTGTGATCTTGGCTCACCACAACCTCCATCTCCCAGGTTCAAGTGATTCTTCCGCCTCAGCCTCCCATGTAGCTGGGACTACAGGGGCGTGCCACCATGCCCAGCTATTTTTTGTGTTTTTAGTAGAGATGAGATTTCACTATGTCGGCCAGACTGGTCTTGAACTCCTGACTTCATGATCTGCCTGCCTCAGCCCCGCAAAGTGCTGGTATTACAGGTGTGAGCCACCGTGCCCAGCTGCCTTTGGGCCTCCCAGAGTGCTGGGATTACAGGTGTTAACCACTGCACCTGGCCTTTCCCTTTCACCATGCCAAAAGGGTTGGGGACCACTGCCCTAAACATTTATTTGGAAATACTTTTCATCAGGCCCTCTTCTTTGCAGAGTCATAGTGGCAGTTTCTGTTTTACTTAGAAAATGACTCTATATGCTCAGTTGCATCACAGATCAGACTTCCTCATCACCCTTGGGGCTGTGCTCCTCTGGCTGGGCAGAAAACAGCCCGGGCTCTCTGGGATGGAGACTCTGCAAATCTTACTTCTTCCCAGTGAAGATGTGGCCGCCTTATCCCTCTGGCACAGTGACCTGTCAAACCAGCCAGTTTTGAGAGACACCCCCATCCCCTCTGCACATCAGATAGGCTTGCAGAGAGGTAAACCCACCCATTTCAGATCCAGTGTTTTTGTTTGCTTTGCTAGTTTGTTTTTTGAGACAAGATTTCATTCAGTTGCCCAGGCTAGAGTTCAATGGCATTATCTTGGCTCACTGCAACTGCTGCCTCTTGGGCTCAAGCAATCCTTCCGTCTCAGCCTCCTGAGTAGCTGGGACTACAGGCATACACCACTATGCCTAGCTAATTTTTGTACTTTTTATAAAGAAACACCTGAACTCAAGTGACTCTCCTGCCTCAGCCTCGTAAGTAGCTGGGACTACACGTGTGTGCCACTACACCTGGGTAATTTTTGTATTTTTTGTTAGAGACGGGGTTTTTTCACGTCGGCCAGTCTGGTCTCAAACTCCTGGACTTAAGCGACCCACCACCTCGGCCTCCCACAGTTTGGAATTACAAGTGTGACCCACCATACCTATCCAGATCCAGTGGCTTTAATAGCACCTAGGTGGTTGAAGGATCAGGGTGGGGGGCACACATCTGGCTGAGCTGAGTTTCAACATCTGAGGATGTTTATGTTAGGAAATATTCTGAGTCTGTTATATTCTATCGTGTCTAAGTATCGAGGGACCCAGCAAAGAGCAAGAATTGGCCATATCTGAATCACTTATGATCTTGCAGGATTTCCCTCATGGTTTGAGTAGCTTTAATGAATATGTGACACAAAAGTGTAGCAGGATTTAGGGAATCAGTAAAGGTGATACAGCCAGAGACCAGCAATGGTGGGGAGCCTCTGATACAGAAGTGTAGGTGATGTGACAGTACATTCTGTCATAGCTTCCTGGGGATACAGAGAGAGGAAGAAAAGGAGTGGGATGGGGCACAAACAATTAACCACTACGTGATTCCCAGAATTCAGCATTCTGTGCACATGGTCCATGTCCTGAAGCTAGGTGGGGCTTTCTAAGGTCATTAGGTCTTTGCTGGAGTAGCCTGTTTGGCATAGTGAAAAGAATGAGGCTTGGGGTCAGACACGGATTTGGATTTGAATCCCCTTACAACTGTGAATCTTGGACAAGATACTTCTCCCTGGGCCTCAGATTGCTCTTCTGGAAAGAGCTATGTTCCAGGATTGCCTTGAGAATTAAATGAAAAACTATGAATCACACCTAGCACACACTGCCTGATTGTCACTCAGGACATGTCTCCTTCTTGTTTGTGTTTCTGTGGGATTTTCCTTTTGAATTGCAATAAGATAAAAAAATCTGCATCATAGGAAGACCTCAAGCTGGCTGGTCCTCAGTAGAGCATTGTCTTGTCAGTGTTAGGCTCCATTTCCAAGTGTGTAGATCGTCAGTGGTTATTTGCAAATATAATTTGCTTTTATTAGATAATTTTCAAATAAAATGGCCAATCAGACCCAGCCCAGGAAATTTGTTAAATCTTTGTTACCTCAATGACTGTTCAGTTTTGAGATTTTCTGGTGTAAGTTGCAAGAGGTGTCACAGTGTGTATCCAGGCCTGGCAATGTTGGGGATCCCATCTGCCATTCAGGAAATCTGCAGAGCCTACGCGTTTGGACATCCTGCTAGACAGTGCAAAGTGGGATCAGCCCAGTCCACCAGAAGAGGAATGTCTTCTGTCTTTGCTTCCCCTTTCCAAAATTCAGTGTTCTTGTGGCTCATTCATTCATTTTATGTCTCTGTCCCAACCAGATTCTCTCTAGTTCCTTTGTTGCTTTATGCTCAGAGGTAATGCTGCTGATCATCTATTGTGGAGACCACTTTCAAAATAAACTGTAGTGAACATGTCTTTTCTGTAGTGAATACAAAAGATATTCAGTTAATTGGTTGCTTTTTTCTCTAGAAAAGTAACTTTCGAAAAACAATGGTTCTACCTGGATAACGTCATTGGCCATAGTTACGGAACCACATTTGAAGTGACCAGCGGAGGAAGTCTGCAGCCCAAGAAGAAGAGGGAAGAGCCTACTGCAGGTGCACATTTTGGATGCATGAAATAGATGTTCTCCAACTGACTAGTCAGAAATATCTCAACCTCCACTTAATTCCCAAGTGCTAGACCAGGCTATCCCAAAAGAAATCTTAATTCATAATCTAAGAACTGTAGCTTAATGTAGTGAAGCAGGTACTACCTTTGGCCATGAGATAACCTGGATTCTGGCTCTAGCCCACCATTAACTGGTTCTCTGACCTTGGGCCAGGCATTTAATCCTGTGAATCATTGCTGCCTCATTACAAAAGCATATGTAGAGTTCTTTCAGTGCCTGGAAGTTATGTAACAGCTACACGGTGGTTAGCATATGGTGTAGTGGTTAAGAGGTCTGGCTTTGGATCCAGCTAGGTTCAATTTCTAGCTTCATTACTTGTCTTATACCTTTGGGCAAGTTGTTTGATATCTGTGAGTCTTACATAGTTATATGTATAAAATAGGGTCATAAAGACATTTAATGCCTAGGTTGTATTGAGTGTTCAATGTTATGACTCATAGGAAATTCTGAACAGTGTCTTGCTTTTAGTAAGGGCCATAATTTTGGCTATTACTATTAACACCCTCTTGTCCAAAAGCTGTTATTATTCATTATAGTTAAATATTTATTAAAATGAACATAGAGGATATCTTACTAATAAAATTAAAACACAAGTAATTATTTGAAGTTAAATAAATACTACTAAAGTTTTGAGTCAAACAAGTCATTTAGGTACATTTAAATTAATATCCGCATTTTTACTAAGCACCAAATATATGCCAGGTATAATTTGGCACTGCAGTTATAGTAGTTCATAAGATAGACTGTCATATAAAATGTAATTACCAGTTGGAACACCAAAAATAATCAAGTAGACAAGCAAACAGCATGATTTCTGATGGCGAAGTGTGACACCTGCTGTGAAGATAATAAAGTGGGGGTGTGTACTAATTTGGCGAAGCAAAAGGATGAGCTCAGCCTTAAGTGATAGAAAAGATCCAACCACTCAGAGATCTGTCATAGAAACTTCCAGGCAGAGGAAGCAGCAGGTGCCAAAAGCCTGCTGTGGGACCTTGATGGGTGTGTTCAAGGAACAGAAAGAAGGGCGTTGTGGCTGAAGCTAAAGTATCAGGAATTCAGGCCGGGAAAGAAAGGCAGGGGCCAGATCATTTATGACCTTGTAGGTCATCTTTGGAATGTATTCTCATTGCCATGGGAAGCTACTGTATGGTGTTAAGCATCGGATAGATTAGTCAAATTGCATTTAAACAAAGAGCACTCTGGCATCCAGGTGGATAGTAGCAGGGCAAGACTGGGAGTGGGAAGATGAGTTAGAGACTTGGAATATTTATGGCAGGAAGGAATAGTGTGACGGGGGCAGTGCAGCTGGGAGGCCAGACTTGAGTGGCTAATGGACTGGATGTGGATATGAACTCAGGAAAAGAAAGTGTCAAATAATTTCAGACCATAAATGTCAATAGAGCAATTTCTTTCCTTAGAGACTAAAGAAGCGGGCACTGATAATCGAAATATAGTTGATGATGGGAAATCTCAGAAACTTACTCAAGATGACATAAAAGCTTTGAAGGACAAGGGCATTAAAGGAGAGGTAATATTCAAAGGATTTTTAGTTTTGTTTTTGTCTGTTTGGCATTTAGGAAACTGGTTTTTAAAGCAGACTGTAATTAAGGTAAAATGGAAAAATAACATTATACCTTTTTTAGAAATAGGTTGAAACATGTGAAACTCAACATTTCAAAAATTTTATGTCTTATATACAGGAATATAAGTGAATGATATTACTAATATTAGTGGTAGAAAATGTCATGACAGTGCATACCAGGATTTAACTGTTCATTGTCAGTAATGTTTTCAGCCAGTGTCTTCAGAAATTAGTTGCCTTTACCTCTCTTCTCCCTTTATTGGATATTTCTGTCATTTTACCTTGGTTTAAATGGAGTTATAAAGTACTTGTATTTTATTACAAATTCTAAATAGAGTATAGAAATACAAAGTTCATCTGTTTGGACTTCTGTGGAAAAGGGATTGGAGAATCGGACCGTTGGACCCATTCTTGGGTAAGAAGCCTTTGGAAATTACTTGTTTTGTGGAAGTAAAGTTTCAGAAAATCTACTTGCTCCTTTTCTTATAGGAAATAGTTCAGCAGTTAATTGAAAATAGTACAACATTCCGAGACAAGACAGAATTTGCCCAAGATAAATATATTAAAAAGAAGAAAAAAAAGTAAGTAGTTTTTATTTTAAAAGGCTGACAATATTAAATCTTTTTATGTACTTATATACATTTTATTACAAATAAACCATTTTAAGTCATTTTTTTCAAGTCGGTGTTCTGTTTTTTCTTCCCCCAGATATGAAGCCATCATTACTGTTGTGAAGCCATCCACACGTATTCTTTCAATTATGTATTATGCAAGAGAACCTGGAAAAATTAAGTACGCTTTGTTTCCTTTCAAAAGTATAATTGGGGGAAATATGTCTTTAAGAAAGTCATGATTTTAAGTAAAATGAAAAACTTGCTCACCTGCATAAAGTATCCTCCTACCTCATAAATTGTAAGTCCTTTTACTGTCACCTCCAAAGCAATCAATAATCTTATCAACATAATTTTAATAAAGCAAACACTTGAAAAATGATTAAAATGATAGGCTTTACTTAGCAAAAAATGAATGAATTGTTGTTTTTACTTTAGCCACATGAGATACGATACACTAGCCCAAATGTTGACGTTGGGAAATATTCGTGCTGGCAACAAAATGATTGTGATGGAAACGTGTGCAGGCTTGGTGCTGGGTGCAATGATGGAACGAATGGGAGGTAAGATTTAGTATTTTCATTTTCAACAACCCCACCCTGATGGGAATAAAGGTGGTCCAAAAATGTAAACTCCTGGAAAGCCAGACTGAATTACTTCAAGGTTAATGAAGTAACTTGGGTGAACCTGCACAGTTCCTGGCCTGGGGACCTTCTCTCACAGTCTCTGTCACCCAGATACCCACTCATGGGTACCCCCAACCCATGGCGATTGTCCTTTACAGCTTCACTGTTGGTAGGCATGATGCTGGAGCCTGTGGCTGGCTAGGGCTTTCAGGACAGTGATTTTTGGTAAACTCCTGGGTAGCTGGTGCTCATTTCATTAGGCCTAGATTGAGGGGCTTGAATGGGAAGATGACTAAGCATGTATTCTCTCTGGAAGAATACAACACAACCTGATTTGTCTTTTTTCTCTGACCCCATAGAAGATAAGAACTTATCATTGCTTCATTTGGGGATTAGAGTGAGGGGAAATAGAGTCAGTCATCAATCATGTGACATCCAGATTTGCAGACATAGGGTTTTACAGTAGTATCAAGTGGGGGTAAGCTTCTTTGACTTCCTGCTATCTGCTTTAGAATTATATCACCTCCATTGGTAATATTCATAGACTCCTAACAGTCCCCCTTAGGAGCAGCATCCTTTAGTCTCTGAACAAAGTAATAATAGAAAGACCTTCAGGGTTAGCATAGTCTAGAGTCACTCCATGGACAGATGTTTACTTCTTTTATCTGTTCAGGTTTTGGCTCCATTATTCAGCTATACCCTGGAGGTGGACCTGTTCGGGCAGCAACAGCATGTTTTGGATTTCCCAAATCTTTCCTCAGTGGTCTTTATGAATTTCCTCTCAACAAAGTGGACAGTCTTCTACAGGGAACATTTTCTGCTGAGATGTTATCTTCAGAGCCAAAAGACAGTGCTTTGGTTGAAGAAAGAAATGGCACACTGGAGGAAAAACAGGCTTCTGAACAAGAAAATGAAGACAGCATGGCAGAGGCCCCAGAGAGCAACCACCCAGAAGACCAGGAAACGGTGGAAACCATTTCTCAAGATGCAGAACATATGGGGCCTAAAGAGAGAGGAAGCAAAAAAGATTATGTAAGGATGAATAGTCCCCACCACCCTCATCATAACCTCAGGCCCTCAGTTAACTTCAGTTATGTAATGAGATTTGGTTTGGCTTTTGTGTATTAGCTCCCAAGGTGATAACTATCAAAACAGAACAAGTGTGTGTACATGTACACAAGTGTGTGATTCAGTCTTTGAGATGGAGCTTTAGATACAGAAGCATTGCATAGACAGCTTAATAATAGTTTTTACAGTGTATAGCCTTTCTTGTTTTCTTTCAACTTCCTTATAAACAACCTCCTTCTATTGGTTGAGTCCAAGTTGATAAATATTGTTGAAATGTTTTGGTAGACCAGAGCATTTCCATAAATTTGAATGAATCCAGGTCATTGATTTCCTTTTCTTTTTGAAGATTCAGGAAAAACAGAGGAGACAAGAAGAGCAGAGGAAAAGACATTTAGAGGCTGCCGCTCTGCTGAGTGAAAGAAACGCAGATGGGTGCGTTGGTGAAAGAAGGCAGGAGACTCCTTGGTGCATGCGGGCTCTGCTTTAGACAGATTGGCATCTCTTTCTCCTTATCTGCCTTGATTCTAATGGGACCCGAGATGAGGATTTTGTCTTGGGGTTTTTTAAAGAAAGGAGGCTGAGGCTGACAGGGCTGGGGAATTGATGATGCTGGTTTTAGAGTTTCAGAAGAAATTGAACCTTCATCACAGTGCATCAAGACGGGCTTTATGGTCCCCCAGGATGCAGGGGATGGAACATTCAAACGCTGCAATACAGACAGTAACATATCCACAAAGAGCATATGCAGTGCTGGATTTGTTTCCAGGTGATTTTTTTCAAAATCAAGAATGTTGGCTAGGCACGGTGGCTCATGCTTATAATCCCAGCACTTTGGGAGACCAAGGTGGGTGTATTGCCTGAGGTCACGAGTTCGAGACCAGTCTGGCCAACACGGTGAAACCCTATCTCTACTAAAAATCCAAAAAAATTGGCCAGGTGTGGTGGCTTGCGCCTGTAATCCCAGCTACTTGGAAGGCTGAGGCAGGGGAATTGCTTGTACCAGGGAGGTAGAGGTTGCAGTGAGCCGAGATCATGCCACTTCCAGCCTGGACACCAGAGCGAGACTCAGTCTCAAAAGAAAAAAAAAAAATCAAGAATATCATTAAGTGCCACTTAGAGTTGCCAAGCATCACAAAAGCTTCTAACCCAGTTTGTGTTTCCTAGAAAGAAATAGCTCATGATTTTACTCTGTTTTGGATTTCTAGAATGTTATATTTAAATCTCTTCTTTGTGTGAGTCATGCAGATTAAATACGTGATCATTTTAAATGCATTTTGAAACATTGCTCTACTTGGGAGGAGTAGAGAAATAATTTGTCTGACATTTTCCTTACAGTTTAATTGTAGCTAGTCGTTTCCATCCTACTCCCCTGCTGCTGTCTTTGCTGGACTTTGTGGCCCCTTCAAGGCCGTTTGTGGTCTACTGTCAGTACAAAGAGGTAACATGGAACGGAATGGGAAGGAAATCTTAAGTCTGAATGTTGATCCTTACACAGCAGCCCAGAAAGTAGTTCTTAACAGAATTCTGTTTTTGCCTGCAGCCTCTGTTGGAATGCTACACAAAACTGCGGGAGAGGGGAGGGGTCATCAACCTCAGGCTGTCTGAAACCTGGCTCAGAAATTACCAGGTACGTTTTCTTAGAGCCATTCCCAAGAGCTGCCCTCCCGAGACTTGACTCTCCTTGCTGTAGTACTAGAAGTCATTAAATAGAGATCTCTCAGCCAAGCACAGTGGCTTATGCCTATAATCCTGGCACTTTGGGAGGCTGAGGCAGGCAGATCACTTGAGCCCAGGAGTTCAAGACCAGCCTGTGCAGCAAGGTGAAACCCTTACTCTACAAAAACATATATATGTAAATTGGCTGGGCATGACCCTGTGTCTACAAAAAATATAAAAATTGATTGAACAGTTATCGTGGCAGGTGCCTATAATTCCAGCTACTCAGGAGCTAAGGTGGAAGGATTGTTTGAACCCAGAAGGTCGAGGCTGTAGTGAGCTGAGGTACCACCATTGCATTCTAGCCTGGGTGACAGAGTAAGACCCTGTCTCAAAAAAAAAACCCAAAATAAAAATAGAGATATCTCTGAAAGGAGGACAGGGGAGGAAGATCCTGTGATGCTGCTCTGAGAAAGTCTCCGTGAGGCTGATGGCGAGCCCAGGTGCAAAGATACCCATTTGAGGAGCCCTGTGTGAAGCAGAAATGCTCCAGCCCTGGTACCCACGCTCAGTTACTGACTGGAAGCAGCCCATGGCCTCCTTCAGTATGAATGCTGCAGTGGATCCCAAAGGAGCGGCAGCTGGAGGCTTTCTACTACCTGAGTGCCTTGCAGCCAGTTCCCTTGTGAGGGGGGATCTGAGGAGAGCACCTCCATGCTGCCACAGGCCCTGTCTGGTTGCTCCACGTTGTATCATACTGTAGTGGGGAGCTGTTGAGCTGTGAATAACCCTGCCCTTTGTGGAGGTTGTCTTAGTTAGCTAAGGTTACAGGAGAAAGAGGAGAGAAGCTGCCTTGGCAGAGTTAACAGGGTAGCAGGAAAGGGAGGTTTGGAGTGTCGTACATTCAATAACAATTTCTCCATAGACCCGAGCTCCATTATTGGCCATGAAGCTTCCTGGAGCCAAGAGAAAGAAAGCTGTATGCACAGTTCTAGAGTACTGCCCAGACCATTCCCCATTCCCCAGCAGAAACATGCTTCAGGTTCCAGAGAAACCTGTGCTGAACTGAAAACTGCTTCAGCTTTATTTTTCAAAAGAAAATCAATTTAACCAATTTGTGTACTTTTCTCTGCATTGTAATGTGAAGGAATTAGTTCCTTAGAAGTTGGTCCATTTAAAGCCTGGTGCCATGGCTCATACCTGTAATCCCTGCACTTTGAGAAGCCAAGGCAGGAGTTTCACTTGAGACCAGGAGTTTGAGGTTACAGTGAGCCAGAATCTCACTACTGCACTCCACCCTGAGGAACAGAGTGTGACCCTGTCTCTTAAGAAAAAAAAAGAAAGAAAGAAATTGGTCCATTTAAATCATCAAGAGAACCTGTGTTGTTTAAATGTTGATTTTTGGGCCTGGCGCCATGGCTCATGCCTGTAATCCCAGCACTTTGGGAGGCTGAGGCAGGCGGATTAATACAAAAATTACCTGGGTGGAGTGGTGATGTGCATCTGTAGTCAGAGCTGCTCGGGAGGCTGAGGCAGGAGAATTGCTTGAACCCAGGAGGTGGAGGTTGCAGTGAGTCGAGATCGCGCCACTGCACTCCAGCCTGACGCTTGGCCACAAAGCAAGACTCTGTCTCAAAAAAAAAAAAAAAAAAATTTATTTTTGGTATATGTGTTGTTAGCATGGACTTTATTGTCTTGGGAAAGCATAAATGTCTTTTCTGTCTTGTTAGGTTTTGCCCGATCGAAGTCATCCTAAACTGCTGATGAGTGGAGGTGGGGGTTACCTTCTCTCTGGCTTCACCGTTGCCATGGACAACCTTAAAGCAGACACCAGCCTCAAATCCAATGCAAGCACTTTAGAATCCCACGAGACTGAGGAGCCTGCAGCTAAAAAACGGAAATGCCTGGAGTCTAACTCTTAACCCCTTGAGAATTGTTCTGAATTTTGTTCTCAGGCATTACACAGTTAGTAATTAAACTTTAAATGCCACTACACGTTTTTTCATATCCCAAGAATAAGAACATGTCTGTGTACCCATTTCTGGGCAGGGGGAGTAAGCCTTTTGTCTATTTCTGACACAGATGTGTTTGATCTATCAAAACTGCAGCCATAGGGTATGTAGTATGACCAACTGCATTTAACAAAACTCCAAGTACTTCTAAATACTCTGTGCAAATATCTTGAGAACTTCAACCTAAAAATGTGTTTCTACAAGACTTTATATTTTAAGCTAAGTAGAATAATACAAGATAGCTAAAACATGATGGGTATCGAAAGGAGGGTGATTCATGGAAGAAATTTCCTCTGTTCATTCCGTTCTCTTCAACCTAAGCAATATGGATGTGTGAATGTGTGATATATTATGGTACCAAAAATGTCTGCCATGTTCCCTGCAGTGGAATAAGCTTTTTTGAAATGCTAAGGTTTTATTTTAATAGTTGACAACCTGGGAAAGTTCTGAGTATTTATTTTACTGCTCTTTTTTGTGCATAGAGAGGTTTAGTAGGGTACTTCTTTGCATTAGTTTGCCCATGCTCTTATTCTTTGTTCTAAATAAAATGACTAGAATTTTTGTGTATTATTGAATTAAAGGAAACAGAAATGTTTCTCCCCACCCCCGGTCTTATGGATACACATTTGCACACACATACATATGTATATGGATGATATATATATACATAGATATATATACATACATGTGGAAACATAGATTGTACCACTTGTATGAATATATATATGCACATGGAGACAGCCTGCAGTCTATTTGAACTATGTCAAAATTTTGTACAGGACTTAGAGCAGTTCTCATTGTATTAGTGTCATTCCTTGTCAGATGTACTTAAAGTGCCTTTCTTGATTATGAATGTTGAACTCTGGCATGATTACATGGTTATTCTTTCTAAACTCTGAAAAACTCTAGTCAAATAATTTGCTCATCTGCTGTAGCAAAGAAAGTGTTTAGAATCAGACAAGGCTCTTGTTCATTTGAAAGATTTTGAGTCCTTTTTCCTAATTTGCTATTAAAGAATAAAAATGTTGGCTAGGCGTGGTGGCTCAGGCATGTAATCTCAACATTTCAGAAGGCTGAGGCAGGCAGATAACCTGAGGTCAGGAGTTGAAGAAACACCTGACAAACATGGTGAAACCCCATCTCTACTGAAAATAGCAAAAATTAAGCGGGTGTGGTGGCTAATGCCTATAATCTCAGTTACTTGGGAGGCTGAGGCAGGAGAATGGCTTGAACCCTGGAGGCAGAGGTTGCAGTGAGCCGAGATTGTGCCATTACACTCAACCTGAATGACAAGAGTGAAACTCAAAAAAAAAAAAAATAGTTATCTACTGTGACTCATCTGACTCATGCCATCAGTGATGTCATGTTGGCTTTCAGCCAATTGTGACATATGGCCTGTGTATTGTAGAGAACATGCCTGGATTGGCACCTCACAGAACATGTTGTGAGCTGTTGTCAGACATATGTAGCTAGTCAAGTTTGGGCAAGGAGAACGGAATATAGATTAGAACCAGTAGTGGCTGGTCTCGTGATCACTAGTTTCCAAGTTGCGTTCCATTCCCTAAATCTGGTCTGAGTTCCCTGAGCAGGTCTGGGGTCTGAGCTACCAAGGCCCTGCATTCTCATGTTCCCTTTTAAACTCATCTTACCAATAATACCAACAGCAAATCTAATCTGTGTTTTTTTTCTTATTCATCTGGTTTAGTTTATCTCTGAGTACAGATGATTTAATTCTGTGGTTTGTAAACAGCATTGGTAAACTTAGAATCCCCTGGAGGGCTTGGTAAGCAGAGGCTGTTGGACCCTCCACCCCACAGAATAAGATTTCAGTACTTGTGGGGTGGGGCAGAGCATTTGCATTTCAAGTAGTTTCCAGGTGACATTGGTGCTGTTGGTCCAGGAACGACTATTGTGTGCGTGCACATCACCAGTACAGCTAGATACAGGATGTTTTTGTCTTGTGTTTAAAGTGGATATTCACCTTTGGAGCAGATGAATGGATAATTTTATGATTTCTGGACATCTAGCCACCAGGAGAGTTATGTAGAATAGCACTTTAATGAATGGCAATCAGAATTTCAAAGAAATCATTTTGTAACATCCATCCTATTCCTCCATTGGACTAGAGTACTTAGCAATATAGCATGGCACCCATTACAGGGTATTTTTTAGCTTAAAGGTACACTAGAATTGTATGAAGCAAATATTGGGCAATCGTTCATGCATTAGTTGTATATTGAAAAACCAAAAAATGCAGTCTTTTCTCAATATGTAGTGAAGTTTTGAAAAAAAAAAAAAAAAAAAGGAGTGTTTGCATGTTGTTTTAAAGTGTTGATTGTAAATATTGCAAGAACAATACTAAATACTAAAACACATGTCCTAAAAATCCATGGTCAAGATTCACTTTACTCTGTCCTGATTTTGTAATGCATTTAGGTGCAGTGCTAGAAAGGAACAGTGTATCTAATAACTGTACTTGAAATATAATGTTGCCTCTAGCTAGTATTAATTTTTGTAAAAAGGATTATAGATTTTTCTTGAACTTAACCTATGTAGCACAGGTCAGATGGTGAGAGAGGTAAGTCCCTGAATAGCTACTTAAACAGCAACTAGTAACCTTTTAACTACCTAATTAACAGTTACTAGGCACCCACAGCTATTTGAGTTTTTATGAGGAAGGGCAAAATCTTTGAGGCACAGGAAATTAATATCATACTCTACCCACTCCTGTTGGGAGGCCGTTTTACAGTTCTATTAATAATGTGGGGTTTTTTTTGTTTGTTTGTCTGTTTCTTGTTTTTCTTTTTTACTTTTAGCTGAGATATTAAGACAAAAGATTTTGACATTTCATTTTTGCTTTGACAGGTAACAAGGTGCTATGGACATTTTGTTTTGAAACAGGTAGATCAATCTGTTGGATATTTGGTCTACATACTGTTATAATTCTAAGCCAGCAAACCTTAAAAAGTGGAGAAATTAATCCAGAGGGAATGATAGCAGGCATTCTCTTGCCTTTTGGGAGTACTTTTCCTCAATCAAATGCTCAGGTGAGTAAGGTGGTCTCAGTTCAGTGCTCTCCTGTCACCTGTGAGTGACACAAAATAGGCATACAATTAAATGAGATAGGCCAGGCTTGGTGGCCCACATCTGTAATCCTAGCACTTTGGGAAGCCAAGGCGGATGGATCACTTAAGGTCAGGAGTTTGAGACCAGCTTGGCCAACATGGTGAAACCCCATTTCTACTAAAAATTAAAAAAATAGCTGGATGTGGTGGCGGGCACCTATAATCCCAGCTACTTGGGAGGCTGAGGGAGGAGAATTGCTTGAACCTGGGAGACAGGTTGCAGTGAGGCACTGCACTCCAGCCTGGGTAGCAGAGTGAGACTCTCTTATAAATGAATGAATGAATTATATAAATTAAAGTTATATGGTGACAAATTCAAGAAAGAGAGGAGATAAAAATAAGAAAGAATATCATTAATTTTAAATCAGGGGGCAGCAAATATGGCCCACTAAAAATTTTTTGTATGGCCTCTAACTTAAAGAGGTTTTTACATTTTTAAGTGTCTGGAGCAGAAAAGTAAAATAATAATTTCGTGTCATGGGAAAATTACATGAAATTCAAACAAGTTTTTTTGGAACACAACTACTCCAATGTGTTTATATATTGTCGATGGCTGCTTTGACACTGTAGCAAAGTTGAATAATTGTGATAGAACCCATATGGCCCTAAAGCCTAAAACGCTCTCTGGGCCTTTGTGAAGTTTGCTGATTGCTGATTTCAGTGGTGTGATGAGAGGGATTGCAGCATAGGTGGAAACAGGAGAACAGCACTTTGGAGCAGCCACAGTGGGGAGCGGGTTTGGTGTGAGCAGCAAGCAACAATAGACAGTCGTGTGACATCCAGAGCTCCTTCTCGGGTCTCTGGACCCATCAGCAGTGTTTGACACCGTCCGTCCCTCTCCTTGCCAGGCTTTTCCTCACTTGGCTTCTAGGAAGCCACTCTCTCCTGGTTTCCCTCATACGTCTCCAGCCTTTCTGTATCTCTCTTGCTGGTTCCTTCTCATCTCTGAAACTTCTAAATGTTGGCATGCCTCAGGGCTCAGTACTTGCACTCCTTCCTTTTCTTGTCTACACTCACTCCCTAGGGTGTTTGAGGGATTTGGGGACTGATCAAAGAGAAAGATATGACCGCAAGATGGCAGCAGCACTCTGGCAGATTTGCATGGGGGCAGGGGGATGTCCCTTACAGCAAGAGTCTGTCCAAAGGCTACACTGTAGGTGTTGCTACTCGGAAGGAGAGAAGAAAGAGCAAGGATACCCCCAAGGGAAAGGAGGGTCAGAAACAAGTCTTACGTGTCTAGGTGGTGGTGCTTAACAAAGCCGCGGAAAGTCTCTGGGTCAGGGAGCTCCAAAGGGCAGGGACGGCTTGAGGTTTGTTTTTTGTTTTTGGCTTTATTTTTCTAAGACAGGGTCTTACTCTGTCACCCAGGCTGGAGAGCAGTGGCATGATCTCAGCTCACTGCAACCTCCTTCTTCCAGGCTCAACTCATCCTCCCACCTCAGCCTCCCAAGTAGCTGGGACTGCAGGCACACGCCACCACACACAGCTTAATTTTTGTATTTTTTAGTAGAGACAGGGTCTTACTATGTTGCCCAGGCTGGTCTTGAACTCCTGAGCTCAAGTGATCTGCCTGCCTCGGCCTTTTAAAGTGCCGGGATTATAAGCATGAGCCACCGCACTTGAGGTCTTATAACCACAAGGCTATGTGTTATCAACAGTCAACAGTTACTGGGTGTAGTTTCACTGGGTGTGTACCAGGAAGGCCCTGAATGGCTAAAAAATTGGCTTATAATTTGCTTAAAATAATTGGATGTATGAAAATTTGAGTTTGGCTTCTGCACTAATCAGTGTCAGCCTGCAATGAAGAAATAAACAATCTCTAAGCCAATATCCAGAGGCCACCTTTGACTCTCTTATATAACTCTACATGATCTCACCCAGCTGTAAGGCTTTAAATTCCATCTCTATGATGATGACTCCCACATTCAGTCTTCAGCACAGGCCTTTTCCTCCAGCACCAGCTCATATACCCAGCTCAACAGCTCTACTGGCTATCTATTCACGCCTCAAACTTAACATGTTCAAATCTGAGCTCCCCATCTCTCCCCTCCCGAACCAGTCCCTCGCGCAATCTCCCCCATCTGTTTTTCCAAGTGCTCAGGCCTAAAGCCGTGGTGTCCCCCTCTTGTTCCCTCAGGCCACACCAAACCCAGGAGCCCTACCTGTCAACTCTGTCTCCAGAATAGAACTAGAATCCTGCCACTTCTCCCCATTCCCAGTGCCACCACACCAGACCCTGCCTTCACAATGACTCAGCAGGGTGATTACAGTGCCCTCCTTTTTGGTTTCTGTGTTTCTGCCTTCACTTCCCCTACAGCCATCTCTCAATCCAGCAGTCAGTGTCATTATAAACATAGAGCAAATCCTATCAGTCATCCACTGAGAACTCACCAATTGCAAAAGCAAAAGTCCTTACCAGGACCCACAGAGAGCACTGCATGACCTAGCCCCTGCTGCCTCTCGAAGCTCACCTCCAACAGTCTCCCACTTGGGCCTCTTGTTCTTCTTCAGATATGCCGAACATTCCCATCCCAGGGCCTTTGTACCTGCTCTTCCCTCTGCCTGAAATGTCCTTCCCCCAGGTGTCCACATGGCTCATGCCCTTTCTTTAGGTCTTTCATCAACAGATACTTTCTCAGTGAGGCCTGTCGTGTATCTGAGTGTCAGGATCCTGGACTGCAGAATTGTAATTACTACAGTTAATTATTTCAGCACCTGAAATCTGATTATAGTGTGTGTGTATGTGTGTGTGTGTGTGTTTTGAGATAGAGTTTCACTCTTGTGCCCAGGCTAGAGTGCAGTGGAGCCATTTTGGCTCACTGCAACCTCCGCCTCACTGCAGCCTCAACTTTCAGGGCCCAAGTGATCTCCTGCCTCAGCCTCCTGAGTAGCTGGGACTACAGGTGCACACCACTATGCCTGGCTAATTTTTATAGAGATGGGGTTTCGCCACATTGTCCAGGCTGGTCTCGAACTCCTGAGCTCAAGCAAACCTTGACCTCCCAAAGTGCTAGGGTTACAAGTGTGAGCCACCATGCCTAGCCTCTATCTTAAGGAGTAGAAATCTGACAAGATCTTAGGGACCAGGGATCTGTCTGGACAGGCCAGATGTTTTCACTCCCACCCCAGAATTCTTCCCATTATCCAAGCTTTCTTCTCAGCCCTGAAAAATGATTTCTGGCTGGCTGCTTCTAGAGCTCTTTAGATAATATAATTTTCAAGGTAATATCTTATGATTGTTTTTGAAACAGGTTTTTCAAGCCTAGGTAATCTCTTTCAGCATGGGGAGCAGATGTCTTTTTCCAATCTATTTCTCTTTATATCCTGCACATTACTGCAAAAGGTTTGCTTTTTTATTTTATTATGCATCCAAAAACAACAAATCCTAGAGCCATCTTTTGCAATTTACTTTAAAGAATAGATTTGAAAAGTCACACTCCTCCCTCTTTGCCCAAAGGAAGCCAAGAACAGTGAAGCTTTTGGTCTCAGGTGAATCTTTTATTATTTCCAACTGAGACAAACATTTTCCCAAAGAGAGTAGCACAGTCATTGTCACAAGCATGTTAATATGTCTATTTTGCAAAAAAGAATATGCTACAAAGTCATGCTATTCACATTTTCAATAGCATTCTGGCAAAAATTAAAGACATTTCCAGTTATGTCAAACATGGAATGAATAGTAAGTTCTACTTTCTGCCCTTGGATAGATAAATGGTGTCTTTCAGTGAAGTGGTAAAAAAACAGATCATGCAAGGGCTGCTTCTTAACACCGCCCACTGCTCCAGTGACAGTCAGCCCCTTTGGCTGAATTTCTCAGCTATCTTCTGTAGTTCCAAATCCATTGCAGCTAAGTTTTCAAGTTCTTTTTCCTGGAAAATACAGAAAAGTGGAGGCATGAGGTCCCAAACCGATTTGTTTTGCTGTACTTTGATGGAGTATGAACGGAAAGGGGAATTTTAGGCATGTTAAAAGCTGCATTAATCAACCTACATCAGTAACTCTCAAAGTGTGGTCCCCTGACTAGTGGCATCAGCCAGGAACTTGTCAGAAATACAGATTTTGGGGTCTCACCTGGGACCTACTAAATGAGAAACTCTGGGGGCTAGGAATCCCTCAATCATCCTGGTGTACATTCAACTTTGAGAAACACCAACCTAAATAAAAAATATCAGGAAAAAAACATTGTTTGCATAGGTACAGCTCCAATAACGTTACCTCTGACTGCAGGGGGGCTTGAAATAATAAAGATAGCTAAGTAAATAGTCTAGCAAGTAAATTTCTCTATCACCTATTCTCCCTACCTCAGGGGGAGAGTGATGAACAGTCAGATGACCGGGGGAAGATACCAGAACAGTAGTTGTCAACCTTGGCTGAATGCTGCAACCATCTGGAAGCTTTAAAATATCGTGATGACCAGGAAGCACCCTAGGCACCAAGTAGACAGAATCTCTGATGCTGGGTTCCAAATAAAGTAATTTCTCAAGCTCTCCAGGTGACCCCAGTGTGCAGACAAGGTTGAAAAGCAGTGCAACTGAGGGAGTGGGCAAGGATGTGGACGATGGCTAGAGGTAGGTGAAAACTGACCCCCACGGCGGCCTCCACTCTGTTACTAGGGCACTATTTTCTTTTCTTTTTTTTTTTTTTTGAGACGGAGTTTCGCTCTGTCGCCCAGGCTGGAGCACAATGGTGTGATCTCGGCTCACAGCAACCTTCCCCTCCTGGGTTCAAGTGATGCTCTTGCCTCAGCCTCCTGAATAGCTGAGATTACAGGCACCTGCTATCATGCCCAGCTAATTTTTGTATATTGAGTAGACACAGGGTTTCACCATGTTGATCAGGCTGGTCTTGAATGCCTAACCTCAGGTGATCCACCTGCCTCAGCCTTCTGAAGTGCTGGGATTATAGGTGTGAGCCACCGCGCCCGGCCCCACTAGTGCACCATTTTCATAGTGATTAATTCCCGTCAACTTCTCCCCATTAATATGGGATAGTCTTGAACATAATGTACTAGCATTGACCAAAGTAAGTAATTTTAAACAGAAGCCTCACACTGTACCTCATCCTCTGTCAGAACTCTCTGGTCGGGCCTGTCCTTTTCATTTTCTGCCTCTTGGAAGGTGCTCATCGGCTCCTCAGAATCATAGAAGTCTGGAAACTCGGCTGACTTCTTCCTGTAGTGAAGGAGCTGGTCCAGTTGGGCCACCCTGTCATACTGCCTTTTTAGGTCCAGCTTGGGGACCCTGGCGAGGTTTCTCTGACCCCAGTTCACATCCTCCGAGAAGGGCTTTTTCTCCCACCAGTCATAGTTGTATTCTGGGAAGAAATTCTTCTCATTCAAGGTCAGGTCATTTTCCTCTTCACCCTCAAGAAAATTATCATCCATGTTGTCTCTTCTTTCAAAATGGCTGCTCTGCCACTGGAGAGGGTCGTAGTATGGGTTGAACAGTTCCCCTAATCTCTTCTTCTTTTCAGCCGTGTGATGGGAGCCATATTGTTTCTCTTGAAACCTAGCTTCCTCCCTGTTTTCTCTAGTGTCCTGCAGGTCTCTCTGCTGCTGCCACTTCCCTTGTGTTCCTTCCTCACCATAGTTGAGGTAATTTCTGTCCAGCTCTTTCCATGCACCTTGTGGACGCCTCCTTGCCTTGTCCATCTGGCTTTCTTGGACATGGTGGTGTCCTTCACCCAAGAACCTTTTCTCTTCTCTGGCGTCAGACATGAAATAGGCATGTGGCTCCCCTCCCCTACCTCTGTGATGGCGTCCCTTTCCCTGTTCTTGGCCCCGCTCTTCCGCACTTTCTTCACCATATCCATGTGCCATCTTATCGAGCTCTAAGCTGGGGTAGTTTCTCTTGTCCTCCTCATCCCAGCTCTCCTCACTCTGAGGCCTTGGAGCCCCGTATTCTTCACTTCCTCTGCCCCTATAGCGTTCCCCCTCCAGGTCCTCGGAGTTCCGGACGTCGGGATAACTCTTTACTTCTCCATATTCGGGTTCTTCCTCTGAAGCCCTGTAGTGGGTTGAATGGTGGTCCCTCCTTTCCCCTAAACTGGCCATGCCGACGTTTGACTCCTCAGATTCCTCCAGGGGGTGTCCCCTTTCCTCAGGGGGAAGACTTCCTCCTTGAGAGGACCTGTCAGGCCTGCTCCTCCCATGATGGTGTCTGGGCCTCGTGCGTCGTTTGGCCACCTCAGAGGTGGCATCTTCTTCACCTTCCTCAGATTCTTCCTGGCTTTGGGGTTGGCCTTTTGACTCCTGCGGCTGTTTTTCCTGGCTCCCTGCCTCCTCTCCACTCTCCTGGCTGCTCCTCTCCCGGCTATGCGTCTTCTCCTCAGAGTGCCCAGCAGCATGTGTATCAGATCTGGCCACTAACTCCTCTTTTTTTGTAGCTGAAGCCTGGTTTCTTTCATTAAGAAAAGCATTTTGTGTCTCTCCTGGCTTTTCAAGGTGTTTCTCTTCACTGCCATCTTCCCCTCGCTCCCCTTTTTGGTAGTTCTCTCCCTCTTCCTCCTCCTCATCCTCTCTCTCGTTCTTCTCAGAATGGCTCGTCTTTGCTTCTTCGGAGACTTGGCTGTCGGAGGGATAGAGGCTCCGCTGGGGCTCATCCACTCGTTCTCGGCTGTGCCCGCCTCCCTCTGCCCATGGCTCTGTGTCTGCCTGTGTCAGGCCTTGAGTGTCCTTCTCCGCTGGGGCTCCTGCCTCTTCCCTACTGGACGGCCCGTGGGCTTCTGAGGCATCAGCTGGGTCTCTTAACAATCTTACTTCAAACTTCGTGTTTTCATTTTCAGTTGTCTCCTTGTCTTTGACCTCTTTTCTATCTACAATGAAAAAGAAGAGTAGTTATAACTTCAGAATTGCTTGTGATTCAACAAGAACTAGCCTCAGTAATCACTACAAATCCTGAGGACACTGAAAATTGCTTGAATAATTATTTAATTTAATGAAGAATATACTCAGATTCCTCTTGAAAGTACATGCTATGAAAGCTCCTTGACTGTGTTTAAATAGTAATAAATTGTCTATATTTTTATGTCTTCAGAATATTCAACCAGCTTCTCTCATTGGTACTACCAATGATCAAACTGAAACCCAGATAAAGATCTATGAAATATTAGAATTTAGAAGCAGAAAACATCTTAGAATTCATGTAATCCAGTCCAACCTCTTCTTTTTGAAGACATTGAGACTCAGCATGGTATAATCCGAGACCATTCTTTCCATATTTTCTCCAAGTAGGAGTTAAAAAGTTAGCATTATATGAATGGCTTTACCAATAATCCAACTAGATAATTAGCCAAAATGAGAAATAGCAAGATTCAAAGGAGAATTTAAACATTTGAAATGATCAGTTTGTATCAGACTTTTATTATCCAATCACCTGTGGACTCAACCTCGCAATATGTGATACATAACTCAGTAGCTGGTGATAAGAAGGGTGTACATTTCTTCCCTGAGAAAAACTGCACATCAGTAGAAAGGGCCATTCCTTCTTTCACTCAGGTTCCATCTACCCAACATGTTCTCAGATGTTGAGGACAAACTTCAGTATACTGAGTTATCTTTGTGTTTCCTGAGTCAGAGTAGATGGGATAACTGATATTTTAATTGAATGCTGTTCTTGCCCATGTTTTCCAAATATGAATAGCTCCCTTACTAAATCCTCCTGACCTCACGGGCACCCCATGAAAGGAGATATGCAGTTGGCACTGTCTCAGTTGTTAGCTAGGAGGGCTTGGATTTCAACCTGTGTCACAGAGTTCAGATAAAATCCCTGAAGCCAAGACCACTAACAGCTCTGGGTCTACACTGCAGGTGCCATAAGCCCAAGTGCTGTTGGGCACTTGAAATATGGCTGGCCCAATCTGAGACATGCTATATATGTAAGCTACACATCAGACTTCCGAGAATAAAGAATAATGTGAAATAATCTCAACAATTTTTACATCATTATATGCTGAAATAATATTTTGGATGTATTGGATAATAGATATTTCAAATAGATTAGATAGATAAAATTATGTATTAGAAAAAATATTGGATTAAAATAAAATACATTATTGAAATTAATGTCCATGCAATCTCTTTTTACTTTTTTAAATGTGGCTACTATAAAATTTGAAATTATATTTGTGGCTCACAAAATATTTCTGGTGGGTGGCACTGATGAGTCATTTTGAACTGATATTTGCAAAATGGAAAAAAAATTGTTTGTTTTGTAAAAATGTCCAAGAAATAGTAGACTGTCCATACCTCTCTGTTTCAAGCCCAGCCTGACATGATAATAATAATCTCATGTTTATGAGGCAAAAGAAATGTCCCTGACCTTTTCCACGCATCTGAGGGAAGACCCATCTGTCACCAGTCTCTTTGCCTCTTAAAAGCCAATGGTGGTACATACAGCATTGAGGCATGGCTAGCCAGAAGGCACAGGGAAGCATGGTGGCTCTGGGCAGTGCAATGACTAAACGTTTGTGTGCTTCTAAAATGTCGAAGCCCTAATCCTCAATGTGATAGCATGTTGAGGTGGGGCCTCTGAAGGTAATCAGGTCATCAGGGTAGAACCCTTATAATGGGATTAGTGCCCTAAGAAGGGAGATATGAGAAAGAGATGATTTCTTTCTCCACCAGATGAGGATACCATGAGAGAAGACAGCTATCTACAAGCCAAGAAGTGGGCCCTCATCAGACACTCTGATCTTGAACTTCCAACCTCTGCAACTATGAAAAATAAATGTTGGTTGTTTAAGCCTTCCAATCTATGGTATTTGATATAGCAGCCTGAGCTGACTGACTAGGACAGACAAGACAATAATGTTATTCTGAGAGTCAGTTGAACTAGAGCTGATCAGACAAGGTATCAGCCTCCAGGAGCAGAGTCACTGTGGCCCCTTCCCTATCGCCTACTGGTTTGTGAGTCTTAAGTGTCAGGAACAGAAGTATTTTTATTTTTTTCCCAGTTAAATTTGTACTGCCTGAGCAGCATGGCCTGAGGCTGAGCACTTCCTACTAAATTTAGCCTTAAGCCCACGCAGGTGAGCCTGGAGAGGTCTGTGATTGGCAGCACACATTCATCAATCTGTAAAACCAAGATGTGAAGCTCACTCTTACTTTCAAGCAAAAAGAGGGAAATGCATCTGTCATGTTGTAAGGATGACCAGATCAACCCTAGTCAAAGACATTCTTGTACCTGTTAAGAAATTAGACTATGTCTTCCCTGAGGTCTCTTAAATCCGTAAAACAATGATTCTGTCCTACTTCCCAAATATTCATTTGCTCAGTGAGTATATGTTGACTCAGAGACAAGCAGGTAAGAGTGGTAGTGGAGATAGGCCTGGGGTGGACAGAGGCTGTAGAAACGCATTCATCCAACCAGTAGGCCAAAAGCTCCACCAGTTTTCTGATCAGTTAGGATATACCAACAAGAGCGAGAAAACTAGAATAGGATAAAAGTTGCAAACTGGTGCCTAAGAGGTGAATTCTATTTTACCTAAATAGCAGTTTTAGTATGTTGGAATTCAGAGGCAATACGAAAATACCAGGAGATGTCTTTTAAAAATCAAAATGTTAACTTCTTTGAAAAATCCTAAGATCTGCTGGGCATAGTGGCTCACGCCTGTAATCCCAGCACTTTGGGAGGCCAAAGTGGCAGATCACCTGAGGTCAGGAGTTCGAGACCAGCTTGGCCAACATGGCCAAACCCTGACTCTATTAAAAATGCAAAAATTAGCCGGGCATAGTGGTGTGCACCTGTAATCCCAGCTACACAGGAGGCTGAGACAAGAGAATCGCTGGAACCCCCGGGGGCAGAGGCGGCAGTGAGCCAAGATTGCATCACTGTACTCCAGTCTGGGTGAGACAGAGCAAGACTCTGTCTCAAAAGAAAAAAGAATCTCAAGATCTGACAGCAGAGTCTGTATTTCTCCATAATGGGATTAGAGCTGAGAAATAATCTGCTTCCCCTCAGAAAAGGCATGTGCCCTCCAGTCTGTGAGTCACTTCCTGTTCTGCCTTACTCCTTTGTGTTATTTATCTGCCTAGCCCTGGCTGGTGTTTAAGGCTCAGCCACAGAGGAGCTCTTAAACCTTCCCCATCTCAGCATTCTGTCACTCTCTGGGTATAACATCTCCAGCATCCTTAGATACATGGGTCATTTGATTTTTTTTCCCAGTTTCCCTACATCTTGCTCAACAGACATCGAAAGACCGCAGGGCATAATGAGGGCTGGAGCCAAGGCTAGAGTTATTATGCCATAATCTAAGGGCTAAGATCTTGGCAGGCAGGCATAGGCAACTTTTCCTAAGCAATTGTGGTTCTTTGGTGACCTGACAAGGCAGACCCCTCACATTTGCATTGGTCTAGCAAACAAAGGAAGGGAAAGGCCTCAGGTTACTCTTTTGGCCAATCAGTATTTGCTTTTTACTATTTCATGCATGAGGACTCATGTGTAGCAATAGCCAAGAGTGTCTTGTCTGGCGGTGAGAGTTGGTTTTTTGGTGGGTTTTTTGTTTGTTTGTTTTTTGAGATGGAATCTCACTCTGCCACCCAGGCTGTGCCCATGCTGGAGTGTAATGGCACAAACAATGCGCCCTCTGCCTCCCAGGTTCTAGTGATTCTCCTGCCTCAGCCTCCCGAGTAGCTGCGATTACAGGCACCTGCCTCCATGCCCAGCTAGTTTTCGTATTTTTAGTAGAGATGGGGTTTCACTATGTTGGCCAGGCTGGTGGCAATGAGAGATTTTTTTTTTTTTTTTTTTTTTTTTTACAGAGTCTCACTCTGTCACCCAGGCTAGAGTGCAATCTCTGCCTCCCAGGTTCAAGCTATTCTCCTGTCTCAGCCTCCCAAGTAGTGGTATTACAGGCACCTGCCACCACGCCTGGCCAATTTTTTTGTATTTTTAGTGGAGATGGGGTTTCACCATGTTGGCCAGGCTGGTCTTGAACTCCTGACCTCAGGTGATCCGCCCGCCTTGGCCTCCCAAAGTGCTGGGATTACAAGTGTAAGCCACCATACCCAGCTGAGAAATTTTTAAAGGTGAAAAAATAGGATAAAATCTACTGTTCCCAGCCTGACTAAAAGTTTAAAAGAAAAGGACAGCGTTGAAGAGGGCAGTGTTTCCTGGATTTGTTTGAATCAGTTTGGCATCATGTATAACAGAGACTGCATAGTCTTGTAAAATTCACCTCATACTGTCAGTTTCCAATGGATACTGCTTATATCACTGTTCAAATTTTATTTTCAGCAGAAATGGTTTCATATTGAGAACACTTTCAGAGACTCAGAAAGTCATTAGTTGCCTCACCTGGAACTCCTGGTACCATTTGGTGGTACCTTCTCTTCTAGTAAGCTGTGCACTAAACTATCTTAGCTAATTTATTGTGTAAATAGGCCAGAAATTTTAAGTCACCTAAGCTTCCTGCTTCTCAGTGTCAGAAGAGTAAAAGGCAAAGAGAAGAATGATTTTTAAATCTCCCTCTATCATCTTCCAGCACTTCCAGAAACCCCTTCCTCATCTAATCACAAACCAGCATTTCCCACACCTCTGTCCACCCAGCTGAAGTCCTGTCCTAAAAATGCAAAATATGGAACTAAGGAATTTAAGAGGGATGGACATCTGAAAGACTATCATTGAGTCCAACTCCTTCATTTTACTTTGAGGAAATAAACCTAGAGAGGCAAAGGGCCTTTCCCATAGTCACACAGCTGCAAAATGGCAAAGCAGGAACTAGGAGTCATTTCACTGTCTCCCAGATACTGGCCTAGTCAATCCACACTCTTCCTGCTGTATTATGCCCCCAGGTCATTTGTAGATAAAGTGGAAGGTGATGTGGGGAGTAGGAACAAGGATCACTGCAGCGACAAAGATCTGCTCACAGTGCGGGACACTTACTCTTCTTCAGGACTTGGCGGCACTCAGGGGTGATGGGTGGAGCACTGGACTTCGACAAGGCATTTGAGAGGACCTCAATGATGCAGCGAGTCACCTGGAGAAACACCCAAAAGCAGGTTGGAGAAGCTGGTGTCACTGGATGACAGACTACTCAAACCAGAGCTGCTTGACTACCTGAACTGTGCCAATGCAGTATTTCTTAGGGCGGAGATACAGATTTACAGAAACAGAATGAAATCTTCCAAACCTCTACACAGAACAATGCAAGAAAGCACTGAGTTGGGATTATCAGGAGAAGGGAAATAAACGTTTATTTCCAAAGCAATGGCACAGCTATCCTCGGGGGTGCTAAACCATCTTGACAGGAGACAGGGGCTCAGTGCAGGAGGGGCATCCCTTGCCCACATTCTGTCAGGGATGAAAACCTGGCTTTGTAAGATTATGTTTTTTGTGTGTGTGCATGTGCACATGTGCATGTGTTTGGTTTGGTATAATAGAGACTGGGAGAATCTAGAGTCTAGATACAAGCCTAGATTCTAAGATCGACATTGCAACTTACCATTTCCTCATTGTGGTTCCTGTTATCCACTGGCATGGAATTGACAGCTTTGAAGGAGAAAAAAGAATGGAAAATGAGTTGGCTTTTGGAAGCTGTGTGACCTCAGACTCACAAAATCACCCCACGTGAGTTGTTGCTTTCCCCCCTGGCAATGTCTTAAATATATATGGAAACAAATGCTATTTTAGATCCAGTATAAATCTGCCACGTTTTTAACATGATTGTAAACAGTGTGGAGGAAAAGAAACACAATGTTGATAGGAAGGCATAAATGAGCTTGTTCAGGCAAAGGCCTTGTGGGTAAACAATAAGGTGATTAATTATTATAATCAAATCTTGACCACAGACACGGAAGGGGCTTCTGGGATACCGGAAATGTTCTGTTTTTTAATCTCTGTGCTGGTTACATAGGTATGCTTATTAAGCTGTATATTCATGACCTCTTCAATTTTCTATATATTTTACTTCAATTAAAAGTATAAACCAAACTAAGTCTAATATAATGAGTGCCCTCCTTGACCCTTCTCTGCCTACCCCAAATGGGTAAAGATCTGTGTGGCTCTCTCTCCCTATCTCTGTTTCCAAAAAAATATCCTCCCAAAACTTACTTCCATGACAAAGACACGGTTATGACTGTCTTCCATAATTAATTACCTCATTTTTTATCTGCAAGGTCTTTGCCTGAACAAGCTTGTTCATGCATCCATATCAACATTATGTTTCTCTTCCTCAACGACTGTTTACAGTCATGTAAAAAACATGGCAGATACCTAACCCTCGTAGTACAGCATCAAGTCCGTTAAATTATATGCAAATTGATGGTTAACCACTGGTTTATAAGACTTTTTTAAAAGACTTTTTTCTTTTTTAAAAGAAAAATTTTAATTATTTCAATAAAATTTCATGAGATTCTGCCTATCTTAAAGCACTGTTTGAAGCTGCTTTGTCTTCTTAGAAAATACTTCAGGTAATTTTAATTTTTCAGTGCCATTTTTTTTCTCTCGAAGCTGCTTTGATTGTTTTTTCACTTTGACTTTGTTCTGTGTAAGCCCTTTCCATTGGAACAGCCCAAAGCATTTACATATAAGTCCATCTCTACAGTTCTCTTGGCATTCCCTGCAGCAGGCAACTGCTGTTATGGCAGGAGAAGCTCAGTGCAGAAAATTATTCTAAGTCCCTGAGAAGAAAGTAGAGCTAGCTGGGGCAAGCTCTCAGACATCAGACAGGAAAGCTATTCAAATGCAGCAACCCGACCTTTCCTTCCACAATGCTTTGCTCTAAGCCTCTTTAAACATTCTCCACCTGCTATCAATTACGTATCATGGGGCTCAACCTGGAAATAAAACACCTATTTCATTTACTCACTTTACTAAACTTTTCTTCTCAAAGCATAATCTGGGATCTACTTCAATTGTTTCAAGAAGCCCAAAGTTATGCAGCCTATTGAAATCGTTAAAAAATATTTGAGAAGTAGCTAACAAGCTGTGAAGACCCCAAGTTCTTCCTGAAATGCTTATCAGGCAAGATCCCACTTTTCGAACCCAAGGTCCAATATACTGGACTGTTCTTTCATCCTCCAAATGGCTGTTTGAGAACACACCCACTTCAGCATTTTCTTTTTCCGCCAGAAATCTATGAAATCCTCTGGAAAGCAATGACTATGAGACAATAACTCCCCTAACAAACCAAATGACTTTTTAAAAATCCAGCTTTACTAAGCCTTTGATATCTTGCTAATACTCTTCTTTAATTTTACAAATGTGAAATAGATGCTTTTATTAACTACTGGTATTGCCAAAGCATTAATAGTTACCAGATTTGCGGACAGAGAAAGATTTTTCTTTTATTACTCTAGATAACTCATAGCTCATGTTTGTATTTATAGAACCATTGTTTCTCTGACTGAGGCTCTTCAGATCTCTTTTTGATGGAAAAAAAAAAACGAGGGTCTGCTTTTGAACATATATTAGACATCTTGGTAAGACATCTAGGGCTTCTGTATTTTTCCAGTAAAATCTAAGACAAAAAAAGTAATAGCCAAAGGCATGTTGTCATCCTTAAAGCACTTCAACTTACTTTTGCATATGGCAAGATTCAGGTGGCACAACAGAAAACCTAATGCTCTCTGTAGGGATTTAAGAAAAAAAAAAAAAGAAAACCTAATGCTTGTGCTAAAAGTAAAGCAATCAAATGGTAAAAAAAATTATCAAATAATGTGGTAAATCTGAGAGTAACTCAGTCTAATAATCTAAGACTATTAAGGTTTGATTCCCAGATTGAAAATACAGCTGTAAAATAAGTTAAACAAGCTCTTCTGAATATAGAAACCATTTTCCTAGCCAGGCGTGGTGGCTCATGCCTGTAATCTCAGCACTTTGGGAGGCTGAGGTGGGCAGATCACAAGGTCAGGAAATAGAGATCATCCTAGCCAACATGGTGGAACCTCGTCTCTACTAAAAATACAAAAAAAAAAAAAATTAGCCGGGTGTGGTGGCACACACCTTTAATCTCAGCTGCTTGAGAGACTGAGGCAGGAGAACTGCTTGAGCCCTCGAAATAGAGGTTGCAGTGAGCTGAGATCACACCACAGCACTCCAGCCTGGCCAATAGAGCAGGACTCTGTCTCAAAAAAAAAAAAAAAAAAAAAAAAGAACAGAAAACAAAACTATGGATATCATTTGACTATTTCCCTTATATTAATTTTTAGAGTGCACAATAGCTTCCATAGAAGGTTGTGGATCTCCTTTCAGAAGCTCTTAAGGATAAGCGAATGAGCTTGAGGTTTCCCCCAGCCCTGTGATTTTGCAAATAACCAGCTCTACTTGAAGGCTAACAAATCTCATTGCCTGAGGCTGTGGAGAGGTAGGAATGGAGAGGTGCTTGCTAATGGGTTTGTGGTATCTTTCTGGGGTGATGGAAATGTTCTGAAATTTGACAGTGGTAATAGTTGCACGATCTGTGAACATACGAAAAACCACTGAATTACATATTTTAAAAGGGTGGATTATATGATATATAAATTATAGCTCAATTTTTAAAAGATTATCATGTCTTCATTTTAGCTGCTATTAAAATACAAATTTGTATTTAAAATATTCTGTTACACAAGAGATCTGTAAGTATTATACCACAATGGTTAAATAAATCCCACAAATGTCACTGTTTTTGTGATTTACAGCCTCCTAAGCAAAGCAATTCCTTTCTGAAAGTATTTTGACCAGAAATAATTCTAAATATTCATTTGGGTTTCTTTAATGAAATTGAGAACATTTATTTGTAATTTGTAAGAATGACAAGAATTTTAACAAATTCTGAATGTACGTAGCTTACAATAAAATTAATTATGACTGGCTTTCATTTTGTCTCTACCTTTTGGATCTAGTAATTGCTGCCAATAAAATCTCCATCTTCGTGGATGGCAATATCTCAATTCTAGGTAGGAGTCTCAATTTCAGATATGAACAATTTTCTAAAGATCATTAAAAGCTGAAGAAAACCTGTGGTTTAAATTGGTGCTGGCATACTTACTTTGCAATAGTCTCAATATCTCAATACCCATAGGTGACTCTATTTCCAACACACATGCACACACACACACACACACACACACACACTTCAGATCTTCAGAGATCATTTGTTTGAGATTCAGAGTAGTTTGACAGATTAATCCTACAATCTTTCACACAAAAAGAGAAACAGTCAAATATCTACTACTGAAAATTCCATCCTCCTGAATCGACTAAAACTTTTTTTTTTACTACTCCGAAGGTACTTTTGTGGTTATTTTGTACTCTAATAATTTTCCTGGAGTACAGAAGTCAAAATATTGCGGTTTCCATTCATAACTTAAAAATGAGGGGCACATGTTCTTAGGACTGCTGAGGCTTTCACAGGTAAAAAAAAAAAAATTCCTTTGGGTGTGAGATTATGTCTCGAGAGATGGAAATACAAAATAGAGAAACATATTATATTAAACCTGTACATACATGAGCACACATACACACACGTTATATATGGACATGTTAAGAAAAGGGACATATCTCATATACATATGGGACTCACTTTTATCACATCATATTTATACGACAATAACAATAATAAGGGAAATTATGCAGGTGCTAAATAACATCATACTTGTATTCCTGCCTCTCCGTAGCCGCCTGGCCTTAAAAAGCCAAAACAGTTACAGAATCAGACTACGACAGAGTCTCGACAGGACGGGCAGAGAGAGCATGACATCTTAGAAGCTAATACAAAATGTGGGGTTTCCTTGGAGGTGCGGCACGTTTTCTTCCTTCTATCTAGAGGAAAACTCAGATATAAAAAGACTGAGGCTCCCCTGGTTGGGCTGGGAAACCCTCTAGCTTTTTCCAAGTCAAAGGGGCGGGAGGAGTTGAAGGAAAACACCCAGGAAGGAGAAGAAACGAAGCAAGAGATAAGCCTTCCCCTCAACCCTCCGTCTCTCCCGGGATCCGCCAGCCTGGCTGCGGGAGCGGCGGGGAACAGCGATGCTGGCGCTGTCCGCGGTGCTGACCGGCCCGCCGCGCCCACTCACCCGCCAGCCCCACGGCTCCCAGGAGGCTGAGAAGCAGCGCTGGCTGCATGGCCCCGCTCGCCGGCCCCTGCGCGGAGAGGAAGATGGCGGCTGGACCGGAGAAGCGAGGCGCAGGAGGAAGGCGCGACGGAACGGCCCCGGGAAACCAGCGTGCGTCCTGGTCCCCGCGGTGTGGCGCGGCTGGCGCAGGCCCCGCTCTTTTAAAGGGCAGGCGGGGGCCGCAGGGCCGGGAGGGGCGGGCAGCCAGGATCGGGCGCCCCCTAGCTCAGCCCTGACGTCACGAAGCAGCCCCCACAGGGCGGAGACGCAAATGGGCGGAAATTTACGCCAGTCCAGTAGCCTGGGGTACGGGGTCTGGAGCGGGGGTGGGGGCGAATGGCGCGCCAGAGAATGGACGGGCGGGAGGAGTAGTGAAGATCTGAGACGGTGGGGGAGGCGGGAGGTCCCGCTTAGATCGTCTCAGCCTGCTCCCCAACTCCCCTGCACTCCCCCCTACACCTTCAAATCTAAAACCGTGTGTTTGAGACTATGTGTGTGGTTGTGCTGAGATGTGTGCATGACGAGGTCTGTTTGTGTCTCCTCGACCTAGCGGAGGAAAAGACTCCTGCTAACCAGTGAGAACTAAACGGCTGGTCAGGGAAATGGAAAATACAGTGATGGCTTTAAAAGTAAAAAGTGCAGTCAGAGAATATGGGATCTGCTGTTCCTTCAAACTTCTTTTCGTCTTTATGTCTATCTACCTATCCATGGTTCTATCTCCTATTCATGACTGTCTCCCTCCTCCCTCTGAATACATAACACATACACATGGTAAAAAAAAAAAAAAAAAAAAAGAAGAAGAAGAAGAAGAAAGAAAAAAGAAAAGGAAATCAGACGGCACAAAAGGATTTATTATAAAAGTCTCCCTTCTTCCTTTATTTCTAGTTCTCAAGTTCCTCAATTCCTCTTTGCAGTCAACACAATTTTACTACTCTCTGTAATTTAGGTTTGACTTATTTTGGAACATATACAGCTGCATCTTCTTTTGAATGATGTATTACTTTGAATGGATACAATAGAATTTATTTAACCAGTTCCTTTTCTAATGGGCATTTATTCAGGTTGTTCCCCTTTGGTTTTTAATTACTCCTTTACAACATAGCCTTAGTCTCAGGGGTGGGGCTCGTAATAACCTGCTGGTAAGAAGTTGTCTACACTACAAACCCTGTGCATCCTCTCTCGCTTTAAAATTGAGGCAGTAAAGTATTTTTGTTATTATGTGTGGGAAAAAGGTGAAAGCATCTGGCAGAATATTTTTGATGTGGGTTCCCTCGGCCTAATGAAGAATCGGGAAAAAGCATTAGGCAGGTGATCTGCACAGAATAAGAGTAACACAAGCTTTTCGGAACAGAGTGAGACTTCACTGGAATTTCTTCATTCAGGGAATGAAGATGTCTGCATGCACAGCTCAAGCGAGGTTTCAGTTTAATTTTCTTGAAAATTAATTAGGTTCAAATTATTTTTGTATGTGCTGAATGAATGGCTACATCTTCCTGAAAAAGCTAGAAAGTATTTCACCAAGACCACAGCCACAGAATAGTTAAAAGAATAGTCTTAAAAAGGATATAAGTGGAATAATGGATATATTTTGAAGATATATGTTACTTTATTGTATTGTATTAATATTAGTTTCCTGATTTTGAAAATTATTCTGTGGGCCGGGTGTGGAGGCTCACGCCTGTAATCCCAACACTTTGCGAGACCGAGGCGGGTGGATTGCCTGAGCTCAGGAGTTCAAGACCAGCCTGGGAAACATGGTGAAACCCCGTCACTACCAAAAATACAAAGAGAGAGAGAAAGAAAATTGTACTGTGATTATGTAAGAAAATGTTCCTGATTTTAGGAAACGCACCTTGAAGTATCTAGAGGTCAAAGGTTATCATATGTACAACATCCTTTCACATTTTTAGAAAACAAAATAAAGATAGAGAAAAAGAGAATGCTGAGGTAAGTATGGCAAAATGTTAATTCGGGAAATTGAGGAGAAAGGTATATGGGAATTTTTATACTGTTTTTGCATTTTTCTGAAATCTGAAATACTTTTAAAATTAAAAAAAAGAATCTTTGGGGGCACAAAAGAGTCTGTTTTAAACCTCTGTAAAGCAGCAGGTACAGAAAAAGAGGCTGTTGAGTGAGGGCCGTTCCTTGGGTGGAGATCTGAAAGCAACTTTTCCTCTACTATTAAAATTATATAAGGGTTCTAATACTCTTTAAGATGCACTGATTGCCAGCAGTTCTTTAAATTACCAGCTTCTAAGACAGCCGGCATCTCAATTTTCCAGTGTCTTCCCTTCTCGCCCCCTTGAAAAGCATGGAGTTAAATAATGTTAACATCATCTTGTGGCTTCTCAGATTGGGGGCTTGGACTGAGTTCATTACTCATCAAGTCCTGACGTAGGAAAGATCTCTTCATTATTGTCAATTGGAATAAAGAAAAAAAAAGGCAGCCCTGGCCTGCAGCCAGTTCTTACATTCAGACTTAGCTTTATTTTAAAAATTTTCAGTATTGTACAAACTTTTTATGATTTTTGCCTTGCACATTTAGATCTCTATGTACCAGAAAAAAAAAAAAAAAACAGCCATAAGGAGAAGCATTTTTAAAGAATTCTCTCAAAGCAGGATGAAGGAGGAAAACCAAAATTTTTCTTAGGGACTAGGGTTTAGAATAAACATGGCATGAGATAGGGGTCTGGTCACTTTTTTTTCTTTTAAACAAGGTCTTGCTCTGTCACCCAGGCTGGTGAAAAGTAGCATGATCGTGGCTCACAACAGCCTCCAACTTCTGGGCTCAAGCGATCTTTCCGCCTCAACCTTCTGAGTAGGATTACAGGCGTGTGCCACCATACGTTGCCAATTTCTATTTTTTTTGTAGAGATAGGGGTCTCACTATGATGCCCAGGCTGATCTCAAACTCCTGACTTCAAGTGATCCCCTCGCCTTGGCCTCCTAAAATGCTAGGATTACAGGCACAAACAACTGTCTGCAGCCACATTTTTTACCATATTATCACCCAGTAGTCCTGGCAATTTTTATTGAAGTGATGATCCTTTCCCATCTGCTCTGCAATGTCACTTTGAAAAACATATCTGCAGTCCATAGGTATGTTGCTGGACTCTTCCAGAATGTTGGTCCATTCCACATCACTGAATTATTTGTTCCTTGAAGTAGCACCACACTTTCTCTTTCATTATATCATCTTAATTTTTAATAGGTCTTTTTTCCTTTTTTTAAGACAGGATCTCCCTTTGTCACCCAGGCTGGAATGCAGTGGCCCAATCTCAGCTCACTGCAACCTCTGCCTCCCAGGCTCAAGTGATCCTCCCACCTGAGCCTCCAGAGCAGCTGGGACTACCGGCATGTGCCAATGTACCTGGCTGATTTTTCGTATTTTTTTCAAAGACAGGGTTTCATCACGTTGCCCAGGCTGGTCTTGAACTACTGTGCTCAAGTGATCAACCCCCCTCGGCCTCCTAAAGTGCTGGAATTACAGGTGTGAGGGACTGTGTCTGGCCGTAAGTCTTGATGTCTGGTGAAAAACATCTTCCCATCTTGTTTTTCCTTAGGATGGTATGGGCCATTTTTGGCTCTTTGCATTTCCATACACCTCTTGTAATCAACTGTCTATTTTCATGGAAAAAAAAACCTGCGAGGATTTTGACAGCAATTACATCACATCGATAGACCAATTTAGGAACAGTTGGTGTCTTTCCAGTATTGAGCAGAGTTAGCTTCTTTTGATATGGATTAAGTAAATTCTACAGAATTCCAAGGGTTTGTGGCCAACAAGATAAATATTTATCTCTTGTAAATTTAAGTGTTTTCCTAACAAAGAGCGCTATGTCAACAAGTAGTTTTCCTTGGGTAGTGTTTCTACATTTAGTACCTGGTTTCTTAGGTTGGATTCCTGATGCACTTGAACATGATTAAGAAATCAGAAACAAAACCTTCATCCTAAGAGAGGATAGAAATCATTTTTTTAAATCTACCAAATTATGGGTAAGATAACTCCTTATAACTTGCATGCAGACATATATTGGTAAAAATTGACATTTCTCAAGGGAAGGCAAGAGGTAGAGCCACAACCATTCAGGTGTGACAAAACAGGGGATGTGCCTCTAAAAATGTGGAGTTTGTATATAATGGGATGGTCAGATGAACAGTCTCACTTCTTATAATTGGAGAAAAATCAAGCAATTAATATTGAGAAGTAAGATAACTATGCTTTGGGTCTGATGAAGACCCAAATCTCTTGACAAATCTGTAGTTTACCACATATCATCACATGATAAAAATCAAGACTGAAGGGTGCTTGCAGGTTTTTTTTTAAAGATGGCGTCTCACTCTGTTGCCAGGCTGGAGTGCAATGGTACAATCTTGGTTCACTGCAACCTCTGCCTCCCAGGTTCAAATGATTCTCCTGCCTCAGCCTCCTGCATAGCTGGGACTACAGGTGCGTGGCGCCATGCCCAGCTAATTTTTGTATTTTCAGTAGAGACAGGATTTCACTATGTTGGCCAGGATGGTCTCCATTTCTTGACCTCGTGATCCACCCGCCTTGGCCTCCCAGAGTGTTGGGATTACAGGCGTGAGCCACCGCACCTGGCCACCTGCAGATCTTTTTTAGGTCCCTCCTCGAAACTCACACTCAGTTCATACAACAGTTTAAAGTTTCCAAAGCACTTTCACAGATGCTGTACATTGGAGTTTTACAAAAAAAGTTATGAAGCTGACTGCTCAGGCCTTTTAACACCCTCTGTACAAGTGAAAGATCTGAGGTTGATATTAAAAACATGAAATATTTTGTATATGATCAAAACATGAGGTGGAAAGAGGCAGGCTGAGATTTCTTTTTGGTTCACTGCTTAATACTAATTTTAAGGAAAATATTTTTTCAAAAATTGAATGTGTTAACATAGAGTCAAGTGATGAAGTGCACACACCTGAAGTATACAGATCATTAGAGTTTTGTCCATGTGTATATTCATGTAGTCAACGCCCTGATCCAGAACATTCCCAGCACTCCAGAAAGCTCCCTCGTGCCTTCAGTCAACACCCCCTCCGGAGATGACTACTCCTCTGAAATCTACCACCATAGATTATTTTGGCCTGTTTGAAAACTTTGTATACATGAAAGCGTATATTAATAGTCTGTGCTCCTTTGTATCCAACTACTTTCACTCAATATTACATCTGTCATGTATAGCAATAATTCATTCCTTTTCATTGCTATGTAGTGTTCCATAGTATGAATGATGAAACAATATATTCATATTCTATCATTGGTAGATAATCTGGATTGTTTTCAGTTTGGAAATATGAATAAATATGCTATGAACACTTGTGTACTTGTGTCTGGGCAGACATAAGCATTGTTTCTAATGAGTATACACTCATATGTGAAATTGTTGGGTCAGCTCTAGTAGATACTGTGTTTTTTTGTTTGTTTGTTTGTTAGTGACAGAATCTCACTCTGTTGCCTAGGCTGAAGAGCTCTGGCCTGAATACA